TCTACAAACAGTAAAGGAGATTATCATTCTTGATCACGGATAAGTTAGGCCTTTACTTATTCACAACCAACGAAAGTATTTACGAGTATATATTTAATTATTTTTTAATTAATGAATGTTGCCATATTTTTCAGTATTCTTTTGTAAATAACGTTTGTTTGCATTTAATTTTAGGTATTTATTTATTTAAATTAGTACGTTCGATAGTAAACACGTGTCTTGTGAGGTTTGTAAAACAATGTATTGACAGAATCAGGTGGGTGTGGATCCAAAAATTTATTTGCTATGGCATCGGATATCTTATCCACTATATTCTTATCCTCTTGATTTTTATCACCAGTAATTGCCCAATTTAACAATCTATCAGCGATCGAATGGTTTTGACTAGTGGTAGTCCTTATTTCACCTACCTTATTTGTTCTCGACCGCAAATTATATCGGCTCTGAGTTGGCTTATCCACAGGGAGTGTTTTGTNTTTTCCCTAATGGAACGGTAATTTTTAGAAAATGCAAAATGTACAGTTTCACAACCCTCCAATATATGTGGTATTAAGCTTTGAGGTATTACTATTTGTTCATAATAATCATCTCTTGGTGCATGTTTGTTTCGATTAGTAATTCTTTTAAGCAAACCTTTGTCTAAAAAATAATTTTCATACTGTGATTTACAATTTGCACTTTCCCTTCCAAGTAATCTATAATAGGTATTAAAAAAGAATCTTTAATTTTGTTTATGTCCGGTACATCAATTTTCACAACATTAATGGTTTAATCTATATCTTTACTTAAAAGATCACCTAAGAAATTGTCAGAACCTTTTATGTGCTCAAAATCAAAATGGTAATTAAAAAGTTCTAACGCCAACGTGAAAGTTTACTCGCTGGAGAATCTAATTTTACAAAATAATTTAGAGATTTGCAATCTGAGAGTATAGTAAAATTTCTGCCATAGAGAAAAATTTTAAAGTGTCGTACCGCAAGTAAAATTGCATAGGCTTCAAGATGCATCGCTGTCCATTTTTTCTCGTGGGGTTTTAATTTATAAGAGAAATAACTTATTGGACGTAAAATCCCATTTTTTGAAGAAGAGCAGCGCCTACTGCAATTGATGACGCATCTGTATTCAAGTAAAACATCTCTTCAAAATTAGGATGTTTAAGCATGACATCGGATAATAGTTTGGATTTAATTATTTCAAATGCGTTTTGTGCAGAGGAATTCCATTTATACTTATGTTTGTTTTTAGTTAAATCAGTTAAAGGTGCTACCACTTCAGAAAAATTTTCTATAAAATCACGATAATAATTTGCTAGTCTAGGAAACGCCTTAATTTGCGTAGCGTACTAGGAATTGGAAAATGTTTTATGGAATTAAGATTATTTGGTAGAGGCTTTATACCTTCCTTATCAACTATATGTCCGAGATATAGGATGCTTGTTTGGAGAAAGTGGCATTTCTATGGGTTTAAGGTTAACCCATATTGACGAAAGAGTTCAAATACCAGTCTTAATTTTCGCAGAGACTCTGAAATTGTTTGAGAGGGTACCATAGCATCATCGATATATGCTGATATGTTTTCTGATTGGAGTCCATTAAGGATTTTGTCAGCCGTTTCTTGAAAGATTTCTGCAGAATTTTTCATCCCGAAACTTAAACAGTTATATTGAAAATTTCCGTACGGGCTTGAAAAAGCTGTTAAATGTTTTTCTTCGTCACGCAATTTAATTTGGTGAAAACTAGAATTTGCATCCAAGATACTAAAATATTTTGCACCTCGTAAAGAGTTTAGAGTGTCAGAAATTAATGGTAATTTATAAGTATTTTCATCCCGAAACTTAAATAGTTATATCGAAAATTTCCGTACGGGCTTGAAAAAGCTGTTAAATGTTTATCTTCGTCACGCAATTTAATTTGGTGAAAACTGGAATTTGCATCCAAGGTACTAAAATAATTTGAACCTCGTAAAGAGTTTAGAATGTCAGAAATTAAATAAGTTGAAGAAATTGTTGAAGAAATTGTAATTTGATTTAGTTTACGATAATCAATAACTAAACGCCATTGATTTTCCTCCTTTTTTCGCACTAAAATTAAAGGAAAGCTATATCTACTATTTGTTTTCTCTATTATTCCTGCATTTTCTAAGTCTGAAATTTGATTCTTAAGTGTATTTCGCAAATATACAGGTACAGGAAAAGGTCTACACTGAATCGGGTTAAAATTAGTAATTTCTATTGGAGGAGCTTCTAATGTGCATTTTCCTATAGTTTTTAAAGACGTGCTAAAAATATCCGCAAATTCAACAAGTAGTTGAGATAATTCCTCTTTTGCTTTATTTGGAACCCCAGACATATTAAAATCATCTAATTTAAATTCTTTCCTTCGAATGTCAGCTATAGATTCATTTGCCTCCAGTTTAATTTCAGAATTTATCTGGGCTACTTTCATATTTTTATTTAGGTGTAAATTATTCTGTGAAAGGTTATTTACTATCAATGGAATGTGACCATTTTGATCAACTTTGTACAATGAGTTATGCATTTCAATCTTATAATTAGAATTCATTGGAGTTAGCAGTACAGAACTTCCCGGTTGAATTTTCTTATCTGATTTGATTTTTACAACAACCGATTCATTAGGCTTGAGTTTAATCTTTCTAACAAGTTTTCCTATAGTTTCCTTGATTAAAACATTTATTTTATGAATTTCGAATTTATGTATTTGAGATGGTAAATCATTAAAAGTAACAACCTTATCCACAAAATTTATTTTGCAATGAAATGAGGAAAGAAAATCAATTCCTAAAATTATGTCGTAATCTTGAGCTAGGTCAGAATAGGTGACTAAAAAATCATGTCGGAAGATTTTGTCATTAATTGAAAGTGGTAAGGTAACATTCGAATAAGATTTTATTTCACTTCCACTTAAAGTAGTTATTTTGATATTTGAATTAAAAGGTTTATACTTTATCAATTTTGAATTTACTTTCTTTAATATTTTATCACTTAACAGAGATACACTCGCTCCCGAATCTAAAAGTGCATAACATTTAATGTTTCCGATTTCCAATTGAATGACTGGCAATGCGCAATTCTGACCTAATTGATAAGATAAAGTATTTTGAGTGTTACCCTTTAAAGTTTGAGGGATTCGTTGGGATTTTATCGATCCCTTTGAAAGTTTAAATATCTTTGTTTTGGTACGGTAGATCTGTTATCTGTGAAACGGGGATTTTGGTTTATTGACCTCGTATGATAAGGGTTAGAAGCGTTCAAAATCATGTTGCTTTGATTTGTTCTGTAATTATTTCTATTGCGAGGGAAAGTATCCCTATTATTTGCCAAAGGATTGCTTTTGCTCCTACTGTGTTGAAACCAACATTGAGATGAAAGATGATTCCGACGACCGCAGTGCATACAAGATAGATTTCTTTGAGTTTTTTGTTGGGGCATTCTCCTATTTCTATCATCAAAATTTATTTTCTCTAATTGTTTGGAAATAGTATTTATCATATTATTTGATATTTCAGTTTGTTTGTTAAGAAATTCTGTCATTTTCTTTTCAATCGCTGTTTCGGGCTCTGTTACTACATTGTTTACTACCTCAAGTTCCGATGTGAATTTAATGTTAACCTCATCCAGTAAAGCATTTTAAACAGCTTCATTGAATGTTTTTGGGTTACGACTCAAGGCCAATCGCTTAAGTGATGGCTGGAGACCTTCTAAGAATTTTGCCAGTTTTGTTTGGTCGACTATAGTATCTGCATTTTCCTTAGATGAATTTTCAAGACCAAAATAGTTAATTGTTAAATTTGATAACCTAGATGAGTAACTTCGAATTGATTCACCTGGTTTTTGTCTGCAATTAGAAAATTGTTGTTGGCGGTGCAAAAGAGTAGATTTCTTTTCAAAAAATTTAGAAAATTTATTCTTAATGTTTTCATATTTCTTTTCATTTAGGAGTTCGGGATCATCTATAAAAAATTGCAATGCTGGGCCTTTTAGTTTACTTTTCATAACCGCGATATGTTCTGCATCATTCCATTCTGCTATAGTACCTACCTCTTCAAGATTTGTAAGAAAATATGCAACATTAGAAAATATTTCTCCGTCAAAGATGTTAACTAGATTTTGATAACCAGCTATTTTATTAGGGTTTGGGGTTTCTGCCATTTTTAATACACTAGTAAGTGAAATTTGTCAACAACATTTAAAGTACTAAACACTTAGAAATATTTACACTTGCATTGTTAATGCATAATTACAACGAAAAATTAAATTACCTGACAATATAAAATCATTCGAAAATAAATAACTCATTGCATATTACCATAGAGAGGGAAAAAAATTTTTTTTTTTTGGAAGCGCCATATTGTTACACGGCACCATATTGTTACGGTGGTTTACAGACACAAAACTACTACTTATCAATTTAACCTGTGATCGTTTTATTTTATGCATATATTGTTGAATTAATTTACATACTTCAACTATTTAAAATACTTAGATTAATAACACTTTAATAAAATACAAAATTTAAATAACAAATTAATTAAAAGGTTTTGATTGGTAACAAATAAACTAATTGGCATGGAGAGAACTTACCCATACTGATGTTCATAGTGGAAATTGGTGAACCTCAAATGACTCGGTTCTACTCTCTCTACTACTACTGCTACTGTTTTTTGTTGTCTTTTTTTGATCTTTTATACTAAACTTTTTGCTTGATAAAACTATTGCTAAATTCTGGAAATGAATTAAGTGACGATAAGCGTCACATTAAGCTTGCCAATAAATATATACATACAATAATTTTTAGCTGAAATCGGGTTGGAATTGAAATTTTTCTTTATATATATATATAATAAAGATAACTCGAATGAGTTCTGAGCAAATATTACTAAGCTTTTTTTTTTCATTTTTGAATACGTTGTTATGGTATATTTAATTTTTGTAATTATAAAGAAAATATGTGATTGCTGAATAATTTGTCATTTTTCACTAGGAGATGAAAACCGAGCTGTTTAAACGTGGCTTATACAATGTGATTCTGGTTGATTGGACATGGGGAAATGGACCCGATTACCTTCCAAGTGCTGAAAATACGAAGACTGTAGGAAAACACGCTGCCTATGTCATTAAAAACATAATGGTAAGAGTATGGTAACCCCTTACCGATCGGTTAATTTTCTAGAAAACGGTCATAAAAGTGCCTATCTTTTTACTAGTGTTATTTGATAAGTGGTGACATCTAGTTCGAAATAAACTAACTATCTACAATTAACTTAAAAATATGAAATACCTTAAAATTATAAAATGAGAAATAAAATATTTTCTGGGCAAAAGAAATGAATCAGTTTTATTCTTATTCCCAAGTATTTTTTTTAGTATTTTTATAACATTTAAAGTTGTGTGTTTGTAGAGTAATTGTGTAGTGTGACTCACAGAAAACGAATTATAAATTTAAATCCAATTAAAAGGAGTAGTAGGAAATATTATATTTGAATGTTATTAATAGCGTGTTACTATTGTAATAGTATAATGTTTTTATGTTTGCTCTAAATTAATTTATTCTATTTTATACCCGTCCTTGAACAGCCGACCCAATTTTTGGGCTTACGACTACTAATGTTCACCTCGAAAGCCTTGTAATTTTGAATCCTATCCAGAAGACAAGGGAACTCTGGATCAAGAATTGGGAGAAATTTTGCTTTCATAGAGAACTTTTTTATGGAACTAAACTGCCTTTGTGTTACATGGAGAGGAAAACCCCCCACGGTTTGCCTGACAGCAAGGGGACTCCAACCCATGATCCCTCTACCACTGAGGATATTTTCAGTCAACACTGTGACTGGTGTGAGCCGGGTGCGGAATTCGTATAGACCAGTCATTGCCGGGATTGACCTCTTTGGAAGTCGAACGCTCTATCTCCCGAGCCACCACGGATCGCTATGAATGATTAACATTTTACGTAATTATATTACCCTCGCTTGAATCACGGCATGAATTAATCGTATTTGAGTCCTTCCATACTATTAAGTGTTATGCACGGTATATTTTCTAGATTATTTTCATTTATTATGAATAATAATAAATAAAAATAGTCTATAAAATATACCGCAGTCTATATAATAGTCTATAAAATATACCTATAAAATATTTATTTTATTTATAGTGCTATTTAATTACCTTTATTGTGTTTTGTATCCTATCAGCTCTTTTGATCGGAATTTTTTTTTAAATTAAATAGTTTTTCTTGTAGAGGTCACAATTCTGTTATTCTGTGTTTCGGCACTGAGAAGCAGGGTTTTTTTTTTGTTTTTAATACCGTAATTGTTAGATGTCTGTTTTTAAGAAATAATTTCTTTATCCGCCTTGTTTTTAACTTTATTCATGTGTCATATTTTCTGTAAGTGTTTAATATTTAGTAATAATATACATAACTCTCGATTGAAAAACACAATAAATTAACCGTATTTTAGTTGTTCCACGGTATAAAGTATTACGTACGGTACATTTTATAAGTTTTTTTCTTTCTTTTATTGCGTTTTGTATCCTGTCAGCTATATTATTCGGAAATTTATTTTCGATTGATTACGTTTTTTTTTTATGGTTACTATTCTGACGGAATATTTGTTTATAGAACTGAAACTGTAGCATGTCTGTTTTGGTGCAATTATTTGCTTTATTCGCGGTGCTGAACTTCATTCGGGACTAACTTTTCTTATCTAGGTAATTTTCAAAAAGAATCTAACGAACAATTCAGGTTCAAATTTTGCAGTTTTTTTTACATGAAAATAAATTTTTATCTTTATCAAAATACAATTAAGAAAATTTCAATTACTTTAAAATTGTTCTCTTTGCCTCCGGCTTCATTTATATTTTAAAGAAATTTTTATGAAAAAGGAAATAATGAACCAAAATGTGCATATTTTAAAAATAAATAATTGACTCTTGGACATATCAGATATCAAACACTCTTGAATGAAGTATTTAAATATTGTACTTATAACTGTGCTTGCAGATTTCAATTGTACTTTCACGTTTTAAAAGATATCAGCGCCACCTTAACCTACTTGGCACAATTAATATTGATACCAAAGGGAGTTTTAATGTTGAACTCCGTATCTTTCAAACGTAAACGTAAATACAGTGCGAAAAAAAAAAAAAAGAAGAGCGGACTACTCTGAATAGTTTTTGATCGGATCACGTTCAAGGTCGAGGGGATGAGGTCAAATATGCTAATGAACAAGTGCAGACGATATTTTAAGTTACGGAACAAGACTTTAAAACATACTTTCTCTTAATAAACATAGCTTCTTTTCGACATATTTGGAGGTAGCCGCAATCTGGGAAATGTGGTCCCAATAGTTTGATCAGGAGAGCGGTCCAAAGTTTTGTTAGTTTTACTTTCTGCGGCCCTTAATGTTAGTTTTACTTTTTGAGTATTTCGCTAAATCTCGAAAACATTTTAAGCGAATTAAAAAAAAAATTGCACATAATCATAAAATTTTTTAGTTTAAAGATAATTTCATGCAAAAATCAAATTTTTGTAAATATTTATTATTTTTTATTATTTCATTTAATAATAATCGAAAAAAAAAACATGAACTGCAAGGTATAAAATTTTTTGCGCATAATTTTTAAGTTTGTAATTTTAAATGGCAAAATACAAAATTTGAGCTAAATCGGTCGAATAATTCCTGAGAAATCGAATTTTTAACAAGTCATATATTTAAAATTTGATTTCTCAGGAACTAATCAACCGATTTTGGTCGAATTTTGTACTTTGCCATTTAAAACTGCGTACTTTAAAATGATGCAAAACTTGTACGGCTTACGATTCAAAATTGTTTCGATGATTACTAAATAATGTAATAAAAAAAATAAATATTAACTAAAATTTATTTTTGCATGGAATTATATTTTTGGATAAACAAATTTAATAGCTGTGTGCAAAAAATTTTCAATTCGCTTAAAAAGATCCCGAAATATAGCGAAATAAGCAAAAAATTGAATTAACATTAAGGGATCTAATGTTAGGACCCCTTACCTGACCAAACTATTGGGACCATATTTATTATTTCTAAAAGTGGTTTTTAAATATCTATTTTTTCCTACTTGATAATTCCAGAATACTTATTTATAGAATTGTTGATTATTTATCTGGTATTTAGAATTTTTTTGTGTCAAACGGAAAAGTAGTTTTTGATGTGCATAATATTTTTTCCATGTAATCGACAAAACGCTAATCTTGACGCCTTACAACATAGCAATTATCATTGAAAGTATATAAATAGAAAAATTAATGAATAAAAGAATGGCTAAAATGTTATACTAATTCTTGGAAGTTAAAAACAAAAAGTCACCGAAACAAGTTATTACCCCGTGAATCAATTAACATTTGACATTTGTTTGATACGGTGATATCTGAATGAATTTGTACAATTAGAGTATTTTTTTCTTAGACTTATCGTTATGATAGGAAAAGAGTTAATAGTTAGAACAAAAAGTAATTATGAGTAGTATATTCGATGGTTAAAACTTAATAAATTCACTTTCTGTTCTATATTTGAAACATAGTTAATTCCGAGGTTGATAAATATATTACCATCAAATCAGTAGTTTTCAAATCTATGCTAAACTTGTTTATTTTCAAAGCGCTTATTTCTAAATTAATTTAAATGCCACGTCATTTTTTTTTCTACAATATTCTTTAAGGGCATGCGAAATTTTTTATTTATTTTAATGCAAAGTTTTTTTATATACTGAAAGTACTGTACACGCGACAAGAACTTTTTAGACTCTGTGTAAACTAAATACTAGCCTATAAAAAATTACCATTACAATAAATATGTAAATTTACATTAATTTGATTTTTACTTAATTTCAGAAACAAATAGGAGTTGGTCCAGAAGCGTTTCACCTGGTTGGTCATAGTCTAGGAGCACACATTGCTGGGTTTGTTGGAAAAAGCGTGAAACAATTGAGACGAATAACAGGTGATCCAAATTATAATTATTTATAAAATATGCATAATACCGTATAAGAAATATTTAATATAATATCTTATTGTTTATTGAAAATGTGAGGTAGCTAACTAAGAACTACGACTGCTTAGCCAATTAAACTACTTTTAACAAGCATATATTTTATTAAAGTCCAGCAAGAGAGGCTTTGAATAAAATTAACAGTGAGATAATGTCAAGCAAAAGGCACGATTTGTATAACGACTTTAGTCTCACGGCTGACTTTTGCCTGAGCATTTGCAACTCACCACCCTTATGCGGAAGCGTGCCTGGGCTATTGAAGCCTCATTGAATCTGACTTTACAGAGTGGAATTTATTGTCTCAAGACTTTGCAAAAAAACAACTTGTAAGCAGCGTGCGATATGTTATGAAACCAGCATAGCTGTGAAGAGGATGGACTGATAGTTAAGACACGGTTCCTAGCAGAACACTGAAGTTAAGCCTCACTCGTTACGGTCAGTAAGCAAATTGGTGGCCACTTTGATCAGCCTACGTAGGGAACGAGGGTGCAAGGTATTGGTCCTCGTTAAACTGTTCTACCGTAAAATCCTCAACTTTTCGCACAGGTCGTCGTGATACAAAAGCAAGGGAGCCACACCCTCTGTAGAGGATCAAAATTGCAATGGTATGTCTTCGTATCATCCTCAAGGATGTTTCCCAAACCGTCTCCAATAGCCCATTGTGCAAGTCTACTGCGACGTAAATAAAGTACCTACCTAGGGTGAAAAGAGGTAAAAAACTTAAATGCAATTTTGCAACATCATTTTTGGTCGATTTTACTTCGATGCGTAATAACCCATTATTTTGGATTTGTGGCGTTTACTTTTTATTATCATGGTTTTTGTCATAGTTTGATGGATATTTATTTATAAACTAGCTGAAAACCCGTTCTTCGCATGCTGTAAAAAAAGTAACGAATCAATAACTCAGTACTGAACAACACTACGAAATCTTGCTCAAAACTGAAAGGCATTTACCAAAACAATTGAAGAGCTAAGTGGAAGAGCCAAGTAAGTGACATTTTTAAGGGAATTATAATGAATCAGAGAAACTAGCGTAAAGTGGTTGCATCAATATGGGTATGTAGAATGTAACAGAATTGTTTTATCCTTCACTTTAAGCTTAATATAACTTATTCTCGTAAGCATGATTTTAATTTCAAATTAGATAGTGGTGAATAATATACAGCAAAGAATTTCTCATAAATTGGTAAAAAAATAGTTCGGATACCACCATTTCGTTGTTAGCTTTGCCGAAAATATCACTTACCTGGTTCTTCCACTTAGTTCTTCAGGAAATATAGATAAAATAATTAAAAAAAATTTTTTATTATTATTTGTTGCCCTTTTAAGTGGCTTTACTTTACTAAATCAAGCAAAACTCGTTTTTTGTATTTAATACCATCAGAATAAAGGTAAAAGGTAAATGTTTTAAGAGTCAACTTAGCATGACACTGATAAGTTATTTGTAAGTTCACTTTATTAATTAACATTAAAATGTTACTCTTAATTCTGACATAATAGTTAGAATCATAATTTTTTTTTAATTATTTTTTTTAAATAACGGCAGGCACTGAACTTTCGTTCTTCGCCTTAGAAGATGCCGGAAGTGTTGCTCATTTATCGTTACCCAGTGGACACCTGTGAACCAAAGTCACGGAGGCGAGCAACATTACACACGCCACACTGCCACAAATATCCGTTCATAGGGTGGGCCGCATTCATACATTCACACATCAGAAGACAACACGGAGAGAAAGAAACATCAATGCCCAGAGCGGGATTCGAACCCCCCAGCCATTGGCTTCGCAGTCAGGAACGCTAACCACTCGGCCACCTGGCCGGCGAATCATAAATTGTCATAAATTATAGCAGCATCAGAATTTTAATTTAATTAGAAAAAAAAATTTATTTATATAAATGAATTATTTGATAGTTCACTCTATTAAATCAAGAAATCTTTTTAATTACAAAACAAAATGTTGTTACAATTATTTTTTATCAACTAAGATCAGAATTTCTTTTAGTTTTGACATTAAATTTCTTTATACGAATGAGTTCCTGACAATACCCATTTAAGAAAAAAAATTCAAAATAATCTTTTATCAACTAACACTAGAAGATTTATGTAACAGTGACGTAAAATTTGTTACATAAATGAGTTGTTTACAAGTTTAATTTAATCAACATTGAAAGGCTTTATTCAATTCTGACATAAAACTTTGTTATGTAATTAAAATCCTTACATTTTTTTTAGATTAACAGAAAGTACTTTATGCAATTAGTACTCAACTTATTTTTTCATATCGCTATAAAGTTTAATTTAGTTATATCTTTTCGTTTTCAGCCCTAGATCCAGCTTTGAGTCCTTTTCAAAATAAATCTAAGCTTGAGCGATTAGATGTATCTGATGCTAACTTAGTTGATGTCATTCATACAAATGGTGGTTCTGAAGTTGGTGAGAGAATTACAAACTTTTGCTTACTTGCGTATTTTATATTGCTCAATCAAACTAGTATCATGTGTTGACCGTTGGTAATCAAAAGCAAGAGAGGAAGAGCATGATTTAAAAAGAACAAATTAAACTTTTTTAACCATTATTAACAAGAGAACGATCATCCAAGTGACACAAAATCGAAGTGCTCCTAAATAAAAATTTAGGGAAAATATTGCAAAATTATCCCGATAGTCTCTTAAGTTACATGCAAAAAGGGAAACGTTAGTAATTACAATTGATACGTAAAATGGGTAGAGGGAATAGTGTGGTTCTCACGGTTCGGTTTAGAGGAAAATTTAAAATGTTAATTCATGCCTACTTAAGACTTAAATATAGAATCGAAACAGCGGGTCTGAATAATAAAGTATTAGAAAGCGTTTAATTTTGAATAATAATTTTAGAAGAAGATTTAAATAAAGAAATAACATAAAAAGATTAGATGAAGCTTTTTATGTCACATCCCCCCTCCCCAAAAATCTTTTATTACCATCTAAAAATTTGAAGAAAAAAATATCTATTTGCAATGTTTTCCCTATGTTAGAAGAACAATTAACATGAAAAGAATAAAATTTGTAATCTTAGCATAAAATATATTATCAGTTTAAGGAATTATAAAAAACACACTTTTGTAAACATCATAACAATTTTAACATAGTTAAAACATTGTAATAATTGAAGAGTTTGATCTCCATTTTTAACAGTTTTTATGACATAACAGTTTTTTATCTGTTTAAGGAAAACAGTTTAAAGAAAATTTAAAATGCTAATTCATGCATACTTAAGATTTAAATATAGAACCAAAACTGTGGATGTGAATAATAAGTGTGAGAGTATGTAGTAAATCAAGTTTGCTACATACTTTGCCAGCATGCAATCGATCTAACTCATCTTCAATTATCGGTAAGGGGTCGTTCGTTTTTGAATTAAATTTTCTGTAATCGATGCATGGTCTTAGGCTATCATCTTACTTTTTGCAAAGAACTATTGGGGAGCAATAATCAGAGCAACTCTCTCTAATTATATCTGTCTTTAACCACTCAGATATCTTATCATTTACTTTTTGTTTTTCAGAAAAGGATAAACGTCTAGCTCTTTGACATACTGGGATGTCATCTTATAAAATAATTTTCATTGTCAACTTAGTGTCTTTAATTTAGTTTGGTTTGTAATTATTAATCAACACAGTTAGTTCATTTCTAATACAAGAATCATCAACATGTGCTAAATCAAGTTCATCATTACTATACGCATTGTTCATGTTAAATAAAAAGCATCCACAAAAACAAGGGTTATAAGTTAAATTCAAACCACAACACTTGCAGAAGTCTTCGTTCTCAGAGGAGCCTATTCGGATAATTACACCAGAAAAAAGCTGACCTAGTTTTATTAATTGGTCATAAACAGAGGGTGTTTTAATGCAGTCAGATGTTAATAGATTTGAGGAGGCAACGTTGACTTTCGACCCCGATGTATTGTGATTTATAGACATTTTCACTTTAATCAGTCTGGCTTCTTGTTTATTAATCAACACAGAATCAGCAACTTGTTTATTAACCAACACTAATTTAGTATTGAGTTCAAACGTAAATTCAGAAGCATTTTATTTCCTAATTGAATTAATTGGAAAAAAATCTAGAAACTGAAAAGTAAAAGAAAAAGTTATTTGACAAAAGGGCTGGATAACCTGAAATAGTTATAATTCAAAATGACTGTTTTTTCTGTTATAGATGTTCTGCATCTGTTACAATAAATTTTTAATTTTGATTATATTATTTTCAATATTGTAATTTGCTTCAGCTGCTCTTTGGAGATTCAAGAACAATTTTGTTTGTAAAGTATAGTATGCCAATATAATTTGCTTGATGACTAACGAATTATCTAAAGATGTCTTTAACTAATCGAAGTGAAAATTTAATTTTGCTCTTAAAAGCTTTTTTTTTCTTCTAGAAACAGAACAAAAAAAATGGTTTTTCTTTATCTTTTGAAACATATAATAATGCTTAAGCTGTTTTTAGGAGATGTGTCTGTTATTTGTAACACATAGTATACCTATATAATTTGCATGATAACTGATATGAAATGTTTTTTTTTCGAAGGAAACATGTCATTTCCTCGTGTTCGTTGCAAGTCTATGTGAAAGTTAAAATTCGTCTATGTTCTTACAAGGTCTTTTTTAAGTTCAAGAATATTGTCTGAAATTTGTAACTGTTAATATACCAACATAATTTTTATCATAACAGATTCAAAATGTTTCTTACTGATATCTATTATGACCCAGATCTATTTTGTTTCTAAAAGGCATCTATGATTTACTTCAGATTTATTTTATTCCATTTAAATTCTTAAACGAATCTATTATAACCCAGATCTATTAAGTTTCATAAAGTAGTCTACTTTGACCCAGAACTATTTCGTTTCTTAAAGGCATCTATAAACGCTGAAGAAAATTTATTGTTCCCATAATAATTTCCACTGAATTCAGACGTTAAATTTTATTTCGTTATCTATTTCATTTATTTGAGTTACTGATAATTTACCCAGTCCCTCTTTTTAAGGTATTTCGTAAATATTTCTCCCTGATGTAAGGTCATATTTGAGCTAAATTTAAGTATTATTATGGTTTAAGTAATTTTTTTTAATAAAGTAGTTATAATTAATATATTAATCCAGTTTTCTTTCATTAAAAAAATTGCATTTTGCAAAGGAAACACTAATCAAATTGTTGCTAACTACTTGTAACTAATGAGCCTTTCTCACATCAGAAACAAAAATAATCATAACTCAGCTTTATTAAAGAGTTTAGAAGTAGAAGTTCATTGTTTCAGAAGCTAAACTTCCTCTCACTGCTACCAAAACTGTTAAGTATTAAATAAGACGTCTAAAAATAATGGAAACAATCAACTGTCTAAAAAAATGCGCATTGAATCAAAAACATAACAATACACATGTGAAATATTTTCAAAAGATGCATTAATAAATACTAATGAAAAAACTCTTATTGCAGATTAGGAATGAGGAAAAAAAGTAGTTTGATTTGAGCTACTGACGTGCTGGCTTTTGTTTCCGATAGCTGCAGTCAAAACATAGAAATAATGCACGTGTTATTTAAAATGGAGATATCTCCAGAAATATTAGTGAGATCGAACAAATAAAAATAGACGTGTTTGATATTTGGAACAAGCTTTTTAAATTGTAGTGAATTCGACGCTCACACCCAAACTCAGCGCTATCTCCAGAGAGCGCTCCAGTCACAGGGAGTGGAATGGGGATTAATTTTAGTGATTTTTTCGGAAGAATCCAAATCAGCAATAAAAAAAAATAGGAGATGCCCATTTAAAATTTTTAAGTTCCCTTTCTTTCCTAAGAGATGAGGTACCAATGAATTCAGTCATCTTTTGAAAATATTTTGAACGTATACATTTAGATTTTTGATTCGATGAGTATTTCTAGAGATACTTAATTATTTCCATGCTTTTCGGAAGCATTATTATTATAATCTCATTTCAAGAATGAAAATCGTAAAAAGGCAACCAATTAATTTAATTTAGAAAAAGAAAATAATATTATATTTGATAAAAAAAAAGTAAAGAGTNTTACCTATAGATGTCTGCTACTAATACTAGGTAGAAGTGAAAATTTAATTGTGCTCTTAAGAGCTTCTTTTTTTCCAGTAACAGAACAAAAAAAAATTTTTTTTTCCTTCTTTAGAAACAGATAATAATGCTTGAGCTGTTCTTAGAAGAAAGTGTCTGTTATTTGTAACACATAATTTTTTTTTCAAATGGCAGGCACTGAACATTATTCTTCGCCTTAGAAGATGCCGGAATTGTTACTCATTTCACGTTACCCAGTGGGCACCTGTGAATCAAAGTCACGAAGGCGAGCAACATTACCCACTCCACACTGCCTCAAACTCGTTCATAGGGTGGGCCACATTCACACATCACACACAACAGAAGACAACACAAGAGAGACAGAAACATCCATGCCCAGAGCGGGATTCGAACCCGCAGCCATTGGCTTCGCAGTCAGGCGCGCTAACCGCTCGGCTACCTGGTCGGCTGTAACACATAGTACTCCAATATAATTTGCACGATAACTGATTTAAATGTTTTTTTTTTCAAAAAAAACATGTTATTTCCTGTGGAATGGGGATTAATTCTGGTGATTTTTTCGGAAGAATCCAAATCAGCAATAAAAAAATGGGGGATTTCTATTTAAAATTTTTAAGTTTCCGTTCTTCCCTAAGAGATGAGGTACCAATGAATTCATTCATCTTTTGAAAATATTTTAAACGTACAGATTTAGATTTTTGATTCGATGAGTATTTTTAGATACTTGATTATTTCCTTACTTTTCGGACGCATTGTAGAACTTTAAGTATCGAAACTGTTATCAGACAACTGTTATTGGAAAAATCATTCAAAAAAGGTAAAAACTATTGTTATAACAATTATTATTATAATCTCATTTCAAGAATGAAAACCATAAAAAGTTAACCATTTAATTTCATTTAGAAATGGAAAATAATATTATATTTAACAAAAAAAAAGTAATGCTTAAAAATAAGCACACTTGATGATAAAGAGGCTTATTAACGCCGAAATCGGTACTATTTTAAATAGGACTCATGTTTCAAATCTCTTTCATTTATTATATTTGGTTCATGCTTTTTTTTAGAGACTAATGGCACTATTTGATCATAATTTTCAGAACCTGAAGTTGTTATACTATACTAAACACAATTATGTCAATAAGCTCCAATTGTAAAATCAAACATCGTTACTAGGTCTAATCATAAATAAAACAAATGAATTTGATTTAAATGCACAGTTTAATGGCACAAAAGCTCTGATTGACTTCACTGTACCAAATTTATACGATACTACGTAATCTCGGAGACAAAATCAAATGGTATTAGAAACTATGTCTGGCACAATAAAAGAGAATTCAATTGGAGAGTTACTAGGACGTAATTCTTGCTTACCTAAGGAAAGCAAAAGTCTTATTTGGGACTTTTTAAAAAGAATGGGTAAAAATGTATGGGTATTTACTAAGGGCAGAAAAATGATTTTATGGTTTTGTTCATTACTTTTTACGAATTATTTTCAGGAGATGTAATTGGAGATATTAATCCATTGGGACATGCAGATTTCTATCCAAATGGAGGAACAAATCAACACAGTTGTCGACACTACATTTTAAAATCCTATTTAGCTCTCGATTTCTTATATGGTACGTTTATATATAGATATAGTTTTATATTTTATAGTTTTCTGTACAAAAAGCAAAAGAAAATTGAATTTTTAAATAAAATCTTGAAATAGTTTTACATGAACTATATGAAACATATTAATTTAGAAAAACGTAAAGTAGTTTAAAATAGTTAAGCTTTGTTAGGTAATGTAATCTTATGTAATCATAAAATTTTAGATGGTAATATAATTTTATATGTTAATATGGTTTCATAGAAAAAATTTTAAGAAAAAGAAAAAAAAACTAAATTTAAAAAAAATAGAATTTTTCAAATATTTTAAGTAAACTGTATGAAATATGTTGATTAAAATAAACATCAATTTAAAACAAAATAAAACGCTTAATAACTCATTTATAGTTTTGAATGGAGAATGATTTCTCTTTTTTATTAATAAAGAAACATTAAAGAGTTCAAAAGTAAAAAAAAGTATTTTACTTTTAAACTTGTAGAAATCAACATTTATTTAATTTATTTACACATTTATTTTTAAATTTTGTACAGCATGATAAACGAAATGCTATGACGGAAGGGAAGAAAATATTCCACAAAGTTGCGAAGCAAAAGTAAAAAATTTCCATGCGCTTCATATTTTGGTGCACAATCTGCAATATGTTTAATTTAGATATTTTTAACAATCAGGCTAAAACAAAACAAAAAAGTTGCCTTCAGTTTGTTGATCTGATCGCTATCATTGAAAGTTAACCGATACAGTGTTACGCACAGAGTGCGTCCAGCTTCGTGATGTAGCGCAAAAGCGAGGCCAATAGAAGATCTTTTTACCAGTAAATTGAACCGAAAGTGTTTAGAATGAATAACGTCCAGCCACAGTCTAGAAAAATAATAGCCGGTGCTGAAAAAAAACGTTACTAATCTTCTATGGAAAAGGGAAAACTTATACCTCATGTTTTAAAAGAGGTTGCAACGCAGAATCGGTTAAGATTCAAAAGTTATACTATCGTTTTAAAAGGTTCTATACCACACTGAGAAAAAAGTATGATCAAAACTACCAGAAGATGGTAAATTTTACCGTGTTTCTGGCTCCATGATAACAGTAAAAAGCTCGGAAGTGTTTACTGAAATGCTACAGTAATGATTTTCGTAAAATTAGCAATAAAATATTGTTTATTATCTGTGATAAAAATTTGGTAATTGTGGTAAATTCTGTTAATTTTATCATGATATCTTAAAGCGTAGTATAAAAACCATTTATTCAGTTAAATATTTTTTTCAGTTCCTAAATGTATGATAATAAGAACTATAATTTAAAAACCAGAATTACCGATAAACCAATATTATATGAACGGGAAACATTACCAAGTGAATGATTTAAATGCCGTATATTTTGGTTTTATTAACCAGAATTTTATTTATTTTCTACTAGAAATATCATTACGATAAAGTACAGCAATTTTATAAGGATTTTTTTCTCCGTGCTGGTGCAAATCATTGGAAATTAAATTTTAATAATTAAAATATTACCGCATTCTCCAAAGCTGTATTCTAGCGTGAAATAATTCAAATGAAACAAAATTCAAAAAATTCAATTCTTGCAATCAAAATCGAAAAAAGCGAAATTTGAGCAGAATATTTCCATGAAAAATAAGTTCGACGTCTAAATGATTAAATAGATGGAATTTGATTTTTTTTAAAAATCTTTTTTCTTAGGTTTCATTTTGTAGAGATTTCAATATAATATTTTCGTCGAAATTCCCTCCGTACGAAATATCTTAAATCTTTATACAAGTGAAATCAGGAGAAAATTTGATGCATGATTTCTTTTATCTTTCAGCAACTATATCTTTAGTTCCAAGAATCTGCAGTCATATGCATGCAGTGCAGTATTATAAAGCCTCAATTAATCCTAACAAATGTGAAATGGTTGGTGTTCTTTGTCCTGATTATGAGAGCTTTTTATCAGGAGAATGTGACTGTCATCAGCATTTCAAGAATTGTGCTGTCATGGGAATGAATTATGAACAGTACATCAAGATGAACAATGAATCATTAACAGACACTATTGATGGATTTCGAAAGTTCTATTTAAACACAACCATAGCATATCCATATTGTGGTGAGTAGTTAAAACTGCTTGTTGCTCATTTTTGCACGAATACGTTTAAAAATAAATTTTTGTAAAAATTTGATTTTCGTTTAAACGCTGAAACTGAATTAAAACTATGTTTCAAATACAACTTTATATTAAAAATTATCACAAATTCCACTGATTTTAAGTTATCTATTCTAAATAGAATGCATTTGCGGATTAAGAAAAAAGCTGTTTTAAAAACAAACAAATTAATGTTTATTTTAAGTAAGTAATCTTAAGAAGCTGAATCAGTAATATTTTACCAAATTAGAAACTTTATTTGCTTTAGGAACGTATAAATAGGAAATTGTAATCTGCATAATTCAAGCTCTCAAAACAGGCATCCATTTTCAAGACTTGCCAGACCTGAATGCTGTTTTATTTTCTATTCATATATTTTTAAAGTGAATGAAATTTTTAACCTGGTAGGAATGCTCATTTATTCATTTTTTATTTTTATTTTTACGTAGAAAGTTTTTGTGAACCACACGGGTCATGTAGTTTGTCTGTTTTAATAAATTTTAAAATTAACCAAATTTAATTTAATCTTTTTCGTAAAAAGTTAATTCCATTTATATCAGGCGAATTCGTACGAGTTATATTGTACTTTTGTGTTTTAGTACTTCCTGTTGGATCAAAAACCCTCTAATATAACTGTATTGTTAACTGAATTAAGTTTTAAATAAATCTATAATGAGTAATTCCGCAGAAAAAGGTTTTTTTTATGAGAAAATAGAATTTCTTTCTGAGAAATTTCCACAAATAATTCTAAAATTTCTGAAATTTGTCTCCATGTTTTAATTTGTACATGTTTTAATTTCTTGGCTGATTAAGTTTAGGGAAATAATGTCTCAACCCACAGTATTTACTGACTTTTGCGTATGAAAAATTTAGGAAATTTTACAGAGAATACATGAACAGAACTCTTTAATTAAACTAAAAAAAAAAATTCTTGTAATTACAGTTCATCAAACGACATCAAAATGTAACTTTAATGTTAATTACAATAAAATTTGATAATCGGACATTTAACAATAAAATTAAGTACCTGATAAGTTACAGAAATTACTGAAATTTATCAGTAAATAAATTTAAAAAATTATGAAATGACAAAAATTTTGTTCGAAAATCGAATCAGAAGTAATTTCTTAAAATGAATGAAACTTTATAGCACTTTTTTGCGGAACTAAATTTTTGAAATTTTTTTATCCGAGTTTTTATGTTCATTAAGTTTAAAGATTAATATCTAATAACACTATTTATTGATTTTTACGTAAAAAAATATTCATATTAACAGATATTGTAATTATGAGTTAAATTGATGACCTGCTTAAAATCTTTTTTTAATTATTTTTACAGATAATTAATTACATTTATCAGCTTTTACAAATGAATAATTTTGAGCATTAGTCTCTCTTTACATATTTTAAGTACTTTTTGTGAAATCAAAGTATTATTATATAACTACGTTCATTATATAAAAATATAAAGACATTGGTATTCACAACAAGTTGCAAATTAATTCGAATAATTTTATTTTCTTTCATTTGCAAAGCTTAGTAAGAGTAAAATTAAGTATTTGATATAAGTTACACAAGTTCTTAAAAAATAAAATAAAGCAAAAAAAATGAAAAATTTTCCCGAGAAAGTTAAAATGGAAATTTACTTAAAAATTAATACGACTCAGTATTTTTTTACTTCTTTTTGCAAATTTTTGTACAGTGAGTAATATTCTGAATATTCAAAAGGAATATTCTGAATAACCTGTGATTTAATGACTGAATTTTTATGCTATTAAAGACTCAGATTTAATGGCTTCGTGGTAAATAATATGTTAATTAATTAGTGCAGACAATATTTTCAAGTTACGAAATCTGGCACAAAGTAGTTATTAATTAGAATATTTAAGCTTGGGTTCACGAACCAATGAGATTTAGTGTGAGACATTACGATTATTAGATCAATTGTTATTCAGAATGTTGCTTTTTTTCCACACTGTACATTATATACCTTTCATTAACAAGCATTCTTTTCCTTTTGTATAAATGTTTTCGAAATATTTTATTTTAAACTTCCAAATATTTCATATTTATCAATTTATAAATTGTTTCATTTTAGATTACAGTAATGATTTTAGAAATGTCTCAACTTCTTAGAGACGAAATGCATATTTCTTCTTTTAAAGCACTACAGCCTGCTACAGGCCAAGACTATCCCAAGTTGTCTTTGTGATTTGGCAGCAAGGCTCTTCCAGTTTTTCATATTTGCTACATGAAGGAAATTAATATTTATTGCAACAAGACTTTCAGAATGACATGAAACATTGAGTATCTTTTTTTATCGAGTTATGCCATATTCCTTTTTACAAAGGAAAAGACACTTATATACCATGAAATTTTACCGTTTTAGTAGCTTGTTATAAATAGTTACTATTACTTGTATGGCAATTGCTAGTAGTCAGTACCAAGTAACTTCAAAAAAAGAAGTAGCTTGTAGTATTTAGCTACTATTGCTTGTTTAGCAAATAATAGTTGTTATTAACAAGTACCTTCAAAGAAAAAAGTAGCTTGTAGCTACTATTACTTGTATAGGAATTACAACATACATTACAACAAGAAGCATTAAAAAAGAATCCTTGTAAAATGTGTTTTGACTAAGTATTTGTTTGTCTCTAGAACAATAGTTTACAACATTGTATATTTAAAATATTTGTACTTCAAAATGTAATATTTTCACTTGTAATATAGAATATTGCATATTGGCTTAAGTGTTGGAAAGGAAACTGCACAAATCTTATTAAATTAATTGTACCAAGGAAATTGAAAAAAAAGAAGTTAATAATTAACTTATAAATATGCATTGAAAGTTAGATTAGTCAATGAAATTCAAGTAGCACGTCAGTACGTCTTACGCTAAATAAGTAGCTAACATTACATCGCATTCACATAAAGTCAACGCTGCGTGCTTGAAGCACCTTTCACCACATTGACCGCTGCCTCTATCTCTATGTTTGAGGCTTCCGTATCTTGGAAACTATCCATTATTGAACGTTGCGTAAATGAGAATTTTTTCTCAGAATATTTTGAAGAACAACATATTAAATTTTCTGCCTATTTGACAAAGAATTCATTTCCATAAGATTTGTACGGGGTCCTTTTACACTTTTAAATTATATATATGAATAAATTCACTATACATATCGATGAATATCGATATACTTCAATGTCCAGATTTGAACAGCTTCTTTGTTTTGTGAATATATGATACAATGCAATGTGTACAGATTAATAACTTCAACCTATTATGATTATGTAGTATTCCGTATAATATGATATAATATGAAATCTGTATATAATTCATTCTGTATAATATGAATAACATCATTGTATTGTGAATATATGATGAACTGGACGGTGTATATAAGAATAACTTATTTCTATTGTAAATATATGTCACAACTGCACTAGGTATATATGAATAAGCTCACACTCTTGTTAATATGTGACACACTACATTGTGCATATTAAGAATAACTTATATGCGTTGTGAATACATGGTAATAGTTTCTCTGTATTATTACTGCTGTGTACTTTTAAATAAAATTTCAAAATAATGTTTTTTTCCTTATTTTATAAATAGGGCCGATTAAGCAACCTGAATGGATTCAATAAATTGACTCATTCCTCATATATATGAAAATTTAATGCTTCTTAGACCAGCTGTTTCAATTTTTTCCGTCTATCGAACCCAAAATAATCCCATTTTTTTATAGCGGGACTCCGATATCATAAAGTTCTATTGCTAGCAATTTTAAATGCTAATTATTTAATTATAAATAAACATTTAATTATTTTGAAAACATTTAATTATAAAATTTAAAAATATTTGCGAACTTATCATAATTTTTTAGATCGAGAGATTTATTTGAAACTGGTTTCATATTTAAATATTTGCGCCATATATGTCAAAAACACTCAATTCATATTTAAAAATATTTATCGAATTTTTAAAAAAATTTTTATTTAGTCCAATTCAAGAAAAAAAAACAGTTCATATATAAAGCTGACATTAGGATAGACATTTTGCGATTTTTTTTTAATAATTTCTTAGATCAAAGAAACTGGTTTAATATTGAAATATGGGTGTCATATTTGTCGTAAATACCCTTATATATTTAGAAAGATATAAAATTTTTGAAAAATGCCTATTAAGACCAATCTACACAAAAAGCAGTACATATATATATAATGGGATAGACACTGCATTTTTTTTTTTTTTTTGCATTGTGGGATTTATTTGAAACTTATTTTATATTAAAATTTGACTCTATGTTTAGAAACATTTATAAAAAAAATTTCTGAAAAGATCTATTAATACAACCAACACAATAGCAATACATATAATAACTAATATTAGGAGGGATCAGTTTGAAATTTTTTTATAATTTTTTGCATCATGGGATTCATTTCAAACTGGTCAAAGTGGTTAAAATATCAGGGACATATTTTCCGAAAACCACCATAGATGTTTAAGAATATTTATAATTTTTTTAAAAAAATGTCTCAGTTAGTCTTATAGAGCTAACCTTAGGGTGGGAGCCGTTGTTGCTCAGGGGATAAAGCTTTCGCCTTCCAATGAGGTGAACCGGGTTCGAATCCCTGCGATGGCTGGTCGATACGAATTCCGTTCCCGACTCGCACCGATCACAGTGCTGACGTAAAATATCCTCAGTGGTAGACTGACTGATCATGGGTTAGAGTTCACTTGCTATCAGGCTAACCATAAGAGGTTTTCGTGGTTTTCCACTCCATGTAACGCAAATGCGGGTTAATTCTATCAAAAAATCCTCCAAGGAAGGTAAATTTCTCCCAATACTTAGTCCAGGAGTTCGCTTGTCTTCTGGATAGGGTTCAAAATTACAAGGCTACGGCATTGAATACTAGTAGACGTAAGCCCCAAAATTGGGTCAGCTGTTCAACGACGGTTATAAAATAAAAATAACCTTAAATAAAAAATTTGCAAATTTTTTTATAATTTTTTAGATGGAGAGATTAATTTAAAGCTAGGATAATATTTGTCGAAAATACCCATATATCTTTAGAAATATTTATCGAAGCGATTTGAAACAGTCTTATTTAGACCAATTCACGTTAAAATCAGTTTATAAATATATACGGCTAATGTTAAGATGGTGAATTTACGAATTTTTAATAATTCTTTACTTCGAGGAATTAATTTGAAACTTGTTTCATATTAAACATGGACGTCATATTTTATGAAAACTCTCATATACGGCTGGAAATATTTCTAGAAGATTTCGGAAAAAAATCTTATTTAGTCTCAACTGCACCAAAAGCAAAACATATATTGATAAAATATGGGGAAACTCTTTGAAAATGCTTTATAATTTTTAGCATCACGTCATTCTATTGAAATTTGTTTCAAATTAAAATCTGACTGTCACGCTTTCCGAAAAAACCCATATATGCTTATAAATATTTATAGAACTTTTTTTAGGGAAGAAAATCTATTTACTTCAAAAAGCGATACATATAAGGAGGATAGTTTGCAAGCTTTTTATAATTTTTTTTTGCATTAATATTTTCTTACATACATATTTTCATAGAACATACATATTACATAGAAAATATCTTACAGACATATCTTCTAATAACATTTAGATTGTTTGGAAATGTTTACAGAAATCGTTTTGTGAAAGTCTTTTTTATTCCAATCATCGTAGAATGGAGAAAAAAAAATCTAGAACTAACATTTTTCGAATTTTTTAAAATTTTGTGCGCATTGGATTTATTTCAAACTGGTTTCATATTGAAATGGATATTTATAATTTATGTAAAAAATATTCAATTTTTAAAATAAAGTTCAAAACCTTTCATAGGATCATGAAGTACTATTATAGGATCATGAAGTAGGATCAAGAAACAAAATGAGCATAAACCTGAATTTCAGTGTCCACCACCTTTTAAAATTACGTTCATTCTGAGATAATTTAATTTTAGAATGCTGCTGATTTAATAAATTAGAAGATTTAAACTCAGGATAAAAAAGCTCAATGTTAAATTTTACAAATACTCTAAAAGCTACATTGATAACTACATACATATTTTATTTATACAGGAACTACATTTTAATGAAAAATTAACTACATTTGTTTATTAACTTGCGAGAGGGTTTCAAAATATTTGTATATTTTTTCAGTAAGCAATATTTTAAATTAAATATTCAACATAGTTCGAAACTTAATAAAAACTTCTGTAATTTTTGATATTTCCTTTTCGTTACTCTAATTTTCATTTTAAAATATCAAGAGCTTTTCAGGCATCACTGACTTTGAGTGATATGATAGACATTTAATGAATTAATCAAGTAACTTTATTAATTAATTAATTATATTATTTTCAATTCATAAACAGTTTTCATTGCATTTCGGTAAGTTCCCTGTTTCAGAAATTTTTAACTGTTTCCCTTCAATTTCCGTAAATTATCTACACCTGCAACTTTCTTAATTACTTATTTATTTTATTATTCGCAAGGGACTTGAGAAAATATTAAAAAAAGTCATTAAAAACTTGAGAAAACAGAAAGAGAAACCAGAGTTTTTAATTATTTTAAACAACTGTTTAATTTTAAAAAAAAACAGCCACAGTGATTTTAATAAAGCATATTTTGATATTTTAATGATTTTGTTCGTGCAATTTTGATTTCAAAAGCGGCTGAATTTATAATCCAGTGATTTTATTAGTCGCGATCTCAGTACTATTATATTTAATAAGTTTTCAGTTCTTCTTTTTTTTACTTTCTTTGCATTAACCCAATTATTTTGATTGCCTCACAGTAACTCAAATCTTCTTTATATCATTGGTGTAATGCTATTTTTAGACGCATTAAAAATACCTCTTTTGAAAAACTCTAGTTTTGATTTGTTTGAAGAATGGACTTGTTCCCAAATTCTGAAATTGACAGAAGTTCTTTTCCGTTCTCGTCTGCGGAAAAAAAATCATTCGGAGGACTAGTTAAAAAAAGTGCAGGTTTTGGAATAATACTATAACAACCTAGCGATTCATGGTGTTGCCTAACCTCTACCAGTTGTAACTGGTGAATTGATTAATTACGTCGGTATGAACGTAGTTGGAATAATTTTTATTGAAATTATGTATAATTTAAAACCAATTTTTTTAATTAAATAAATAAAGATACTTATGTTGTTTCCTGTAGAAGGAGCACAAACAAATATTTATAGCAATTTTGTAAACATGTTTTGTTGCAATTTCGTTAGAATTTATTGCAAAGTATGTTTTCATGATCTCAGTTGTTTTCAAAATTAGTGAAATAAAAACTGTTTACATAACGCGAAATATGTGCTAAACTAACAATAGCTTAACGATGCGGCAAATAAAAACATTGTAAAAGCGCAGATTTAATTTCCAGCATTATTAGTATAAGTAGAGTCATTTTATTCATTAACATTTAATTTACGCAAAATATGTCGTGGATATCTTAAATAACCATAATGTCGAAATGTATAATTTACTTTATCAATTTTCTTTCAACTACAAATCTTACCGTAAAAAATTTAGTGTTGGCAATAAATATTATGAAAAGCAGCTCGATTTATGTATGTCTATATATTATATATGTCTGTGTGTGTGTATGTTAAAAGGTTTATATCGGCAATATGACAGATTATTATCATCAAGGTTGTTAGAAACTTCTTTAAAAAAAACCGATTCGGGTTTTTTCAGGGAATGGGTTTTTCCAATTTCGACTGATTTTTTCTTCATTTCTTTTAGTTTTCGTAGTTTAGGAGTAAGTCTTGCTGCATAAATAAATACCATAAATTTCATTCCTCTTTTAAGTACGAAACTTACCATAAAAATTTAGTGTTGCCACGAAAATTATGAAAAGCAGCTCGATTTATATATATATATATATATATATATATATATATATATATATATATATATATATATATATATATATATATATATATATATATATATATATATATATATATATATATATATATATATATATNTATATATATATAGACTTCATCGAGAAATCGACAGTGTACAACTTTTTTCAACATTCCATTTTTTACAAGAGTTCAATATAAATGTGAAACAAACACTCTTGTGAAGAAAAAGGAGTAAAAATTTGCAGAAAAAAAAATTATAATGACGTCTAGCCCGCAGGGTAAAGTACTCGAAACAACTGATAATAGGTAACCATTTTTAAAAATTATGCTAGTTTAAGCGAATTAAAATATAAAAATTCCTTTTAAACACCGACATCCATCCTGAGTACTTCTTACCGTACAATCCATTTTTACCAGAACATGTTATGGAACAAAATATCTAATATGCCGTAAATTTTACATTTATTATTGTAATTATTTTAATATCACTGAATCACTCTAATTGCATAAATATCACTGCAAAAATTACAATATAATATTTTACGGTAAAAATGAATTTTGCGGATGATTCTCCGAGAGTGCCGGTTCATACAGTATTTTTATTTAGAATTCTTTATAGTGTACGTAATTGTACTCTCGTTATTAAAAGTCAAATTCTACAAACATAAACTATTTCACTTTAACATTCATAAAATCTTTGAATAATCATTATCTGAATTTCCTTTTATTTTATTTTATAACCGTCGGTGAACAGTCGGCCTAATTTTGAATTTACTTCTACCAACGCTGTAGCCTTGTAATTTTGAATCTAATCCAAAAAACAAGAGAACTCCAGGATCACGTATTGAGAGAAAGTTTGCCTTTTTTGGAGAACTTTTGATTGGAACTAACTTTCATTTCGAGACGAAAACCACTAAAACATGGAGACGAAAACCGCTAAAACATCCCAGGGTTAGTTAGGCAGCAAAGGGACTCTAACCCATGATCTCTACCACTGGGATATTTTACATCAGCACTGCAGTCGGGGCAAGCAGGGGGCAGAATTCCTGTCGACCAGCCGTTGCTAGGATTCGAACCCGTGGACGGCGAACGCTCTATCCCTAAGCTAACGCTAGCTATGGTAAAAGTATTATATATTGCAAGAAAACGCCGTTTGAAGAACATAGCAAGAAATAAAAAACGAAACGAAGTTACACTTAAGAAATTGTTTTTTTTTTTTTGCAACTAATTATTGCGCGCATGCTCAAAAAAAAAACGCTAATTATTTATGTAATCCCTAATATAAACTGATAAAAAATGAAATGTCAGCACATCTTGATAACATAAAGAGAATGTATGGTTAGAAGGAATTTATCATTACAATATAAATCTTTAAGAACACATAGATTTTATTACCTTTTTTATATATTACGACGTAATATGAAAACAGAAATATATTTGTTTTTAAGTAAATATAATCCCAAAATCCAAACAGAACCGCTACTCTTCTACTTTAACACAAATTCAATCCACTTTTATATCAATTACTTAAGCAGTTGTACAAACAATTTAGACATCATGAAACTTGATTCGAATTTTTATCCGAAGGCGTCTGCAGCAATGAAATCTTTCACGCATTATTTCTAATTATATACTTTAAGCATATAATTTAGTATTACAAGCATTTATTAAGTCATTTTATGGATATATATCATGGATAAATTAAGAAGTAAAAAATTAAACACAAGTTCATAAGATCTATTTATCAAAAACATTGGATACCATTATAGTGAAAATCCATGGATATGAGTGGGCATTTAGAAATTGTTACAGGTTCGTATACTTTAACTTACGTAGAAAATTAATTAAGCTTTTTTTAATTTATAAGTGATGTCTTTTGAAAATTATCAATTTTTATTCATAATAAATAATATAGTCTACTATTGTAAAATTTTTATGTTATATATTTGCACTTTAATTGGTTCCAGAAGTAAATAAGAAGTTATTACAATAAGTATTTAGATATTTTTTGGGTACAAATGCTGAATGTTACATACTTCTAATAATTTCCATACTTACACATTAAGAATAAAAAACAGTGAAAACTACTAGAATATGGTAAAATTTACCTTGTTAAAATCTCTATGAGAACACCTAAAAGCTCCGTAATTTTTACCGATGGGCGTCAGTGATGATTTCGGTAAAATTAACAATAAAATATGGTTAGATAAATATGTAACAAATTCGTAGATTTGGTAAATTCAAAAAAGTTTGGTAATTTTATCACGATACCTTGGAGTATAGCATAAAAACTAATCATTCGGTTAAATTTATTTTTCAGTTTTATATTTTTTCTAAATGTGTAGCATTTTATCTTACATTATAGATAAAAACTATAATTCTGAAAAGCAGAATTTCCGGTAAACTGTTACTATAGGAATGGTAAAAATTACAAAATGAATGATTTAAATATCGTATATTTTGATTTTATAAACCTGTTTTTTTTCTTCTTCTTTTTTACAAAAAATGTCATTACTATACGGCACGAAAATTTTATCAGAAATTTTTATGTATATATATACAAATAAATACGTCATAAATATGTACATTATGGATATTTATATTTTGAGCTGATCCAAACATTTCTGATATCATTTGCATGCTATAGATAAAACTAATATTAATAATTAGGTTAAATTAAAATTGAACTACACATACAATAAGTTTAAAATAATGTTTGCTTTCAGTACGAAAAAAAACTTTTTAATATTTAAGATAAAAGATTTTTTTTAAATCATAAATAAAGATCATTATTTTGTACTGTAACCACGTATAAATAGAGGCTCTGAGTATTTTAAAATCCTAATGAGTTCTACGATAGATTAAAATATAGGTAAAGAAAATATGTGTAGATAAAATTTTTATTTGATATAAATATCAAATAAAATACTAAACCAATGAAATAAGTAATATTTAACGAAGCTTAAATATTCCACGGTTGAGATAATTGAAAATTTTCAGTCCATGAAATGTTTCAATTAGTTTAATTCTTCTTCTTTACAAATAGTCAAAGCCATATTTTGATTAATAAACTCGTGTTTTCACAAGCATTGTTAGAAAAAATTTAAGGCTTTGTATATGATGAGTTTCACATTTTTTTTGATATTTAAGTTCTGGTACACCGAAGTATACAGGATGAAATTTGAAGGAAATATTTAAGTACAGCTAGGTGTAAATTTCGCTTTGCAACTTGCTCTTTTCTTTTCGAGATCCGACATATAATGCGAGTAAATATTAAATCGTAACACAAGAGTTTGCGACACCTATTTTGCTGAATGAATATTCGATTATGATTATGATTTATTCATTAACATTTTAAATACAAGTTTTTCTGTTGTTACTGGTTAACCCTTCCTGCTCAACACTAGTTTGGCAGAAAAAGCCCTAGAGGTTGTCCTGAGTACAAGGGAGATACGTCGAGGGGGATGTAGATCGGATCGAACAGCAGTATCACGATTCATCAGTGTCCATTTAAAAAGCTTAACTGTCGAATTTGGGTTAAACAAAGTTTTCCTAGCACGTAGCAAGTACAAATTGAAACTTGCTTTCCCCTTGAATGTCTGGAATTTTCCTTGGAAGACAATCTCTTGAGACCAATTATGGTATATAATTTTGCCAGAGAGTTTGGATTCGTGGATTCGATATAGCTTTGGCTATATTGTAAAGGATTGGAAACAACAAGAATATAAGTTTATCAAAAAAGTACAATTAATTTTTATATTGTCTTTAAACTCAGAGCGGTTTTTTCTTGTGGAACATTAAACTTTTATATTTCAGCTTGGCTTCACCCTTAATTCCGTAAATCATTAATAATAAAAAAATGATTCATTTACAAATAAGTTGATAGGTAGCTACTTCATTTACGTCGCACTAGAGCTGCACAATAGGCTATTGGTGACGGTCTGAGAAACATCCCTGGGGATGATCTGAAGACATGCCATCACAATTTTGATCCTCTGCAGAGGGGATGGCTCCCCTGTTTTGGTAGCCCGACAAGCTGCGAGCGAAGTCGAGCACTTAACGGCAGAACAGCTTTACGAAGGCCTATACCGCTCACCCTCGGTCCCTACGCAGGCTGATCAAAGTGGTCACCCACCCGCACACTGACCGCAGCCAGTGATGCTTGACTTCGGTGATCTGCTGGGAACCGTGTCTTCACGATCAGTTTGTTCACTGCAGGACATTTACGAATAAGAGAATATAATTTTGAGCATCGTTGAAGAGTTGTGACAGGTTAGATCGGAATTATAGAGTAAGATCAGAATAAAAAAACTACGATCTTTCTCTTCAATTTCCAGCACCACTGTTCTTTAAGTCATACGTTCGCTTCTCGTTTCCCCATTCCAAGAGATTTTCGTTCCCCACAGAAACCATCTCCTTAACTCAGAATTTTCTATCTTATTTCTATCTTAAATTTTCTTTCTTATTTCACAAAATAATTTTAATACTTCTACTGCGTGTTATGCTGAATAGTCTCCCCGAACTCTTATACTTATGGTGGTTTGTGTGATTTAGTGACTACCGGAACAGATTTTAAATTACTTTTAAAATTCCATACGTAAAGAACTTAGACAATATCGCCGACATCTCTTGAAAGTAGTTAAAATTGAACTAAAATCCTTACGCGCGTGTACAAAGTCACGTACAACTAGACGGTGAAACAAATTGGTTATTATGTTGTTTGAAACTAATTATGGTGTTAGGATTGGAGTAAAGGTTTACTAATTAGAATATTTAAGATGGTTGTGCAAAGCATTCGGTGCGGCTACCATTAAAGTTTATATGTTATATAAGTTTATTTTGAAAGCTGATCTAGCTGGTCGCCAAAACGACTAGTATTTTCATAAAATGGTTTATATTAATTCAACTTAATGCTTATTATGGTGTTACACATTTTCATGACGGGTTCGGAGAAGCGATATTAAGACTTAATATTACCTTTCGCATCAGTCTTACTAAGCCAAAATGCACGTTACACAAGTATTATAGTTTCTCATTACTAAAGAAATGAATTAAAAAACAGGTTATTTTTACTTCTACTCCCATTAATAAACCATATAAATTATGAGTTTGGATTAGAATCCTGAGTTTATAAGTGTGAATAATTTATTGACTCTATAAAAAGTGTTTTTTAAGACATTAAAAGTGTTTTTTTTCTAACAAAACGTGATTTTAATACGTGATACTAATAATTTATTTTTGTAGAGGCGGCCCCAGTGTCTAGCGCTCCAGAAGAAGACAGGCGACGATCTTCTAATTTTTCAACTCACATGTCAAGAACTCTAGATGGGGAACGACGACGATCCTCTGATTTTTCAACTATTATGTCTAGAGATCCAGATGGTGACAGAAGATGCTCTGAATTTTCAATTAGAACTTCAGATGGGGACAGAAGACCATCTGATTTTTCAACTCGCATGTCAAGAAGAAAGAGCATAGATTCATCAGCTATTTTGGATACGAACTTGCGACGATGCTTAACAACTCTCGACATCACCTTATTAGCCGTGGGACAAATGATAGGAATGGGTGTTTACGTCATCATAGCTACAGTTGCCAAAAATATTGCAGGCCCTGCCATCATTATTTCATTTCTATTTAGTGGTGTGGCATCATTTCTAAGCGCTCTTTGTTATGCTGAACTTGGTGTTAGATATCCAAAATCTGGTTCCGCGTACTCTTATACGTATTTGGCGCTTGGCGAACTATGGGCTTTTATTGTCGGCTGGAACATGGCACTCGAATATGTCATTGGTGCCGCTGCAACAGCTAGAGCTTGCAGTGCTTACATAGATTCCTTAACGGATGGTTATATTAAAGCTTCAACCATTAATATAACAGAATCTATAAATGAGGCATTTTCGATTGAATACTTAGACTTTTTTGCTGTAGGTCTATTATTACTGGTCGTGATATTTCTTTCGTTTGGTGTTAGAATAACTTCCTATGTAAATAACATATTTTCAGTCATAAGTCTTGCTGTTATTATTGTCATTCTCGGAGTAGGTGCATATTATTCAGACATTAGTAACTGGACCGGACCAACTACAGAGGGATTTATGCCGTATGGATGGTACGGAGTTCTGGGAGCATCTGCTTCCTGTTTTTATGCTTTTGTGGGATTCGACTGCATAGCATCAGCTGGGGAAGAAACCAACTCACCCCAAAAAGCAATACCTAGAGCTACAATGATATCAATGGCTATAGCGACTGTTAGTTATGTGGGTGTCTCCATAGTGTTAACTCTAATGGTTAATTACAAAGATTTATCTGGTGATTCCGGACTCCCAGATGCTTTTGGCATGCGTGGAATTTATTGGGCAAAGTATTTGGTTGTTACAGGCGCAATTTGTGGTATGGCAACAGCAATAGTTAGCATAATATTTGCTATGACACGTGTCGTTTATGGCATGGCTGAAGATGGTTTATTGCTAACATTTTGTTCTAAAATTAGCCCCAGAACAAAGACACCTCTTCCTGCCATGTACATATTTGTCTCTCTATCTGGAATTTTGACATTGATTTTAAATATCAATTCTTTGATCGAAATAATGTCGATTGGTGCTCTTATTGCTTACCTTGTTGTGAGTATATCAGTCATTGTCTTGAGATATAAGCCACCTATGATTTTAAAAACTGCTACGCGGGAATTAGACACAATTACTGAAGATAAAAGAATGTCTTTCACAGAAGAGACAGATCCTGCGGGTAGATTGAAGGAAATATATCGCGTTATGTATATTTTTAGGTTTTTCCCACCGCGCATGGCGCAAAAAGCGATAATTGCATTCGTAATATTTACTTTCTGCCTTTGTGGCTTCACAAGAGGATGTCTAAAGTGGATTTTTGGTGGTCAAGTATGGGCTCTTTTTGTTTTCGTTTGTTTACTTTTGTGCGTTATATTGTCTTTGCTTATCATCGTCATGCATCATCAGTCAAATACAGAACTCAGATACAAAGTAAGCATAATGTTTCTTTCTTTAATAAAATTTTTTGAGCATAGTTCCATTGTTACAAAACTAACTGTTTAAGTTTTGTTAAGTAAAATGTTTAAGTTGTTATCTTGTCATCTTTAGTGTGATACGAACACGAGTTTTTCATTTTAAAAAGTGGCATTCTTTTCGTTAGAATATTATCTACAGATTTATTATCTTCTTTTATTTGTTAGATTTAAAACAATTAATTCACGAAATTAAACATTAATGGTCGATATTACATTATAATCAAAGATTTATTACCAATTCACATAGCATTTCAAACGTTATAATAACTTGAAGTAACTACTTGGCTTGATCGTTAGCTCGTAATTAGACAAATTAATAAAATTGTGGCATAAATCAGGAAACCTTGATGGATAAGTGATGATTCAGGTTTGAATCCTAGTTAAGGTATTCGTATTCTGTATTAAGCACATCAAATATCTCCCAGCCAGGACCAAAGCACATAGCTTAATTATTAAAACTGCTAGGAATGCCACGTAACTTTGACTCATATCAGATGACATGAACGGCGCCTGATCTTGTACCTCTCTAGTCAAATTTCCACACCACAATTAAACGAGAGAACTATGAGTTAAATCGCATTTAGCGTGCATGTTAAATCTTACGTGGTTTAATCATCTGAGCTTAGTCGGTTTCAAGGATCGAACTCACTATCCCGAGTGCTTCATCATTGGAGTAGGAGATACCATTACCAACAGAAGCATCCAGAGTGCCAATTAAGCGTAGAATTACGAAACTATCCTCAGATGCAAACGTTTTTGCATTTGATCCCGATTTCTTGCGGGATAGCCATCGACAGTTTTCGTTCTATGGAACGAATGACAAAAAGTCTTCCTGGAAAGCAGTTTAACCGAATAGTTTATTCGGAATGTTTCTCAATTTTTTTAATTGGTTTCAAAATTATTGAAATTAGTAATTATTAAGTATGTTGTAATCCGCAGTTCATCTAATGAAGCGATGTAGCCCAGCTAATAAATTGCGTGACTCAAATAAGAGAGAAATTATTTCTTGTTCTCAGTTTAACATGAACGCCGACTTAAAATGTTTAATAGTTGCAAACGCATCTCGATTTAGAGTGGCACGTCTCTAAGGGGTCATGATACATGGTTTCATGTCATTGAAATCAACGGAGATATTATCATTTGGCAAGAACATGTCTTCAAATTTTATTAAATAGCTTAGAGCTACGTTTTTAACTTAGTTGTGTGCCCTTAAAAGCAAGATCATAACACATAACATTATGGTATACTTTTTGGGTATTTTTTTATCATTTTTCTTTTTACATGCTTTAAATTATGCCCCTATCTTTGAACTCAAAATTTTGATAAATAATTATGTTATGTTTTTACCGGATTTATAAAGTTTTGCTTTATTGAAAAAAGTAGAACCTTTTAAATAAAGTTAGTTTAATCTTGGTATAGTTTACTCTAACTATGAGTTGTTGCTAAGGAATTGTATGAATAAAAATTGTTTAAGCATTGTTTCTATCTTCAATTTATATGTGCTTAAGCATTTATGGTTTCGATTAAGGAAACAGTACAAACTTTATTGAATTAGTTGCTTCTCTTCCAAATTTTCGTAGTTGAGAAAATGATCAATGATTAATATTTTAAAATAATTTGATAAATGCTTTATTGTTCTTTTTACAGGTACCATTGTTTCCATTAGTACCTGCTTTAAGTATTATTCTAAATGCCATTTTGATAGTTAATTTGCAGTTAATTACATGGGTGAGGCTTCTGGTTTGGATGGTAGTTGGTGAGTAATTGCAAATAATTTTGATTCATTAGCTAAGAGCTCTAACTTGATTGATTGTTTTCATGCACATTTAAATAAGTGTTTCTATTTCATACGATAAAGGTAATCGCTAAACAGTAAACTAATCAATATTTTGGAATAATTTTTGTTCCATTATACCATCCTTGAAAGCTTTCGATTAGGCCTAGAGTTACCAAATTTTAGATCTTTAATAATTTAATTTAGTTTTAAAATAATTTTGATAAGGTTTTAAAAATACTTAAAATTTATTATTTTATTACTATATGTCATAAAGAGATAATTGTCTTAACGTTTCGTGTATTTTTATTGGAAAGAAAAATCTCGTCATAATTTTAATAAGCATAGAAATTCCGTAAATCTTAGTTTCTCATTATTAACAAAATTAATGAAACGTTTCAGCGGTATTCACCTGTAATCAATTCAGTTTATTCCATGTTCAACAGTATTTCAAATCCATATCATCATCAGATCTTAAGAAAATCTTTAACAGCCATTCTAAATATTATTCTCGGAAATTACTATGTTTTTGATTTTATTTTTTGTTCAAAATGAAGTCCTTAAAATCAAAAGCTATTTTATTAAAAAGCAAATCGCATGATAATACTTCTCTCTTTTGTGAGAAATATTTAATGAGTTTTTAAGTAACCAAAACTTAAATAAGATTTTAAAAACAATACAGTCAAGGAAGTTGTAACTTTAATGGGGCAAAGTAATTAAGATTAAATTTTATCCTAATCGAATCAGAAATTAAGCCTATGGAATCGAGTCAGTGTTAGTTTATGCAATGAAAAATATCTTTACATTTAATGAGTTTTAATTTTTATGCAAACATCTACTTATGGTCAAAATATAAAATTATTACGAAGCAATCAGCAGGACGTCGTAAGTAAAAGGTGCAGGATATAGCACCCTAGTTTCTATAAATATTGGCTATCAAAAATATAATGATAACATTAATAAATCATCGTAGATGGAAGAAATTTCTATAAACATTGAAAATTTGTACCACAAAGTTATTTAAGTTTTACATGCCGATATCAAGTTCTATTAGTCTTTATAATAGAGATATATGAATCACATTTTTTTGATAACGTATACTTCAAGACATTAAATAATGCAGTGTATTGTGGATGCATTAATTTTGTCACATACTGGTCAATAATTACTGTGTCTTTTAATTATAAAAAAATTAAATTAAAAAAAAACTACTCTTTTGAAAAATTTTAATATTTGGTGTTCGTAATAATGTTTATTAGCCTCTGAAAATTTTATTTTCGAAAATTTATTAATTCAAAAACCAATTCTAATTTAATAAGAAAAAGTGAACGTAATAATAACCCACAAAAATAGCTAAATTTTCTTTTAACTCTTTGCTTATTCTGTAAGTTCTCATAATGGCTAGCATAAATTTAGTGGGAGAAAAAGTAATAATTCAATCAAAGCGTCTTCACACCTAGAAGTTGAATTTAGCTTATTATGATTCGTTTAAATGAATTCAAATATTTAATTCAAGAAGTGAAGCTAATTTGAATTTATGAAACGATCTTATTTGTCTCAGCAACAGGATGTATGTATTTTTTTTCCCAATACACACTTGTTATTCAGGTATCAGTAGGGCAGATTTGTTGGCCATTTAGTTTAGAGACACCTTATAAGGAGGTCAAACGTTACTGTAAGGACAGATAGTACAGAGAATGAAAGAACATCCATGCCTTGTCCAGGATTCGATCCCAGGACCTGTGATGGGAGGTCAGCTCCTTGACCACTACATAGGCCAATCGAGTATGCAGAAAATAAACACTGATTTATTTTAGCGATTATGTTTTAAGGATTTTTATACGCCATCTTAAATTGCAAGAACTTTATTACAATAAAATTAAAGTATATAATAACGTTGAACACGGTAGATAGCAACAAATAATTTTTCGAATGTTCCTTCAGGTGAACAATAAAAATAGAAATATTGGAATTGAGATTCATACACAAAACACCGGAAGAGATTAAGTGTATGTCACTTCCGTGCGTACCTGTGGTTCATAAACTAGTTCCGTCATGTACGACAAGTCCTCTCATGCTCTTTCTAAACGATGCCAATCAATTCAGTGCCAAAATGTGCAATTATTTTTAAAAATTAACTTTTTTTCTTCCTAATCAACGATGAGTACGAAACTAACATGGAAAATCTGTTTCGCACAGCCCATAAAAAGAAATTAAAAAGAAAACTGCCTAGAAAGATTTTTTGCAATATTTCAGCTACTTTTCAACATTAAAAAAATTGAAACTTTTGTCCTACCACGCTATATGTTCTGTTCATAGGATATGTTATCGAATATCAGAATTCTGCCGAGCTGCAAGTCACTGGGAGCAAGATCGGAAGGTGGATAGTAAAATTCCTTCTGTAGCAGATTTTTTTCGTCATGAAACAAGACAGTTATCCTATACCGTCTCCATCTTCTTTTGCTCCTGAACAAATCTGTCCATACATCACTTTTCCGCGGACAGCAGGAGTGACACGCTGGCTCCATCCCCTGGCAGCAGACTTGTATCTTAATGGACTACAAAAACTTATGAGAAGTATTACAGTTCCAGTGGCTTTTATGATGAGAAGTAGCTGAAATATTGCTGTATGTTTTGCAATAAATCTTTCCAGGAAATTATGGTTTCTTTCTCTAGGCCATCGGAAACTTAACTTCTAGATGGCCCTTATAATTCTTTCGGTAGTGGAATCTAAACATGTTATTCTTTCAGGTCTTGCACTTTATTTCACGTATGGCATGGAACACAGCAAACTAGATCAAGCGATGCAAACATTGAGATCTTGGGTACCAAATCAAGCGAATCTCCCAGGCCGGTCTAATTTTACCAAAAGAGCAAGAAATCAACCAAGACCTTCTCAAGAAGGTCTTTTCGATAATCCCTTACCAGAAACCATAATTAAAGAATAATTATTTATTGTAAAAGATCTTTATGCCATTTAAAAAATTTTAAATGCTTTTATGTATCTATATAATAAATATATGTACTACTTCAGTAACATTTTTTGAGTTTGTAGTGAACTGTATTTTAAACTATTATTAAGTATACTGTATATTTTTTGACGAGTCGTTATTTATGTTTATAAAATGAATGAAATGTGTGATTTAAACACGGAGAAAAAAAATTCTGTTAAAATTTCCGCAATGTATGACACATTTCTGGTTAAAAAATACATAATTCTGGTTTAAAAAATTATATGAATGGTATTCTAACTATTCATTTGGTAGTTTTTTCGTTAATGTATTAAGGGTTTACCGACAATTCTGTTTTTCAAAATTATAGCTCTTACTAACACATATTTAGTAAAAAATACAGAACTGGAGAGTAAATTTAACCAAATAAATGCTTTTTACATGATACGGAGTCATGATAAAATTATCGAATTTTATTACAATTACCAAATTTTAACTCGCATTTAAAACTATACTTTATTGTTAATTTTACTAAAATAATTATCAAAGAGTAACGGTAAAAATTACAAGCATTTTGGTATTCCCATGGAGCAAGAACCATATTATTAATTTACCATATTATAGTAGTTATGACTATACTTTTTTTAAGTGTATCAGTGTAATTGAAGTTTGGTGAGTAATCAGAGCAAAATCTATCAGGAAAAAAAACATATCGGAAATTACTTCTTTTAGTGCTTACGAAAGATTATTTTTTAAAATTGAATTTTTTCTGAATTTTAAATATTTTTTCTCAATAAGAGGGGTTGTTGTGTTTTACCTCACCTTTGACAAAAAAACAAATTGCGATCATATGGGGGCGTAACATTTTAACAATCCCTGTACTTGGAAAACAGATAAATCTGAATGTACATGAAGTTATTTAAGTGTATTACTAACTAAATAATAAAATAATTAGCAAGATATTTATGAAAAAAAATTTGTAATACGAATAATACGATACTAATTAGAGCATCCTTTTTTCTTTTCCTTACCTGCTGGAAAGCAGGGGCGTCAGGATACGAGATCAAAATCATTGTGATCCCCAAAAAATTTTCCTTTTTCATCAATTTTGCACATTTTTTCTGAAATCGGTAATTGTAACAATTAGGGAAACACGAGAGGTTCGACACATTTTTTATAATAACACAAAGAAAAATTTTGCTTCATAAAGTTTCACAAAGAAAAAATTTTGAAGTTGACATAAATTAATAGCTTATAAATCGATACCTGTTTGCATTATTTTCTTTTACTATTATAAACTGCACTTTCTATCAATGATTTTTCAAGAGTGAACAAATTCGATGGCTTGGTTCAATGGAGGTTTGACTCATATGGGCTTCAAAAATTTATTAAAATTTTTAAAGCAAGAATTAATCATCTAAAGAAATGTTACATGCAATAATTGCATCAAAAAGTGTATTTATTTACTGGTGAAAAAATAACAAGTCTGAATTTAAATTGTTAAATGAATTTAGTTTATGTTAGTAAACTAAACTAGATAAAGACAATACTTTTATTTTTTTATTGGTTTCAGGTTTTTTTTTCTTAATAATTTGCAAAATCTTCGTTATTTTATTACTTTCTTTTAAGTTGTGCCTCTTTTTGATTTCACTTTAGGACAAAAAGGGATGATAAATAAATGTAAATAACGTTAAGTAAGGGATAGACATTTACAGGCAAATAGCGTGTTGATTTTTATTAATTTTTATACGGATGACAGCCAGAGATACTGTATTTTCTATGTTTAGTTATGATGATAGAATGTGGTTTTTATGATATCTATAGGCATATCATAACGTTTCAACAATTTTCATTGGTTGATTTTACACAATCAAGTTTGTTTGTCAAAAGCTTTTAATGTCTACTTAGCAATATTAAACATTTTAGTGAGGTGCTAACTATAAGCTATTTTAGAATTTATGAAAAAAATTCTTTAATGAAAAAAATTACATTGTTGTTTTTATTCCTCACTCAAAATCATAAAGTAATAGAAGTTTATTAAGAATTATTTATTTCACTAACACTTTACAATGATAAATGTATGCCTGAAGTAAAAACAGTTTCAGTGACTAAATTTTGCACATTTTTAAACAGTTTTAAAAGCTTTTGTATAATGTAACTGTTTTTTTCTAACGCAAAATAACAAAGTTATAGAAGTTTATTAAGAATTATTTATTTCACCAAGCTTTTACTGTACTGTAATAAATGTATTCATAAAGTAAAAATAGTTTCAGTGGTGGCTAAATTTTGCGCATTTTGAAATAACTTTAACAATTTATTTCTAAAGCAAAATAATAAAGTAATAGAAGATTATCAATAATTATTTATTTCAACAGCACTTAACTATACAGTAATAAATGTATGCTTTAAGTAAAACCAGTTTCAGTGTCTGAACTTTGTACATTTTTAAACAGTTTTAACCGCTTTTGCATAACTTAAGAAAATAATTCATGTTAAAATCACTTTTAAACAGTAAGTACAAAAATGGCTATTACTTGAAATATAATAACTATTGCTCTATTTCAATCAGAGAGGTAAATAAAACAGAAAATAATTCATGATCTAAGAACTAATTAACTTTCCTCAGTAGCAAAGTCGACACAATTTAAGAAATTAACGAAAATTCCTAAAACACAGAATTCATGGGGATGTATGTATGAATTTAACACTTACTTTTAAGAGAATTTAAATTACGTAGCTTCTAAAAATATAAATTTAAACCCTTTAAAATATTTCAATTTTTTTTAAAAATCTCTTTGAGGAATTTTCAATTTAATAGAACACTAACGATAAAAGAAATTCCTCAATGACAGAGGCCACTTGTTGCTACTAATCTCTTCTTCTGTCACCAGCTCCTTTTAAAGGTGATGCATTTCCGGAATCAGTATCTGTAGATTCTCCTACAAAAAAAGTTTGTCTTTTGTAATTAAAAAAAAGTAAATTATTAAAGTTTTACACGGGATATAGGATAATTTTTAAAACTATGCACGGGAAACTCAACCGCAGAATTTTTAATACAGTTTCATTAAAACACTTCAAGAAGACGAATAGGAATAAAATTAAAATTTAGGAAAAGGGGGATCAGAAAAAATTTCATTTTTTACATTAAAATCAAATAGATAAATACATTTTTAAATACTTTTTTAATTTTTAATTGATAATATAAAAACCTCGTTATCAACAACCAGTTGCTATCTAGTGTGCAAATTTTAATTGCCAGATCAATAAAAATCAATTTGTTTCTGAGCAAAATCTCTAGACATGCCATTTTGTACAACATCGAAATTTTTTTTTAATACAGGGTTATTCATAATTCCCTCCGGGGTTTCGAAGCGTTATAGTAAAAAAACGAAGACGAATATGGCAAAAAAGAACATATGAAATTATTCCGAAAGTATTCAAGTTTTAATTTAAGCAGTTGCCGGTAGATGGCAGTAACATGTACCACTGAAGCCAATTGTAGTAATGAAAAATGGCGTTTACAGGCGAAGGGAATTATGAATAACCCTGTATTTTGCCAGATAGAAAATGCTGTAGCAAAAAAAAAAAAAAAAAATGAAAATACGATTGTGCAATATCCGACGAGGGTGGTGGGCGAAGCACTAGTATAGTTCGTTCACCAGGAATTAGCACTTGGCTTCGAAGAGTTCATTTCAGCGCAGGAGTAAAAGGAGAAACGACTCCGCTCTTAAAATTGAGACAACCCTTAATGCGCGCCAAACGCAAACAGTGAATTCTTTTTCAATCACTTACTTCGCTTTATCATCTGCTATTATACCTTTCGTTACTCTAACTAATTAAATATATTGCAGCGAAATGTCTCAAAAAGGACAAACTATTCATTCAAAGGAGAGAAATATCAAATTTATGAAACATTTAATGTTAAAAAAAGGCACATAAAGATTGCGAAGTAAATAGTTTTGTCATACGATAGCCAAATAGCAAGCTTGTCCAAGATTGTTTACATCATTCTCCCAAAAATAGCGAAATAATATCGTCAGATGCCACTTGATGAAGGCGGAGCCAAGTGCCATCTCCTGGTGAACGAACTATACCTCTCAACCCAATGCCTGAATTATTTCGAATATGTGGTCTTCTTAATCAATACTAGTAAAAAAAATCAGAATTATCGGATTTAAATTTAGAAAAACCACCTTTATCATTAATGAACGTCAAATGCACTTGAATAAATATCGCAAATAATTTTAGTAGTATTGGTAGTGCTTCTGTTTTTGTGAAACTCATAAAACATACAATGCATGTGTACCTGTTCCAACTCTTATCAGGCCATTTCGCCATAAATTGCAAATAATAATAATAAATAATGAAATTTAAATATTTATGATTAAACAAGTCAATCTCTATTCTTAAAATGTTTTTGTTATTGTTTTGAAGTACACAATAACCGATAAATGGAAAACAATATCGAAATGCACATTAGAAAAGATCAATATTATTTCTTCCCCCTCAGTAATTACATTATTTCCATAATATGTCTCTACTTTGTGAAAACCATTACAGACAAAAAAATTTCAAACGTCTGAAAAATATTTTTGGCTCGTTAAATCTATAACTATCAAAAGATGGAGTATACCTGTTGGTGCTAAAATCGGAGTTTTGCAAAGACTATGAACATCTCCTATTATATCCACTGCATCATGCCGACGTCGTTCCTTTGAATTTTTTCGACTTCCGTGGTTATATAGATGTGAGATTTTCTCCATTTTCTTGCAAATATCTTTGGCTAAATTCTTCGTGTCGTTGCATACCTTTAAAGTTATATATAAAACAAAACATTCAGAAATATATAATTTTCGGTTGTAATATTTTTGCAAAATATTTTCGATAATATTCTTAACGTGGAGAAAATTGAAGAATATTCTCTTTGAAATTTTACATAATAATGACATGCCAAAATTATTTTATCCATGAATGACTAATTTTAAAAGAATAAAAAAATATTTATAATTGCTATGTAGGAAACAAAAATAAGACATAGAAAGTCATCTATGAATTTCTATTGTATTATCTTGATCCTTATGTGCAAATATACAGATAACAGTTTTATCACGTACAAAATAGACTAGCGATACTATTATTTGTGTTCAAATTAATCATATGAGAATGTTTCTGATGTAATCATAACCGCAGGACGAAAATTAACAAACTTTAAGAGTGGAATAGTAGACACATGGGACTTTCTCTTACGGAAATTGTAAAGAAATTCAATATTCTTAGATCTGCAGTGTCAAAAGTGTGCCATAAATACCAAATTTCAGGAATAACCTTCCACCATGTGCTACCTAGTGGCCAACCGCCTGCTCTTAGTCACTGAAATCACCGTCCTATGCCTAGAATTGCCAGTGTTAGCCAGGCCCGTTCCCAACTGATTCGAGAGGGGGGGTGTTGAAGTTTATTTTGCCGACTGTCATGTACGTGTANGTGTTAGCAGAGACAAGTAACATTTCTTGCAATAGCGCATCAATGCGAGATGTGAAATGGACGTGTCCGTTAGGACAGTGCTGTGGAATATGGTTATAATAGGATATGGCAACAGAGGACCGACTCAGATGCCTACTAACAGTACGACATCACCTCCAGCTCTTGTGACCACATGGGTAGGACTTAGACGATTGGAAAACTGTGATTTAGTCAGTTGAGTCACGATTTCAGCTAGTCAAACCTGATGGGAGAGTTTGAGTGCTTCGCAGTCTCTACGAAGCAATGGACACAAGTTGTCATCAAGGCACTGTACAATATGGTGGTGGCTCCATAACGGTGCGGGCGGTCTTTCACGGCAGGTCTTATGGCCTGATTGCACCAATCATTGATTGGAAATGGTCATGTTCAACTACTCAGAGAGCCCTTACAGCTACTCATGGACTTCATGTACCCAAACAATGATAAAAATTTTATGGGTGATAATGTGGCATGTCACCGGACCTTAATTTTTCGTGACTGGTTTGAAGAACATTCAAGACAGTTCAAGCAAATGAGTTGGCCACTAAGATTGCCAAACATAAATCCCGAGCAGCGATGTCTAAGGGGATAGAGCATTCACCTTCCAATGATGTGAACCGGCGTTCGATCCCGGCAATAGCTGGTCGATACTAATTGCGCATCCGGCTTGCACCGACCACAGTGCTGACGTGAAATATCCTGAGTGGTAGACGGATCATGGGTTAGAGTCCCCTTGCCATCAGGCTAACCACGGGAGCTTCTCGAGGTCTTCCTCTCCATATAACACAAATGCTTGTTAGTTCCATCAAAAAGTCCTCCACGAAGGCAAGTTTCTCCCAATACTTGATCCAGGAGATCCCTTGTCTTCTGGATTGGTTTCAAAATTACAAGGCTACGGAGTTGAACATTAGTAGTCGTAAACCCAAAAAAATGAGTCGGCTGTTCAACGGTGGTTATAAAAAAACATGAATCCCATCGAACATTTATGGGATATTATCGAGAGGTCTGCATCCGCAAGTTATCTATTCAGGCTGCATGGGAGAAAATTCCTGCTAAAGATTTCCAACTACTTGTTGAGTACATGCCAAGCCAAGTTGCTACACTTCTTACACTTAAATAAAGTCTGACACGATATTAAGAGGTATCCTATGACTTTTTTCACATCTTTGAATAAATCTGCGTATCTTTTTTCAGAAGCTGTTTATTTAATCAAAATATGATCCATTTGCTTCAATATACTTTTCGCAAGGAGATTTTAATGCATTGATACTTTGCATAAATTTGATCTTTTGCATCAATAAACTCTGTTATCGAGTTTCATTTCAGACTATTTAGTCCGAAAAAATTGTTCTAAATGTCTGAAAAGATGAAAGTTAATTGACGAAACATCCGGTGCAGAAGCTTATTCACTACCAACACTAGTTTAAGCGAGTTTAATTTATTAGAACAATTTCGTTGATGTATTTTGCTATCAGCAGGCTAATTAATATTGCTGAATTCTTTGTTAACTGATATTCTTTTTGAACTAACATGGCATGAGGCTTTTATCGTGCCATCTACGGCATAAATCGAAACAAATGTAAATTTTCCTGATATAAACTGAAAATTTTGAAGAAAGATTAATTTTTGATATATATAAAGAAAAAAGGGGAACATCTAAAGACTTCTCAGTGGTAGAGAATTTTAGTGAACAACTTAAAAATTAGTGACTATTTTAAGAAAGACCTAGTGGGAGCCCTGAACTTACCTTTAGCACATGAGTACCCACATTTGAAGACAGAGAACTGCTGCTTTTGCCAACTTCAGGGCTACTTCGAGGACTTTTAGAAGAATATTTCTTTCGAAACCGAAACATTCCATTCGGGGTACTCGTTTGGCGAGCTGTCACAAAAGAAAACTCTGACGAGCTCGGTACTTTGGACATCAATTTTTGGCAAGTGGGTGAAAATTTAAAACTCTTTAGCCTGATTTGGAAGAAACTTAAGTAGTGACGCCATGTAAAACCATTCCCTTGATTACTTTGGGCTAGATTGAAACAACGGTAAAAGCGAGCTATATCATCACAGCTATTAGTTCTGCGCACAGGTGGTTCATTATATGGCAAGTATCTGACTTCTTCTTTTAGTCCATCTGGAAAACTAGCTATTGAAAGTCTGTCATAATTATAATCATAATCAGCATTTCTATACATTTCTTTATACTCCTAGAAGGATCTATATATCATCACCTAAAAACAAAAAGCGTTAATTAAATGGTTAAAAACGGGATTGATTAAAAATTGTTAAAACTTTCCATAAATTTCTACTCATTATCTCACACATGCTGAATTCAAAATTTTACATGTACAGAGGAATATTTGTTTTCAAACTCAGATTCATTTCGATAAGACGATTAACAAAATGTTTTTTCCCCAATGTCCCCCCATATACATTGACATTAGTCTTCCGGTTATCAGAAAGGTAAAGGTGTTGTCTACACTTTTAGGAGGCATCATATCAAGTGTGCCTACATAACCCCCATGGTAAGAAGGACAAACAGTACAAAGAAGAAGGAAAAAACATTCAAACCTCTGATCGGGATTCAAACGATGGACATTAGGTCAATTCCTTGACCACCATCTAGGCCTGTCGGATTAAAAAACATTACAAGTGCTTCTCAACAAAATATTCTTAGCAAATTTTTTTCTTCTTGTTCTTCGTTTTTGTAAAAAATATCGACTTTTAAGGGGGCAAAATGAAGATACCTAGAAGGTTCATGGGGGTCAATGAGCGGAGCCTCCTTGTCTATACTTACGAATAAATAAATAAATAAAAAAACTGTGATAAGTTTATGTTTAATTAACAAGGTTTCTGTGTTATCAGACTTTTGCAGTATACAATACTATTTCTTGCACAGTTTGGATTAGATACATCATAAGAAATTGGGCACTTATTACTAATCACATGGTTGTGTCTAATCACGGGATTGTGCATGGCGTGTTAATGTCACAACTTTGAGGCTCGAGTTTATTATCACGCTGAATCAATTTTCGGCTGGGATTTAATTGGATACCAGCTGCGTGTGCGTCGAATCTAACTGATTGATTCACACTTTACGTCACTTACAAGTATCCAATTGCCAGGTGGAAAAAATAGAAAGGTGATTATTAGAAATGTTTTCAAGTTTCAGCAGACAATAATAATGGTTTTTGATTTTTATTCATCTCTCTTTTATAATGATTTTGCAGAATTTACTGATGTTTCTTATTTATCTTTTTTAATATGTAACATCAAATATGCAGTCTTTTTTAATATAGAAGAGAGATGAATAAAAATCAAAAACAATCACAATGGTTTTTGATTTTTATTCATCTCTCTTTTGTAATGATTTTACAGATGTTTCCTGATTTATCTTTTTTAATATGTAACATCAAATATGCACTCTTTTTTATTCATTTTTGACATGGATTCTAATAATATATTAAAGATGGTGATTACGGAGCACTCAATATGTATAAATAATTGCAGCTAATAAAAATCATTCAAAGATAGCATTTTTTTAAATGAAAATGAATTTAGTTTATTATGGTTAATTAAAGCTAAAATTAAAATATTTATTTAGAATTTGCGTAATATCTTTATTTAGCTTAGCAAAGGGTTAACTGAAATATAGTACACGAGACCCTGAACGCCAGACTTACGTCATAGTAAGAGCAATTAATTAATAAGAGTTTCGAGTCGCGGTAACTTTGGCAGGTAACAGGTGGCAAAGATGCAGAAAATGTAATCTTACTTACGCTTACGCTATTTTATAAAAACTGTATTTCATATAGGTTGCATAAGCAACTAATTGAAGATGTTTCCCATTTAGCCAGACAGTTTGTATCCCTGAAACCATCTGCGGGCACTCTTGAAGGTTAATTAAATTAGATTGTACTAGCACCATTTTATAAAATCTGTATTTTAGATACGTTAATAATTCATACTTATTATTTGAACTGGTCGGACAGTATCAAAGCTCCTTGCCCACTACCGGTCTATTTTAATGTTTCCACTCTTCCAGTTGAGCACACTTAAATTTTACTAAATTGTACTTTCACTATTTATAAAATCTGAGTTTTACGCATGTTATTTGGGAAATTATTCCCCAGTAGCCAGACAGTTTTGAATTTCTAACATCTTTCCAGATATCGTTGAAAGTCAGCTGTATGTAGAGAGCTGTATGCTGAACAACTAAGCGAGTATAGGTAAGATGGTTAGGTTTACTACGGTCTTTTGTTGGGAAATCAGTGGCATCTATCATCTACGTTAAACCTGCCGACCGATGTATTTATAGTGCCCGCATTGTTATAGTATATGCTTATGCTCTTGGCAAAATGCGTCAAGATAGGTTCGTGGCTTTAAAGTATTACTAAGGTAACGACCGCTCGTTTACATCATTTACTAATAAATTTGCCAGAAAGCGTTCTTTATCATTGAATTTGGCAAGTTTCTTAAATTAAAAATAAACCAAGTTGACTAAACAAAAAAATAGCCTACGATAAAGTTTTAAACCGAAAGGAAAAAATTTTCTCTCAAGAATTTACAGAGTGTGTACTCTGTGTATAAAATCTTTGCCAATATCTGAACCACCCAACATTGTCTGAACCGCTCAAATATTATGGGAGAGCACTTTTAGACTTCCCCTCTTCTTATCAGCAACAAATTCCAAACCCCCTCCATTGCTTAAGGACGTGGCACCAGCCTCCCCCTTTAACTTCAACAATTACTGTATCCTGTTTTAGAATATAAATTCAAATAAAAAAATATTAACTTCACATTAAACTAAGTTTACGTTTTAATTCATTTAATAATCTTTGAAATTGAATAACAATTAGAAATCTTTCTTTCTTTTTCTCTAAAACTTTTAATCTTTTAAGACCATTTTTACCAATTTTTCTTTCTTTCCTCAAATGTAATTTATATCCCACATTTAAGATTTTACCACTAGTAATTTTTTTAAACTTTTGTTTTGATATTTAAGAAAATTTCAAATCACAAAAATCCTCTCCTCTCTTAGGTGCTTACGTAATATTTGAGCTGCCCCCATTGAATTTTAAGTTGGAAACATATGTATCTAATTTAAAAACTAAAAAATAACTTTCTCAGAAAAAAAATACAAAAATCTAAAAAGTAAAAATTGTTGTCAACCTCAATAAATAGAAACTAACATGCAATCAAAAAAACTGTCTTCAGATAAAAGTTCTTGGTTAATAGATCCCTCAAAGGAATCGCTTTTTGTAGATCTCTTACTTAAAAATTGATGGTATGCTGGTTTACGTTTTGAATTTCAGCCCTACTCTCAAAGAAATTGACGCTGTTTAAGGTTGGCGTCCGTCTATGGAATTTGCATAAAGTTTGCATTATAATGTTAAGCTAATTTCTAACTGTGTTTCAGAGTTATGTAGATAATGAAGATATCATTAAAATGTAGCTCAAAAATCGAGCGTTCCCCCAATATCAATATCTGAAAAATTGGATACCTGCAACGTCATACCTGGGTCAGCCAATCGAAAACGACAACCGAAACCCATGCGTGATGGCACTTGCTGGTATCCAATTAAATATGACCTGAAAATTGATTTGGCGTGATAAACTCAAGCCTTAAAGCTGCAACGTTAACCCGCCATGCACAACCACGTGATTTGACACAACCACGTGATTAACTACAAATACCTACTTAAGTGACCCAGTTTCAAATCCTAGCGATTTTTGGTAAAATAAAATTCTGTTTCAAGTTCGTACTGGCCACAATACTGACACAAAGCTGTGGAAAGAAATCTCCTTCCGTGATAGATTTCGTGGTTTCCCTCAAAGTTGGTTCCAGATAAAAGTCCTCAAAAAAGGCTAGTTAGTCCCAATGCTTAATTCAGTAGTTTCCCTTTGGGTTGGGTTTAAAATTATTTACAATGCTATGGAGTTAAATATGGATAGTCATAAACCCAAAAATGGGTCAGCTGTTCAAAGCCACTAACAGAAAATCATTAACATGATAGGAAATCCAAAGCAGCGCAAATTTTTACGTTCGCAGAGTTTTAATTAAATATAGAAAACTATTGGGTTTGAATAAATTTGTTGAATTAGAGAGTGCTAATCTAAGTTAAAATAAAAAGTTAAATTGAGTCTCTTAATTAAGCCTATGTGTTGGCAACAAATTTAACGCTAAGTTTTTTAGAGGAATTTGGCAAAAACGCAAGGTTAATTGGCGGATGTTTCTGAACAACCATGGAAAAAAAGCTCCCTTTGTCACCAAATTAAAAAATCATACTAAATGGATTAAAATAAGTTTAAAATTAAAAAAAAAGAGTTATACATTAAAGATTAAATCCCCATTCTGCAACATACAATCTTAACTATTTTCCGATTCAGAGCTTAGTTGGCTTGGCTAAATTTATGCTTCCGAAACATACTAAAATTTTACAATTGTTTTCGAAACTTTTAATGATTTTTCCCCTAAACGAACAGTTAGTATTTTTTTTTATTCATAAATTGTTTTTCTAATACGTTGTATACACTTTATAATGTTATTTTTAGTATTGTCGATGTTTAATTCTTGTTTGAAAATTATAGGCCGATTTCGACTTCATCATAGAACGTTATGCAGAGGATATTTCCCACAATTTCTGAATTATGCCACTGGCTGCAAAACTACTGTCTCGGCCATACATCGGCGGGTGAATTGTAGAACCTAAGCAAATGATCAAAAACTTTTCTCCTCGACATTTCATTTGTTTTTCCAATTGTGTCCCTTGTGGTTTCTTTCCGTCTCAATAGTTATTAATACAGCAAAAAAAAATTTTTCCCTTTTTCTTATATTTTGTACTGAATAAAAATAGCACATTTATAAGTTTAGTTTTAAATTCTTTTGTATATTATATACAAATTCGAATAGTATATTAAATAGTGAATTCCGTATCATTATCATTTTATTTTATTATCACAGTTCAAAAGCATCTTATATTTTTATTGAAATTCCAACTTTTAGTTGAATACATTTTTTCACTTAGTATATCATGTATACATACTTTTATAAATAAAACTTGTATCTTATAAATTCCCTACTACATTTTGACAAATTTTTCATGTTATTACATAAAGGGATTATTATAACCATAAATATTTTTTTTAAGATTTATAAAATTACTTACCAAAATTACGATCAAAAACATAAATGAAAATATTTAGTAACTGTTGCCATAGCAACCTAAAAAGCAAAACCTTCCCAAACAATACTCATTTCTGTATAAATACACGTACAACGTGAATAGAGTAAAACGAGATAATTTTTACCTAATTCACGAATCGCTATAGTTCTCCATTTCTCATGCATTTTTTAAAATAAAAATATCAGATTTTGGTTATTACTTGAATATTTTCATCTCGAAAACATATTCAAATTGTATAACTTAATTATTTAAAAAATTCTACATATATATTTTTATATTCGAATAAGAACCTATTTCAAATAAATGGTTTTACTTACTTTTGTTCCACTGTTAGTAAATTCCATCATGTTCGGAATATGATTTCTGTCACCATAATAGAACTTAACGAAATCAATAATTCTATCCTCATGTAATTAATATCTTTCGGATAAAGAATTCGATTTGAAATTAATATTCCGGAAAAGAGAAATTTAAATATACCTCATATTCTTCTTACCGTTCCCTATTTATCACAGTTAAACTTCTAAATATAGAATTAGAAAACAGCTGTCATTGGAATATATTATAACATCAACCACTCAGCTTGAATTCTGTTCTGATTTTACTTAAACATTCGAATCATTTGTGGTCTTCTTCTTCTTCTAATGTTATTGATGTCATTTTTTTCTCTTTCTCTTTTTCAATTATTTAGATTATTTGAATATTTTTTTAAAAAATTATATTTGTTATTTATTAATAATTTTCTTTAGTTTTTCTAACCTAATTATTATTGTAGAAAAAGTGCCTTTATATAGCTAATATGTTTATTATAAAAAACATTAAGTATTTTAATCAACTCATTTACAGACTTTTGAAATATTAATCATATTCATTCATTTTAAGACTAAGATTTTGAAATGAAAAAAGAACAAATATTCAGCAAACGATATCATAAATGTCCGGCTTTCGGAATCGTTTGAAACTTTTAAACTTCTGAAACTAGGACAAAAGATTTCCAATTAGCTATTCTTACAGTAATTCAGTTTGCAAAAAGTATAAAATTTTAAAAGTTGATTTTAAAATATTTTTTAGCAAATATATAAATGCTTTTGCATGTAAAAAGAGCAACACATACTTTTTTTTCTCGAATCGTGGCACAGTGCTCTCATTGCGGAAACATATTCAATTACTAATAAGATCATGAATTTACCACTTCTTTTCATCATTTCTTAAAGAATTTATAAAATTCGTTTTAATCGTTTATTAGTTATTTGTTTTCCCTTAATTCTATAAAAAGTTAGGATGATTTTTCTCTAAAGATGTCGAGTGTTACTAAAAAACGAAGTAAATTTTGTCTCAGCACATAAAGTAAATTACGATTTAGTTCTAAATTTTTAACACCTTTCTATAATGTTGTTCTTACATTTATGTCGGTATAAAACATATAAAGTACATGCACAAATATATGACGTGAATTAAGCGACAGTTAATAAAAAATGTGACAAAATAGTTGTAAGGGCTCTTAAAAATTAATATTTAGCGAGGCTGACAAGAACAAGAAAATTAATGAAGCATGGAACGCTAATATTAAAAACATCACGCGCGAATTGTGTTCTTATTTTTAAATTACTTTTAGAAGAGAACGAGATTCACTTTTGTTTAAAGAGGTTATAAATTGGGTACTTGCATTTCAAGAAGAAGATAACGGATAAACACACACGTGACCTATGATATCAGCTCCAACTGATAGTTTAGAAGCAAAATGGCGTGTTAAAGTTGAGCTAAGATTGGTCACATAAGTTGGAATGTTAATTAACGCTAAGTTCATTAAATACGTATCGAATTTGTTGAAATATAGCTCTTTCTCGTCTAAGTCTCGTACTTAACTTAGATTTATTATTTGTTTACGTATTTTATTGTAACCGTGATATATTTTTGTTTTATACCAGGCAACTTCCATGCATAATTAGTTTTTTTATGTTCTTCATGACTTCAAGCCTGTTTTCGTGTTAGGTGAGAAATGTATAATGGAAGAATTTCCATTTTTGTGATAGTATCTTTGTGAAAGAATATAGAATGAGTCACTTATGAGAATTGACATTTGACGGGCTCGGACTACACGAAATAGGATGGAAAGAACAGTTACAAACGTAAACAAAACGTAAACAACCAATCAGGATCGATATACCCACACTACGTCACTTTCAGGTACCCCATTGCTTTAGATGTACTTATTGCGGTTTAATAAATGAACATATTTACTAATTGTCTTTACTATTTTTCAATTGTACTAAATCACATCTTTAATTAAATCATTGGTGATTCTACTAGTTTAGATCCCGGCGGATAATCTATTTTCTGATAAAAACATTATTCATTCATTATTTTAATTTCAAAAAACCGTAGTAAGAAAAAATAATAATAACGGTCCCATGAAAGGAGCAAAAAATTTTCGTTGTTTTTAATTAAAGCTACAAACCATTTCAAATACATTGAAATAAATTGTGGCTTAGTAAGTGTTCCCACTCCAAAAGGTAATGAAAAATTTTCTTTTCTCCGTAGGGGAATTTAAAAAGGATTGTTTCTTTGTCCAATTTAGGTGAGGATCTTCAGATTACCAAAATTAACTTATAAGTATGCATTCCTTTTTTTTAAAAAAATAATACTAAGTTGACCATCAAGGAAAAATAACGTTGCTTATAAAATCAGCTTCCTTCATGAAATATAAATTTAACTTAAATTGATTTATTCAGTTATTATGTTTATACTGTTATTATTTTAACAAAATCCGATTAGGGTATGTTATGGAAAACTTCAGTTGATGGAATACCGAGCAATAATATACTTTATCTTAAAAAAAGAAGAAAAAAAACATGAGTGTAGAGAATATGGACAATATTTTTTTTCCCTATTTTATTTTAAAATAAGAGTTAGGAACATAAGGCGATGACACACATATCCCTACCTTGTTGTTATCTCTCTTATTAGGAAAAACGTGATTGTTTATAATTACCACATAACTTATGACTCGTATTTCATACATTGATATTTTGCAGAATCTATCTTTAACACTTGAGAGACAAAAAACCTATCCAACTTCTATAAAAATTAAGGGATATTTTAATCTGCGATGTTTGATCAATGATAATTAGGCAATATAATGCTGAATTTATTGCAATAATAGCATATATACAAAGTCATAGAACAATGATGACATAAGTAAATGATAAAGATAACTGTAAGGACACAAAATTTTACTGCTGACTGCGATGTTCATCCAACGTTTCCGATTCTCCAAAAGCTAAAACAGCAAAATTGTAGCTATCCGGCTGCCTTTCTATGTATTCTCGACAAATCCGGGCAGCATCTTTCAAAAACGTCTCTTTGGTAGAATCCCCGTGGTATACTGGCATGTCCTTGTACCCATCTAGCTCATAGAGTTTCGAATTAACATTAACCAGTGTTAAATAATGGTTATCCGAAGTCTTTACGGGAGCTTGAGGGGAATCCTCCTTCTCTGCAGAGGATGAACCCCCCTGACTTGTTGGAGTGAAATAAAAATTCGCTGATTGATGGGCTTCTTTAATGCCAGCGTCTTTTTCAAACACTCGTGCTTTTTCTGTAGGATCTAGAGCTATGCATTTTTTAATGAACTTGAAGGCTATGGATGCAGGATTTAAATTCATGTGTTCCATGTTATTAGCAATAGCGTGGATGACGGCTATGGTGCCACAGGCATTTCTGATTGTTTGGAGCATGAAGAAAACTTTTGGATCTACATTCTGTAGCGACTTTTCCAACTGTCGCATTAGATTAGAACAATATTTTTTATAGATCGCTGTAAATGGGAAAATAAATATAACACCCAGAACTGGTTGAGAAATCGTATCTAGATACTCATCATCGAGTGATAGGATATCAAATATTTTCCATTTAGCTGGCACCCCTAGAGATATCAATAGATTGTTCATCACATCTGGGTTTGATTCCAGTTCCATCCATTCCGAGTCACTCATCATAAAAGACAAACAAAAAAAGATAAGACTATTTGAATCTTTAATATCGTAGGCGCTTTTGGCTTTGCTAAATTAATGTAGGATTTAAGCAATTTCTACAATCAGACACCTACGGGAAAAAAACAGCAACTTAAGGTTTAAATTAAACAGTTAAAAATAAACAATAAATAGCATTGAAAATCGCAACTGGCTATAATTTCGAAAACTTCTGCTTAGATTGTCGTAAATTACACGACCAATAAGGAATGATAAAACAATATTAAAAAAAAGGCATAGTTTGCCAAGCAGTTTAGGCCAGGTATAGTTTGAATATTTTTAACTAGGAGGCTTCGCCCCCTGCTCGCTGGCGCTCGTCAACCCCCGGAACTGCTTTCGCAGTTCTTTTCGGATTGCTTCGCAATCCAATGCTCGCTTTGCTCGCTCATTGGATACGTTCTTAACGTCTAGCTTTTGTATACTTTTTTGAATACTGAAGTTCCGAAAACTTTTCACTGTCGAAAATTCAAAACCTGTACATTTCAATATTAATTTGAAATTGCAAACAGTTTACATATTTTTCTTAATCACACTATTCTAAATTTCAGTTGTTGAGAAAAGTNTTATCTAAGTTCATGAATAGACAAACAAAAAAAGATAAGACTATTTGAATCTTTAATATCGTAGGCGCTTTTGGCTTTGCTAAATTAATGTAGGATTTAAGCAATTTCTACAATCAGACACCTACGGGAAACAAAAAAACAGCAACTTAAGGTTTAAATTAAACAGTTAAAAATAAACAGCATTGAAAATCGCAACTAGCTATAATTTCGAAAACTTCTGTTTAGATTGTCGTAAATTACACGACCAATAAGAATGATAAAACAATATTAGAAAAAGGCATAGTTTGCCAAGCAGTTTAGGCCAGGCATAGTTTGAATATTCTTAACTTTAGCTATTTTTACAGTTTTAAAAGACATAAACCAATTGTCTTCAGCCTTTTTGTACCCAAAAGCAAATTTTAGAATATAAGATGGCACTACTAATTTTTCAAGGTGAATTTATAGTTAACATGAACTTTTTATTTTATTTCATATACGGCGTTGAATAGCCGATCCAATTCTGAGTTCACGACTATCATTTTTTTTCTTTTTATTTTATTTTATAACCGTCGGTGAATAGTCGAACCCAATTTTGAGTTAACGTCTACTAACGTTCAATTCCCCAGCCTTGTAATTATGAACCCAACACAAAAGACAAGGGATCTCTTTGATCAAGCATCTGAACAAATTAGCTTTCGTAGAAAACTTTTTCATGAAACTAACCAGCATTTGCGTTACATGGAGAGGAAAACAACGAACATCCTACCGTTAGTAAGGGGATTCTAACCCATTTTCCGTCTACCACAGAGATTTTACGTCAACACTGTGGTCGGTGCGGGCTAAGAACAGAATTCCAGTCAACCAGATACCGCTGGGGTTAAAAAAATTAGTTTGGGAAATTTTAATAGATCTTAAAATTTTTGTCGTTTTCTGCTTTAAGCGTTCCATTTTGATTTATTATTTTAATGTTACTAACTTATTTTTTCTTTTTCTGAATTTTTAAATTAGTTTCATTTTTTGATTAGAAATTTTAATAGCTAAGAAATATTTAATGCCTATTGTGGCATCACAATAATTAATACTACACTTACGTGGCTTGGGCATGTTTTACGAACGTCTACTAACAGGATATTTTTGTCACATTTAAGTGTGTTTCGTCCCACCGAAGGTAATTTATCTTAGTTCTTGAATGAAAAAGATCAAGGAAATCAAGATTAACGTTCAGCAGGTTCACTGTTTTTCAAAGTATTAAATGAATCTTTTTACTATGCTATGCATGATTCTCCGCATCTGAAACAGAAATTCCTTATTTAATTTTCTGTAAAATCCTAGTATACGTTACACGTTTAAAGAGATTTTGAAACATGTCGCCAAAACAGCAAATTCCAAAATGGCTAAAAAGCAAAACGTACCATTCCAAATATACAACAGATAGCAAACTTTATAATCCATCCCTTCAAACTGCGTCAAATCTATCGTGGAACGTATATTGGGATTAATCTAATTTAATCTTTATGAAATTTTAAATTGAAAGTAAAACAAATTCATAATATTTCACATTTTTAACAGGAAAGATTTTATGAGAATATAAAATCCTTTTTATCACTAGTGTACGATATTTGAAATTTTTACTTTTAAAAATTCAAGTAGCAAAAGTGCAAACTTTATTAAAACCAAAATAATAGTAATAAACACATACTTACATTTAGGATTTTGATTAAATTCTTCTATACATATTTCTGTACTGAAAAAGCTTGGTAATTCTCAGATATACTTAACTATGCTTAAGTTAACCAGCATTTTTATCATTTACTAAAACTTGTAGGTAAGGGGAAATAGAGAAGGATGCCGCTTATTTTACGGTTCAGAATTGGGTATACTATATAGCCTACGTCACAGGTCGTGTTATTCCTACTAAATTTAACTAGTTAACAGCATTTTCTGCGAACCTGATTTCTAGCAACAAGTACACATTAAATGAAGTGTGTTGTTATAAGTCGTTACTCGGCAGGTTGAAATTGTATTAGTCTAGTTCCTTTTGAAATAATTTATTTTGTTGTTTTATGTATGTTCATGAATTTAGTAAACGTATTTAAAACTCAGCTTATTAATTGAACTAAAAGGTAAATGTTATTCCTAGTAAAAATTTCGAAGTGGAAGTAGTTTTGTTTTTTTCATATTATACCCAATTCGGAAACATTTCTTTCCAGAGAAGAAAATGATCTCAAAAGCATTTTGACTTTATGAAATTCTCACTTTCTTTTCCTTATTAGTAAATGTTTACTTTTATAAGACATTAATAAAATAACTATCGATGTTAATACGGGTCCATTTAAAATTTTCCAACTGGAATCTTTTTAAAAGCTATTTTTTCCGGATATGCTCTTTATTTAAGATAAATTTTCATAAGCAATTTGGAAGGTTTCTGCCAAAAGTTGAATGGCCTAAAAGATTTTTCTTAGTGATGCTGTAATAAAAATTTGAACAATTTCGAAGCTTTGCGTAGCGAATAAAGGAAATGAATTTCTATTGATGCAGAGTGAGCTTCTAGTATCAATTTTGAGAAAAAGACTAAAAATTTATTAAGTCAAATTATACTTGCTATAATTTTATATTTAATGTTGTTTCTCTTACTCTAAATGAAAAACACAATACATTTAGTCAATCCATGTATGAGAACTTATGGTACACTTGATATATTATTTTCCATTTTATAGAAAGACTTACTTTTTGATTCATTATAATTCTTCTATGGCAATAACTCACCATAATTGTTTTAATAACCAATAAAAAAACTGTTAAATCACATATAATTAAAAAGAAATCGTTTAAACATAAAATATTCACATTGCTATTTTGTTTCTTTTCCCTTTTAATTTAAAAGTCACAATTACATAGGCAAACCATTGAAAAAAAAGTATAGTTTTACGAATAAAAGTAAATATATTAATTAAACATGATGCAATATGAAATTATAAAAGGCAAATAGTTCTTGTTTACATCTTTTTTTTGCAAATATTTAAAAAGACCTTTTTATCTCTTTAAATTCTTTTTTACTTATACATAAAACAAGAGCTTTGGTGTTATATTAATAAAGATCAAATTAATTTACTCTAAGTTACATTAATGAAGATTAAATATTATATTCCACTCAATAATGACTATTAAAGCAAAGAGAAAAACAAGATGTTTTAAAGATTGGTTAATTGCATGATGTTAAAATTGTACGGGTATAAATGCGTCATAATCAAATGTTATGTTCTAATTAAAGACATGGCAATAAAAACTTTTAATCTTTTACTGTAAAAACTTTAATCAATATCTTTTTGGAAACATTCCCCAGCTTTATTAATAATATAGGCTAACTTGACATTTGAAGAAAATGTGACGACGATTAATGTTTATAGCATTTTAGTGTTGTTTCTGGACTATATTTATATTGAAAGGGTAATTGTGTTAAAGTAATCAGTACAAGTAAAAAGATAAAATATTTTAATTAAAAACAAAAATTAAGTGCAGAATATCACATGGTTATAACACTGAAGATTTTCGTATATATACATGTATTAATGTTATAAAATATTTTGTTTCAATCATGTTATTTACAAAACATTGAAATTTTAAAAAAAAAAGAGCATAATTTTAATCCTTAATTTCTGCACAAAATAATCCCTATAAACCAGAACAGTTCGAACATCAGTTACTGTTCCGAATGTTTAGAACAAAAACGTCATTTAAGGCTCTTCTGGTAAGTGATAACATTTTTATTACAACAACTTTGACTATAATACATAAAATAAAAAACAACAAACAACATTAAGGTAAAACAAAATTTTATGTAAAATGAAAAGAAAGTAAAAAAGGAAAAACCATGGCAAAACCATTTAAAAAATATAAATCAAAATGACAATACTTATAAAGAAGAAACTAAATAATGCCTAGATAATGATATAAAAAAAGAACTACATTTCTAATAATACTTATGTAGAAATAACAATATAACACACATATTTATGTATTTTGAAACATACAATCATTTTTAAAACTGATTTTTTTTTTAGTTCTGCTTGCATATTTCAAAACTTATTATAATGTTAGTGTGCTCATTCTTGTTTATATGTAAGAAAGTAAAACAAAAAAGATACACGTTATCAAACAAACTATGAAAGTATTTATCTACATCAACTGTTGCCCATAGTTTTAGGGCAGCAATATCATTGACTAAACACTTTCACGATTGTTTTCTGCTTTGCTTACATTTTTAAAAATTCATAATTCAACAATTGTGAAAAACTTAACTATGGATTTCATACAGCATTTCTTAAATATGAAAAGGTTAAAAAAAATAATAATAAAAAACCATATACCGATAACCGATATCAAAACAATTCAGTAAGTATTCATTTACATCAACCATTGTCCGTATATATTTAAGGCAACAATGTCATTCACTAAAAACTTTTCAGAATGGTTAAATTCAGTTATATTAAAGTTCAGAAATTTCTGTCAGGCAAGACAGGGGACTTAAATGAAGTTATATTAATGTCAACTAATTAATTATGCCAAAAAGTTGAATGTAAACAGAATTTTTTATTCCTTATTTAAATAAAGATTATAAAAAAAATAAAAATATATGGATTTTTCATTGTCATCAACATGGATTCTGCATTGTTCATAATTTTCAAACAAAAATATAGTTTATTAAAAATTTCAAATCAAGATTAAGTAGGATCAAAATTATCTAATAAAATAAATTAGAATTATTTAAATACTTAACATATTCCATTGAAAGATTGCATTAGGAAATTAAACTTCTCACCTTTTTCCATTATTTTTTCTGATACAGATTATAATTTTTTTTCTTATATGGATAATAAAAATAATTTTACAAGTTTTTATTTCACATCAACTAGTATGCATACCCATAATTTTTAGGCTATGATGCAGTCCTACAAAATTTTTTAATTAATTTCTAATTAAGTTCAGAAATTTTTGTCAGGTAGGAAAAAAGAAACAAATTTAGTCACTATAATTGTAATATTTAAATTAAAATAGAAAACAAGACTTCAGTATATTTATCATTATTGCTAACATTCCCCCACCAATTGAGCTCATAGAAAATTGAATTTAAAACAACTAATATAATGATTTTTAAAAATCCACTGTAATCTTTAAACAACAAACTTAAAAAAGTCTCCTAAAGAGCTTTTTGCATAATTTTAATTGAGTTTGCACAAGGTTTTAAAATTTATATCAGCAGGCAAAAACATAATTAAAGGCAAGATTGTTCAATTAGATTAAGTTACAATTATTTTAATATTCAAAATACTTCAATTGGAACATTTTTAATAACACTTCAACTTTCAAAGATTCAAAAGAATATTTAATAATCAAAAAAATTCAGGGCTGGCAAAATTCATGATTTTTTTTATTTTAAAAAATCAAATTTATTTGATTTAAATTGGATTTTTTATTTTATTTAAATCAGATTTTTTATATCATCATCAGATTATTTTATTTAAATCAGATCTTTTTTATTTCGAATCATTGGTTAAATATATTAACAGAACTCAAAATTGTATAACAATAATAAAGCGAAAATAGTTGAAAATTTAATTATTACAAACTAGTCAGTGAATCACAGTAATTTTTGTTCAAGCTATTCATCCTAAAATTTTAAAGACAGAGAGGCAATTTGTCAATTAGATACCTAATGAAAAATACAATAAAAAAACTTATTGTAAGGTTCTTAGGTAAGACAAGCCTTTCTTCAAAATTGGTATTCACTAATTACATATTCAATATGCTTTAAAATCACATAAAGTATTCAAATATTGAACTATAAACTAAATGGATACAATTGAGATATATTGAATGCCAACAAATTATTTTACGTACAGAAAAAGAAAAATCTTAAAGCTTCCTTCCACTTTTAGCGTTTCTCTCTTTTTTTAATTTTCACTTTATTCCATAATATAATAATTCCCTTTTCATTATTTCTTTGAATCTTTATTATTACCTTTATCATCAGTGAAACCAGACTGTTAAAATGAATCACACAAGAATTTTATAAATAATCCTAAAGGATATATTTATAAAAATATTTTTGACTTAATGATTTATTTAAAGCAAATCAATTGGTTTAAATGAATATATTTCTTAATAAAATTGCAGTTGATTTAAATTATGCCAACCCTGAAACAATTTATTCAATATTCAGGCATTTCAATATTTCTTTAGTATCAGCATGATCAGCTAATTCTTGTTGCTTATGGCTAAAGATCACCTCCTCACCTCCTAAAGCACAGGAAAAAAAAATAAGCCCATATAAGAATTATGAAAAACATTCAGTTTGTCAAAAGATTTTTAAGAAAATTGCAAATTGCACATCATTCTTAAAGTAATATAAAAAAATTCTGTGCTGAAGGCATATAGCATCACATTTTCTATTGAGGAATAATAACTATCAGGCTAAAAACTTAGCTTTATAGAAATCATTTTATAAACAAATTTTAAAAAAAAATATCATTTATGCTTTGGAAGATAAAAAGTGAAAAAAAATTTGGTTTACATAGCCATATGTCATGACATTTTCATTTTGTTCAAATGTGTTTGCAAAAGGCTTTCTGCTTTAAAGAAATATTTTTCTATTTTCTTATTAACAAATTTAAAAAAAAATATCATTTATGCTTTGGAAGATAAAAAGTGAAAAAAATTTGGTTTACATAGCCATATGTCATGACATTTTCATTTTGTTCAAATGTGTTTGCAAAAGGCTTTCTGCTTTAAAGAAATATTTTACTATTTTCTTTTTATTCTATATATATATTTAGTACAATTTATACTATTATAAAAATTTGAACTTTAAGGATATTCCTTAAAGAGTAAATTAATTTCTTGTTTCAATGATAACTAATATTTACCATTTTTCAACTTATTAACTTTAGTATTTTTCTACTCATGTTTATAATAGTAGACCGACTTTTCTATTAATAATTTCAGCTAGTAATATTAAAGGATAAAAAAAAAAAGAATAAAATAGGAGTAAATTATTATCAAATTTAAAGATTTTTAACATACCACATTACATTTTTTAAACAAATAAAATAAATTGCACAATAATTAAAAAACAGAAGTTTTATCTTTTAGTTTGTCAAAGGTAGGTATATATAAGGTATTTATTGAAGAGAAATAATTTTGAAAAGTTAGAACATACCTATCTTCTACGCTAAAATATATGTAGAGAAAAAATTAAGCTATTGTCGACAGCAAGAATATTTTTATTATTTATCTTTCAAAATTTGGCAGTTTGACAAAATCCTGTTATACTTTATTATGTATGAAGTTGCAGACAATGCACTTGACTGCTAAGCAAAATATTAGAGAAAATAAAAGTTTTTACACTGGAAAAGTAAATTCACAATTTACTTGCTAATTGCCAATTTATTATTATTATTTTTTTTTTTTACAATAGTACACATAATGCAATGAATGAATTTGCATATTACATATTTTGATTTGCCTTTTTTTTAATCAACCAAAAATTAACTTAGGTGAACAAATGACCAGAAATGTGATTGCTGGAAGAAGAAATTATCAAAATTTTTTATTTTTCAAAGTGTAATATTTTTTTAGCACTTACCTTTTTCTTAATAGATAGAAGATATTTAAAAGACTGTCATTTACATGCACAATGGTAACATTTATAAATTTTAAAGAGAGAAAGAATTTTTTTTCTATACATAAATTGAAAAAAAATTACAGATTCTTTTTTTTTTGCAATAAAAAAGTGGAAAAATATTTCCCATTTTAATGCGTAGCAGCAAAATTGCTACGCATTAAAATATAAGTTTTTTTTTAAAAAAAAGAAGAGAAAAAACACCATTTTTACTGATAAACACTCGTTTATAAGTTTGCCATTTCAGAATTACTTTCAAAATTACCAACTTTATACTTTTGGGTTTTCCTCTGAAGTTCATTAATTCTAGTTGAAGTTATTATAGAACTTTTTCTTTTGAAGATTATATGAAGTTTGGTTTTTCTCTAACAAATCTGTATAGAAAAAAGTCCACATTGCATGTGAATGAGAACTTAGAAAGAAAAAAAAGAAGGAACTAGTTAGGGCAAAAAATAAATGCATTGTTAACAAAATATTGCGAAAGTAAAAAAAAATTATATTTTAGATTGGCGGTATTCAGAGAAAATTTTGCCGGAATATAAATTGATTCGAGGAAGCCTGCAAATTAAAGGAAGGTTCACATGCCTGAAATAACTTCAGAGAGCTCCGATGAACATATAGGCTAGTGCGAATATATCAATATTAAGCTGTGATAATAATGTGGGTAAATAATTAACACATGACTTATTGGAATCTTTAGAAAGTTAGATTAATTTCATAAAGTTTTAAACTTTTTTATGCAGTTTTAAAAATTTTAGGCTTTTATCTGAAAGATTTCATTAATATTTTGTAAACTGGAAAATTTTATAAAAACTAACGCTTTTACATGTTTTAAGATTCGTTTTTTTTCCAATTCAAAATGTTGATTCACTGTAGAATTTCATTAAAGTTTTAATAGCCAATATAAAATGTGTACTTACAAAATTCTATTTATGCCTTTCCACTCAGCTGATATTTTATATTGATTTGTCAAATTACTTTTGAAAATAAAAGTCAACTGTGACATTATTAATAAAATATTTTTTGCATTGAATAAATAAATATATATATATACATATATATATATACATTAAAAAAAACATTCTAACAAACTTGTTCATTTTTTAAATAGTTAGAACAAGGATAAGTTGTTAATTAATATTCATAAGGCCCAAGTAGTAATTAAAATGATCATTGATAAAATTATTTTTCAAAACTGAATTTTGAGATTAAAATTAATGTTGCCTTTTTAATTCGACCACTCCTTTTATAAGTAAAAATAGATCAAATATGAGATTTTATGACTTGCATGCATAAAACACACGTTATGTTTATAAATGAAGATATACCTTCCCACTTTAATAATAATAATAATAAATGTTAGATATGTAGAAGATTTAAAAAATACTCAATTAAATTTTAGCTAACAAAATACTAAGTATGTTCAAACAGATTTTAAGTAAACGTTTTTTATTTATTTCTGAAAATTGTCTGCATTAGCTTTCCTCTCCGGTACTGTTATTGGCATTTATTTATAAATTAGAGTTGTTTTAATTAACCAGATAATACAAATGTACAAAAAAATACCTTTAATGACAACAAAAGTGCCACCAACTTGATAATAATCCCCCTTCAAGTCATTAGGTATATTCGCAGCTTTTGCCTAGACAGAGAAAAACACATACACATTAGATTTTTGAAAATTCAAACCTTACAAATTATGAAAAAGAAAATTAATTATCATAATTCTTTTTCCGTCTTAATTCACAAGAAATAAAATAATAATAACAATATCTATATAATAAAAATATTTTGCCTATTTATCATAAAATTATATACTAAAAACAAACAGCTAGAAATTAGATTTAAATAGCATAAAATATTTTCCTAAATGTTTATAGAAGATCATATGAAATTTCAACAATATTAGTCTGTTTTATGTTTTGTTTCACTAGATTTACAAACTATGATGAGGTGATAAGAAAATTTCAATTAAAAGAACTATCTAAATTAATTATTTCAAAAAGGTTAAGTAAAATTAAAATCACAATTTAATTTTTCTTTATTTTTCAATGCAAAAGTAAAACAAATAATCTTACTTCTGACATAGCATTTCTTGAGGATTTGTATAATAGAGCTGAACCAAGACTTAAAACACCATGTCTAGAAGAAAATACAAAATTAAATTTAATAATCAAGTAAGTATTTTCCATAACAAGAGTAATTATTTTGAATGAAAAAAATTTCGCAGAGTTAGAAAGAAAACTATTGCAAAATTGAAATAGCAGGTCTTAGAAAAATTAATAGTTCATTAAAATCACAATAAATACATAGTTCAAATGCAAAATTCATACATTATTTTATTAAATTGTAAAAGTGTATGATTTCAATAGAAACAAACATAAATAAGAGCAAACACTAGTAATTTAAGTGCTCAATTATTGTCAATTTTTGTTTATAGACACTTTTTGAAATTTTATCAGACATGCCACAACAGTTTCAGAAACAAAGATGAATTTTGTGCGATTTCCAAGCATTTTTCAATTTATAACTAAAAAAATTATTATTTAGTTATGTATAATACTATTTAAAAAAAAACACACACAATGAAATTTTACTTCACGTTATAAGACTTTTCAACTTAACTTGCTATAAAATGTCTTTAATTACTTAACTTTCAAATGAAATTCAAATCTGAAGATTTCATATTTTGATAAAAATTGTCATTTGGTTAAGCATTGCAATAATAAATAAAAGGTAAATTTTTAAAAAAAATATTTACATGATAGCAATCCTTTTGCTCAATGTTTAAAAATTTCTATGACTACTGAATTGTTAATTGGATTAAAATAATTTTAAATAAACTGTACAAAGAGATCGACAAAATTTTTTGAGAAGATTCCTAAATATTCAGAAGCAATAGACAGATAATTAAAAAAAATAAATAAATATGAGTGAATTTTGAACAAGAATCTTAACTAAAAATCTTCTTAGCTAAGTTATCTGATTTGTGAAAAAAAGAGAAAATAAAACCTTAGGTTTATTGACTATCTGAAAAAGGATTAAAAAATTTTAAAACTTCAGCCACGATCAAGATGGCAAGAAATTATATTATAAGAAAGTTCACAGTACATCTTTGACTGCCACCCCAGTAGAAAAGAAGATTAAGTCCTATCTCATTGAGAAAATTTACAAATCTATTTATAAGTGAAATTAGAAATATTTGACTTTATTAAAAAAACAAAAACAAATATTTAATTAAATTTTAAAATAAAATTTTGCATAAAAAAGTAACTCAATATAGGTCTTGATTGCTTATCTATAAGAGTAAAGATATTTACCTTTTGTATTCCAAGTCTTTGTAGCACTTTTTATCAATATCAACGAAAAGATCTGAAACATAATTGTCAATATAAAAGTATCATCAATTAGTCAAGTTGAAAGCACAATAACACAGTTAAATAGTAATGATTATAAATATACGCAACTAAATAGTAATGATTATAAGTATACACAACTAAATAGTAATGATTATAAATATATTAGTTGTCTTAAAACAATAAAATACTAGAACTAAATTAAAACAATAAAAATTTACATAAGTGGTAAATTTTTTTATGAATATCAAGTACACACCAATATAGCACTGGGTACTAGAGAGAGAGAATTTGGACGAATCTGTTACATATTGTACCAGATACTTATCAATCTAACTTATAAGAGCTAAAAGTAATTTAAAAATTGTCTTATTTTATCATTATTAGAGGTTTAAATAGTTTGATAATTTAAGGATTAAATACCATCATAAAAATAACAAAAAAAGTAACATAAGCCAAGTTTAATTTTCAATATGAAAAAATCTTGACAAACATTTTAGATTAAAGAATGGAAAAGGGACCATCTTTTAATTTATATATTTTGTCTCTTTTTATTACATGAAAATCATTTAAAAGTACTATTTTAAATTTAACTGTAGTGTTATATTATGAAAAATATGAGCCAAAATTATTTAATAAAAACATTATTTTAATAAATTATGTAAGAATAAAAAATAAACCATGTTAATGCAAATAAATAAAGCAGTATATTACTAGATCATGCTAAAAATGCAAAAGAAAAAAAATGATTAAGCATGTATAGGCATGTACAAGTGATTAAAAAAAAAATAAACACAGAGCAAAGGAGAAAAAAAGTGAGTCTGTATAAACTAAATTTTGGATTTTTTTCCCCCCATTAAAAGAATATATATTTTTTTTCAACACTTATACAAGTAGCAAAAAAGAGAAATATTTTAAGCTGGTTGTGAATCAAACACTAATAATAATAACAAGAATTTTCCCTATTAGATTATGTTTTTAATACTTCATTGTCAAGGTCTTTTCCTTAAAAGGTTGAATTAAACAACATTAATTAATTAAAAACAATATTATCTTTTGAGGAACAAATGGCTCCATTCTTGTATGAAAATATGCTTTTCAAGTAAAGAATTTGCAAGGTCAAACTTAACAAGTTATTTACAAACAAGGAACATAAAACCTACTACATAAAAAGAATTTAAAAAAAAAATCACATCTACCATAAACAAAATTTTTTCCCCACATCTTTCTTAGATTCAAGAAAATTAAAAAAAAGTTTTAAAATATATAAATTTTGAAGTTCAAATAAACATTTTGTTTTTATAAATGAAAATGACCTATAATTAAATTACAAATTTTATTTACATTAATTATTGAACAAAAAAAAATCAGTTATAAACATCATTTTCAGCTTAAAGTGAAAAAATATTCAAACAAAATTATATTTTAAAACTAAGGAAAATTTATGTGTACATAAATCAGAAGCAAAAGTGAATAAAAAAAATTGCATTTAGAATTTATTAATGATTCTATCATATAAATTTACATTATAAGTTCATCATGAAAATTAAAAAATTCTTTTTAGATAGCTTTCCTCAAACTAAGTTCTATTTAGAGTTGAGATATTATCAGTATTATTTTGTTTATTGTACATAAAAAAATTCATAATTACACATAAATTAAAAAATGTAATAAAATAAATAAATCTATACTTAAAGAAAAGAAATTAAAACAAAAATAACTAAAAATAAAAAATGTCATATTTTTAATGAATTTAGAAGTCAAGAAACCTATAAATCCAGCGAAAAATATTAAAAAAAAAAAAAAAACCCAACCCAAAGTAAAATATAATTCAAAATTTTTACTACACATAATATATTTTTACTACAGATAATTTAATTTAATGCTTAAAACAAGATGTCTATTTATATAAAAATAATAGTTTATTGAAAAAAAAAGCAAAATAATAATTTAAAACAATATCATTTAATTAACTAAATATTAATAACTGCTTCAAATAGATAAAGCCTTCTAAGCTGTTGAATATTTCTCAGTGCATTGATTACTTATATTTGATTTTTACCTCCAGTAAAGAATTCCCCTTTAATAAAATCCTCCACTCCTAATTCTTCCACACCAATACCAATTAGGCGGACATTTTTTGTATCAAGTTGTGGTTTTATGTCGCTCAGCTGTTTTGCAGCTAAGCGACAGAACATTCATCCAAATCGTCTGAAGAAGGTGACCACACAATCTTGATTCTCCCATAAAGATTTCATCTTTACAATCTAAGGGAAAAAAAAATGATGATTGTATTTCAAAATTAATATTTTATTCAGTTAGACAATAAAAGCTATTTTTTTTAAAATTTAAAATCATCCTTCTAAAGTAGGGATTAAACTTTGAAAAAGAGAAATAAATTATTAAACAAACATAAAAAAAATGTGAATGCAAAAATTGTACAACAAATCGCTATGATAAATTCTTTTGCTTTCTGTACCAGATAACTCATTCATAAAGAACATATATGTTTTTAATTTTTATGCTGCATTAGTTAATAAGTTTACAGGAAGAAGACAAACTTCCAACATAAATAACTCAAAGAGTTAGAAATATATATAATTACGAATTTTTCTAGAGCTAATTAAGATTTAATTGTCACTAAAAAAAGTGTTTTGTAATTTTAATCAAAAAAGTATTTAATAAATGTTTTTTTTTTTGTGGAGTCAAAGTAAAAATAAACAAGGATGTAAATGAAAAACACTCTTTTACATTCGACAAGATTGAAAATAAATAAAACAAAATAAATGTGTATTAAATAAAAAATTATAACTTTTAACGTGATAATGCTTTTTTTCAGAAAGTATTCTTCAGAAAATTATTTAAAAATTGTTAAAGTATTTCTTTAATAACTATGTTTAGATTTTATAATCAAAGTAAAAACATATTGAAGAATACTTGAGACATGTTCACATTAAGATTTATAAGAAACAATTTGTTCAAGTAAAAAGAAATGTAAAAAATAATTATTTTCATGTGTGATTTTTATTACTTTTACAAAGTATTTTTTTTTAAAGACAATTAATAAAAAAGAATCACTCTTTTTCATTAAGGTCAGTAATTTAAATTAAAAGCATTGTTAGTTCTCAGTATGGACACATTGCTATTATTATTCACTTTTTTATTAAAAGCAGATCCTTAACAGAGAACCATAAAAAAAAACAGTAGTCAAAAATGTACAATTATGACAGAGGATAAGAAAATCATAAAAGAAAATTTTAGATAAAAACTGACTATGAATTTTCAAATAAACTGAATATTATTAAATTATATATTTCATTAAAACCATATATCAAAACAAAATGTAACAGTACTTTAAATAAAATAGTTTTAATAAATATAAATTTATGCAAAATTTCTTATTTAAAAATTTGTTAAAATGAAAATGGAATAACTCAGCTAATATTAATTCAGCTATATCTTATTTTATAAAGATTTCATTTAAAAATAAAATCAATTTCTTGGATTTATAGCAAGTATAAGAGCCTGGCAATAGCATATAATTATGAGAAAATCCTTTAAAAAATAATTAACACTGATATGAATCACATTAAATCTTACCTCTCCACTAATAGGAGATTTGACAGTATTTTCTGCAATCTTTTTTGCTTCATTCATAGTTGCTCAGTTCTGCGACAATAACAAAGTTTCTGATAATGAAAAGAGATATACTTCAGTTTAATAAGCTAATTAATTTTTTATAGTTTCTAGTTATAAGCTTGCACATTTTATCTGATCTCTAAATAGGACTGGGCCATAAATCGATATGTCGCGAATGATTGATTGAACATATAGATATCGTCATGCTGATATAGCGGTTTTCCTTTCTTGCGAGCATCTGTATTATGATTTAAGCAGCTGATTTAAGAAGAAGCTAGCGATTTAATGATTTAACCCTGTTATTTGGATTTATTTTTACCTTAATTTTTGTTCTGAACTCAATCTATTAATGAAAAGAAATTATGAATAAAAAGAAAAAGAGATTCTTCATTGTTTTTTCCTGAAATAATTTTTTTCACTTTAAGCAGTACAATTTTAAGTGCGATCTTTAGCATTTAAGTAATTTATAATTTGTTATAAAAAGTGTTTTTTAAAAAATCTATTTAATACACGTAAGTATAATAATTTGATTATTTTTAAATTAATAAATCTTCAGTCATTTTCAAATATACAAAAATTTCGAAAAAGTTAATGTTATTTATTTAAAATTTTTTTTTGTTGATATTAGTTAAAATCATTAATATGTTTAAACTAAATTAAAAGTTAAGAGATGTTTTGATGCATTTTAATAATTTAACAATAGTGCTATCAAATTTAGTACTTTTTAAAAAAGTTTCTCTTTAAATTATTTCACTATTTGCTTATTTAATAATTTGTTAGATATTCAGTATTTTTTAACCAATAATTCGATTTCCATAAGTTGATATTTTATATTAAAGAAATGAAATAATAATAAAATAAAACTAACATTTATTTTTACTTATATTGCAAATAGAATTTAACCATCAGCTAATAAAACTTAACTATTTTAAATAAATAAATAAAAGAAAGTCTAATGATACTTCAAAAGCATATTCTTTTCAACAAATAATTTAAAAAGTTTTACTTAAGTAAAATTTTCTTTATTTTAATACATGTAAGTAAAATTATTGTTAGAGTTTTATTGTTATTTTTAACGCAACAAATATTAAGTTGCCTTTAATTTATAAGAAAAATTAAAAATAAACTTTAACTTTAAGACAGCGGTCTTAAGTCAATAATCCTTTTTTATTATTTTAATTGAAAAAATTAAGCAATGCTATTGAAGCTATAAAATACATTTTCTTAAAATTAACATTTTCTTTTGTTATAGATTTGTTTCTTTTTGATTGATTTAAGATTGATAAGATTCAGATTAAGATTTCAGACTCAAAAGAAATAGCTTTCGAACTTATGTTATATTACAATGTCTACCAAACAATACATAATGATATAAAATTATTTACATCTTCCAGTTTTATCCCTAACATAAATATGGAAACTGTAATTAAGTGTTATTAATAGTCTTATTGCTGATTACACCGAAACCTAATCGTTGGAACTAGTCTTACAAACCTTAGTCTGACAGCACTTTTTAAATTAAATTCTTTCAAAAATATAGCAGTTAATCTTAATTGCTTTTTTTTTCTGAGGCAGAACGAAACATTGTTTCCATTTAAGTTTATAAAAGTCAATTATTTTTAAAATAAAATATTATTCTCAGAATATAATTAATTTTATACAAAAATTTTGTGAATGATAACTTCATCAAAAAAAACTTTTACTAAATAAAACAAACACATAAATGTACTTGTCTTGAGCTATTCTTTTATATTTAAAATAACACAAAATATATAGGAATACATGATGATGAAACTATTAATAGACTATGACATTAATCAATATAAAAAAAATTGACCTACCAAAAATGTTTATTATTATCTTAAGATTTTTTTATTATACATAATATATTTAAACAATAATAATCATGTAAGGCATCATTATCGCACTTATTCTGATGTATTACCTATCAAACCTCTTAACAAAAGTTTTAGTAAAAATCTAGCAATAAAATAACCTAATGGCAAAATTCTTAGGATTTTCAATTTAGACCACCATTTTGAAAACTACTAGTCAGGAAAGAAGATAAGAAACATGGCTTCTGTTCTATCCTGTAATTACTAAGATGAATATGATCATCAAAAACAGTTTGGTTTGGAATGAGAGTATTAACTAAAGCCAATAAAGTTAGTAAATTGCATCAGAAAAAAGCTTTTTCTATATACAATTTCAAAAAAACTCATAACATAAAAAAAGTTTTTATGAAATATAAGTGTTAAAAAAACAAACTTGGTCACCAATTGCTGTAAAAAGTGAAAAATACAAAAATGCAGTATTAGGATTTATATAGTATATGAACATAGAAAAATTTACATGTTTAAGGAGCCAGCACTAAACTAAGACGTAGAGGGTGTGCGAGTTTGATAAAGTTAAAACAATAGTCTGTGAATTCTTATATAAGAAGGGAGTAAACAAGAGACAAAAAATAAATAAAATGGGTATTCTGGGTAATACGAAAATTTCTACGTTCAAGGTTCCGAGATACGAATCAATTTTTTATTTAGAATAGCGATTGTCATTTCCCTATACAATCAGACAATATAATAAATTATCGATGTTTTACCTTGAGATACACTTATTTACTGCTTGCAGCTAAATCTTAGTTAATATTTAGTTTTTCTATTTTTTTCATCCTCTGAGGAAAAAGTACGTCTTGAACGTTTCCTGTTGCCTATTTCATTTTCCATACAGGTCACTATTCAAGTTTATTGGAACTATTTATTGAAAATAGATTTTTAAAAAGCAGAAATAAGCAGCGTTTGGCGGGTTCCCAACCACCATACAAACAATTCCTCACAAATAAAATGTGTGATCCATCTATTGAATTATTGAATTTAATAATATTTATTTTTTTTTGCTGCCTATAATGCAACTTTAAAATTATTTTATCTTTTATGAATTGAGTGCTAAGTAGTGACGATTAATGTGTATGCTCATCTCCTAAAACTTCGGTTTGAAAGTCAATGTTTTGATTCAGAACAAGACCTCATTTTCGTAAGTGTAATAATATTTGTTTCTAAAAGCGGTAAGGTTGAGTTAGGGGGATTATCTTAACTGCGGCAAGTTGGTGATGAGATTCGTTTTAATGGTATCAGGAGGAGGGGATAGTTATTTGTAATTAGAAATGACCTTAAATATGTGGACAATTTTAACTGACAATGTATAAATATTGAAAAAAAAAAATTGTTTGCCCTTAATAAAAATCGCAGAGTACCCTATTCTCCCTAAAATTTAATGGTTTAAGGTCATCTATGGAAAATATTTGAAGAAATTCTACATAACTGTTTGATCAGTTTCTGATATTTAGCTTTATTCTCAATGATAACCATACATAATAAAATTTCAGTTTTTTTTATTGTATACGTACTTGCTCTTGCTTTGTGAAACTGCCTGTTTGTTATACAAGGCATAAATTAAAAAAAAAAGTGTATTCTAGGGCTTTCCTTCATGGAGCTTTGACTTTTATTTTTCAAGTTTCCCAGATATTGCAATATCTTTTCCTTAATTTTGGGAAGATATCCATATCATGATCTGTGGCAGAATAATCTCCAAGTCTGCCCTCAAAAAAGTAAAGTAAAAAATAAAAAACAGTGAAAGGGACCAACTCGAAGCCATCAAACCTTTTATAAGTTTTTTTATTTTAATAAAATTTTCCCCTTTAAAATTCAATTTGGCTCCTTGGTGATTGTAGTTGGCATAAGAGATCTCAATACAAAAATATCTTCTTAGTTTTAGTTTCTTGTTTTTTGCTGTAAAACCCAGTTATTGTCAATTTTGTGTTAGGTGCCAGTAAGTTCAAGTGAGGAACATGTTTCAGTTCTGAAGCATGTTTTCTTTATTTGCTTTTTTTTATAAATAATTTATCTCTCCTTGATCAAAAGTATACTCATTATTTATATCTGTTTCAGAAATCTATATTAAAGCCCTTGCTTGAAATCAGGAAGTGTTTAGAAACAGGTAGCAAACTGAAATTGTAAAATTTCTTGTCTTCTTGCAAACTTCTACACTAAATATGAAAAAATAGTTAAAACAACTTATAAATTATTCTGAGTTTATAAATTTTTTACTTATAAAATCTGAAGTGTTGTCTTCTTTTCCTTAATTTTTTCGGTTGTTAAAGTCAAGCTGTGTTTTGATGTTATGATAATTCAAATAAAATGGAAAATTTTTTGAAAAAAATTTGTAAAAATAGCTACATAGTAAATAGATTAAAAAATTTATGATTTTTAATTTGTTATCATTACACTATTGCTGACTCAGATTGTATTGTTTTCGCTTTATAATATTTATTCCTCTTAAAAAAATTATACAAATCAAACAAACTAAATCATGCAGTCTATAGAAATTAAATTTTTAACAAATATATGTAACCACTATTTTTTTTTCGTCTTAAAAATTTTTTTTAGAAAATAAATCACATTAAAATTTATATGCAATTTTAGTGCATCTATACAATCTAGTTGACCTGGAATGTTGGTGCAAATTCCCTAAATCAACCCCAAATCATTTTGTATCTCTTACATATTTAATAGAATTTAAAACTAAAAATTAATTAAAAAAAAATAATAATTAATTTTTTTCTAATGCCCACTTTTTTCAATGCGACACTTGTCATTCAGGTATTAGGCAGATTTGTTGGCCACTTTTTCAGGGGCGCCATAGAAGGTCACTGTTGCTCCCACAGTAAGGATTGATAGTGGAGAGAGTGAAAGGCTTGTCTGGGATTTGAATTCAGGACCTTTCTGATGTGAGATCAGCGTCGTTACTACTACTCAGTCTGGTTGAGAGAGAAAAAAAAAACATATTGAAATTGATGTTTTAGAATGTGAATCGTGACTTAGTTAATTTGTAAAAATAATTAAACACAAAACTATGCTTTAAATATATTGTATTTTAACAACAGAAAAAAAAGGTATTTCACAGGAAACCATTAAAGAATAATGTTATAATAGAACGTTAAAACTCCTCATGGTATTTAAAATCACTACAAAAATACATGCAGGTACCATATTTATAGTTTTGGTAAAATGGTTAATGGGATTTTATACTAGTTCTGTTATTTTCACACATTATTCCTAAGCTTTACTATTAGTCATCTATGTATAAAATGTATAATTTTTCAATTTTAGGTGTAGTAATTCCCCATTGAAGAAAATGTCAATAGTAGTGACAGAAGTGCCAACAGCTTTAAAAAGGCTTGTTCGTTTGGTTATGCGCGGTTTTTATTCAGTCGAACATGCAATATTAATGGATATGCTGATTCGTAATCCCTGTATGAAAGAAGATGATTTGGTTGAACTCTTGAGATTTGACAGAAAACAATTGAGGACTCTGATTGCTCAGTTGAAAAGTGATAGATTTGTGAAAATTCGCTTAAGAATTGAAACTGGTGCTGATGGTAAAGCTACAAGGCAAAATTATTACTATATCAATTATAAGGTAAGTGATGTAATTTTTTTAATTATTTTAAATGGTTTAAAAGCCTCTTTTCCTCAACCTACATTAGCCATTAATGGGGTCTTCATGAAAAGAGAGTAAGTTATATATGTTTTTAATCATTTTCATTTAATTTTTAGAAGCAAATTTCTAGTTAGTTGTATCTTTCAAAACATGTAAAATATGAGATCATCACTCTTTCGGAATTTGAGAAATAGAGCTCTTGGTATTCTGTTGTTGTTCCCATCCCAATGACCAGCAGAGCTAGATCAGGTCCATGAGCTCGTTCACTCTGAGAAAGTCTAGCACCAACAGGGGAGCTTGAACCAGGTCCTGCCTGGTAAGTCCTAGGCAAGATAAAATGTGGTCAGGGGAGGCCTGGGTTGCAGAACATTTAGTGCAGATTTCGAAATGTTTGATAAGTCATTGATGACTGATGTCTACTGAAGAAACGAGCGATGACAGTTTGTCCTCGTCTATTGCTGCCCCGAGCCAAGGAACCCCCTGGGCACCTACTCTGATACCATGAGTGTACCGGCGGGACCGTCCAAATGGCCATATTCTTTGCCTTACATGTAGAGAAATGCTCCAAGTAAGTAAGAGGAACGACAGTTGTATAGGCCTCTTCAGTACCTGTTTTGGCCAAACTGTCAGCAATCTCATTTCCAGCTATATCGACATGTGAGGCAATCCACTGAAAGTGGATCCGATGAGAAAGGGAAAGATGTTTTAGTTTCTTCAGAATGTCAGCACCAACACTGTCCCTGACATTAGGCCAATCGGCCAGGTGCTGGATAGCACTTTTACTATCCGAAAAGATCGAGATATCAATAAACCGCGAGAGCGACATCATGGAGTCCAGACCTTCAAGAATTGCAATAAGTTCCCTTCGTAATACCGGGCAGAAGTCCAGATTTCTCCTCTAGATTTTTATTTCCTGATCTCAAAGTTTAATATAAGTGCCACTTCCAGATCTGCCACTATCAAGTCTACTGCCATCTGTATCCAACTGAACAGCATCCATGGGGACATTATTAATTCTTTCAAGTGAAAGCTGTTTCATTCTTGGTATTCTAAAATTAAGTATTGTCAGTGTCATGATACTTTAAAGCAGATTTTTTTCTGATAAAATTATACTATTATAATTGAGGAATTAGGATTTTTTAGAAAGATAGTTTAGTATTATAACTTTTACATTTTAAAAATATCTTTGTTTTCATGTTGTTTATGTTAAAAGAGTGTTTTTTTTTATTAAAATTAATATATGCCAGTTTAAACAAAAGTAAGCAAAAACATTTGTTTTAAAGGAATATATTAAATTCAGTTTTCTTTCAAAATTGTTAATTATGCATTGTTCTTTATAAAGTTCATGTTTGTGAGAAATCCATAAAAATTTTCCAAGTTATTTTGTCCTGTTTTATTCAATCTAATTAGTTGAAGGAAGCCTTTATTTCCGATTTTTAAGAATGAAAAATAGTGCTGTTGAATGATTCTCTATCATTAAAAGCTCGTTAAGAATAAAAAGCGATGAGAAAAAATTAGCCTAAAAAAAATTACTGAAAATCCAAGATGACCAGTATGTCATAAATGTTAACTTACCAGAGATTTCTTGTCAGTAATCAAGCCAAGACTTTAATTCAATATTGATCAGCAAATAAAAAGTAATGATTTGTGTTCACTGGGGTGTGGTGGTTAATGTAACAAACTGAAAAGTTTGTGGAAAATCAAAAGGTTCATTTTGATAAAGCCTCATATTAATAAGTCTTTTTAATTTAGCTTTTGATTTTTTAAATGTATTTTAGGGCAGGGTTCGTTGATTTAAATCAGCTTGATTTAAATCATGATTAAAATCAAATGATTTTTTTAAAAAAATCATTGATTTAAATCAACTGATTTTTATATATATATTACATTGATTTTAAAAGTTAAAAAACAGTGCTTTAAATTATTGATACTTTTATTATTTTCCTTTCTTAGTTTTAAAATTTATTTTAATTAAATTGCTGCATTAATTAATTTTAGTTAACGAAATTACTTTCTTTCTTGGAGTGTGTTAAACACATTTAAAATTACATGTTTAAAAATCTTTTGATTCTTAACATTGAAAGTACAGATTAAAGTAAATATTTAATGCTGTCTTAATATAGACTTGCATAGCTGTAGAAAGTAAATAAACATGCTTTTTTTTCAAAAAGCAAATGTTAATTAAAATTCTACCTTTTGATTAAAAAAGCATGAAATTCAAATCTACATTATAGTTTATTGATGGAAATTTCTATATTTCTAAAGCTTGAGGTTATATTAAAAAGAAATTACCTTAATATGCCAAAAATAGAAAGAAAAAAAAAAGCTGAGTTCAGATATTTTTTTTCTGATATAGTGTCATTCTTCCCTATCAAAGTCTATTTGAAGCAGTAGGGTTATTAACTGGTTTTTATTTTTCTTCTCATAATATGTTTACGGTATCTTTGAAATTATCAGATTTTCTTTTGTGAAAAAAAATTCCAATGAGTACATAGATTTTTTTAAAAATGTTTTTTAGCTTAACTTATGTATTTTGATAAAGGATTAAAAATGAATATTTTAACATAAAAATATATAGATTGAATATTTATTTTTTGATGAATAACAACATTTATAAACACAATCTGTTGCATTTATTTTGCCATTTTATAAATCATGAGAAAAAAAAGAGATCACAATTTTAAATTAAAATTATACTGTGCTAATTGAAACTTTGTGTTATTAGTTAAAGTAGTATTCTTTAAATTATCTATTTTATCTTGTCTTTTAATTTCAATCATGCCTTTGTATCAAAATGGTCGCTATGCATTATAATGAAAAATTATTTTAGTAAGTTAGAGCTTCTAAAATATTGTTATAATATAGTTTTAATATTAATTTAATTTTGATTAAACATTTATAAAGTTTTTTTGATCATAAATTAAAGCTCTTATAGTGTATTTAAATAAAAATCAAAAAAATCTGATTTAAATCAAAAAAATCCGATTTAAATCAAAATAATCCGATTTTTTTGATTTTTTTTAAAAAAATCAAAAAAATCACGAACCCTGTTTTACCTAATATGTTTTTTATTTATTTTTTATTTTCATTTTATTCATGGGCATTATTTGCTTTATTTCATATAAAATTTATATCATGTGTATTCTGCTGTTCAGGGTGTTTCTTGCAGTTTTGATCTATGTTTCATCACCTTTTTTTGTATTATTATTGTTTATTTGTATCTCGCCCCGCCCTATTTAAGGGCATGCGAGAGTAGATACATACAACATACATAAAACTTTACACAAAACATCAGAAATTATATCAACAACCAGAAGAAAAAGAATAAAACACAAGCGAACAACAGTTAAAAACATGACCCCAAATCCAGCCAACACATTGAAAATCGCAAAGATCATAATTAAAAGAGTAAAAACAATATATACATAAAAGTGAANCAAGCCGTCCGTAAAAGTCTCAATTCCCTTGTTAGTTGGGGTCAATCCACCAAAGGGGACGGATTTATAAAGAGAAGGGTGAATATTAATAACTGGTTTCTCGAGTATCGTTGCTCTTAGAATTTCTTGAATATTATGGTCGTATTCCTCAATTCTGTAATTCCATCTTAACCTCTTTATACAAGTATCCTCAATAATTCTTAAATGAATGGGTTTCACCCCCGCCAGTANCGTGCGTGGTAAAAGCAATGCATAAAAGTAAAAGTTTCACCCCCGCCAGAATCTAGAGAGCCTCAGTGCTAGTTGTTGAATAGGCCCTTGTAATCACTATTAAGGATGTTCTTTGAATGGCATTAATTTTATCGTTAATTCTAGTAGTGTTACGATACCAGACACTGGCGACATAAAGTACGATTCTCTCCGTTGCTCTCTGGTAGATAATCTTTAAAATTTTTGGTTTCAGGCCCCAAGTTGCCCTGGCCACCCTCTTAATCAAATTATTAAATTTACCAACTCTCTCCTTAACGTGATTCAAGTGAGCTATCCGAGTCAATCCTGGGTCAAAGAGAATTCCTAGATATTTAAGAACTTGCACCTGCTTAATAGATTGTTTATGCTGATAACTCATCTTAATATTTGGTAACCTCGTTATTGTCTTCTTGGTTTTTGGAAAGGTTATACATTGTGTTTTGTTATCACTAAATTTAGGATTATTATTATGAGCCCAGGATGACAGTTCGGGGAGACAGAAGGTGGCCAATTGGTCAAAGCGATAAAGAATTGGATGTCTCAATAACAACAATATATCGTCCGCAAAAGCAATAATACGGCAATCTTCAACTTTCACATCATTAAACTGGCTAAAATTGATATTATTGTATCAATTGTATTATTATATGTTAACTTAGTAACTGTAATTACTTGTAATTTGTATTATTATATATTAACTTGTAATTTGTATTATTATATATTAACTTAGTTATTGAACAATTGTTGTTAACAGAATAGTAAAATTTATAGTTAGGAGAATCATAATTATAAAACTTCTTCATGTATAAGCTTCATTTGTATTTTTTAGTAATTTGCAAGCTTATTATTAATATTAGATTGTTTATATTAATTTTGTTCATAATTTTTTTTTTAGTTGCTAGGAATCAGTGATTAAATTTTCTAAACTTTTATTCCTATTTTGTGATTGCTAAAATTTGTGCCCAATGTTGAATCAATTGAAATACTGCAAATATTTTTTTGTAGTTAATTTTTTATCCAAATAATTTTTCCTACTTTCAATAATTGTCTCCAGTTTTGGATTCTATTTTATACAAAAATTGTAAGGTTTTTCTTCAAAGAAAGTTTAAAAAAAATTCAATTTTGGAATAAATTTTAAACTGAAAAATACGTGTTCTGGTAAGTCTGGTTTATTTTGCTCTAACAATTTTTTTACCTTTCCTATAATTTATAATTTCTTACCTTTTTTTTTACCTTTACCTTTTGATCTGGTCCTTTGTAGTGAAAAAATACCAAACTATTTTTCGATTCACCAATTATAGACTTTTTACTTGGATTATAACATAATCAATAATAGTTAAATCAATACTTTTCTAGAATTATTTGTTGATCAAGTTTCTCTTCAGTATCTCTGATCTCACATAACAAAAAGAAAAAAATCATGTAATTCTATTGTATTTAAACTTATGCAGTAACCTTGTATGTATTTACTTTGTTATTGTTTAAACCCTTATTTATTTTTTCCCCCTCTAGATTTTTGTTAATGTTCTCAAATACAAGTTAGATCATATGAGACGAAAAATTGAAACCGAAGAAAGAGACTCAACTAGTAGAGCATCTTTTAAATGTACTGTTTGTTCAAAAACTTTTACAGACCTTGAAGCTGATATGCTTTTTGATTTTTCTACTAATGAGTTTCGCTGTAGTTTTTGCGATGCTCCAGTGCAAGAAGATGAGAGTGCTTTGCCTACCACAGATTCTCGCTTGATGCTGGCAAAGTTTAATGAACAAATTGAACCTCTTTACAGTCTCTTAAGAGAAGTGGATGACATAAAATTAGCCCCAGAAATTCTTGAACCAGAACCTACAGACATGTCCCAAATTAAAAGGTGTGTTTACCATCCGTTAAATTTAATTGTTTTATATATATATTTTTTATGAAGTTAAGATTTTTGAAAATTGTGAACAATCTTCTGAATTATATAAAATATATAAACTTCCTCTCAATATATTCTTTTATTTTTCTAAAATAAGTTTACTCTGTTTATAAAAAGCATGTTTGCTATTTTTTAAATTGAATTGTTTTATCTGTTTCTCTTGTGAAGTTTAGATTTTTTTAAAAAAAAATCTTAACAGTTTTTGGAACAGTCTAAGTTTATTCTATTTAAATTTACCTCTCTCATTTTTTCCATAAAAAAAGTTAAAATCTTTTCCTGAATTTTTTTTCAATGTGTTTTGTTGTAGCTGAGTTTTTTTATTAATATTCAAAAAATGTAACTTCCTGGAGCTTCTTTCCTTGGCTACTTATTTATAACTTTTTACTCTTTTGTAAAACTCAGTAATATTTTTGAAAGAGGACTTAACTGGTATTTCTTGCCTTTTTTTTAATGTAAAAATCGCATCTGGACATTTTTAGCAGTTTTACAGCTTTCCATTTTATTTTGTGCAATTAAATACAAATAATGGATGACTTCTATACTAATACATTTTTTCATATTTCTTCGGACTTACTTAATGCAGCTCTAGTGCGATGTAAATGAACTACAACAACATATTTCTTCGGAAATGTTTTATGAGATATTTTATAACTTTAGAAGTGTTTGGATCATGTGATTTCTCATACATATATCAATGAAATTTAAGGCTTTTAAAAGGTTTATGGGACCGACAATAAATTACAAATGTAAAATAATGTTTTTAAACACCCTATGCCAAAAAATGTAGCAATAGATTTGTAACTTGTGACAGTTATTTTGGTTATTATATGAAATAATTTTTTATAATTTTGTGAGCCTAGCTTAAACATTTATGAAGAGATGGATATTTTTATAAAAAACAAATTTTTTTGTCTCACCTTTTTTTGCTATCACTTTAAAAATATTCAATAAAACTAAATAAACTTTTTAGAGCAATTTAAAATTAATTACAAAACTTTTGCTTTAAAATTTGAGAAAAATTTGTTGAAAAGCGTGTAAAATATGAGTAATTAAAATAGTTTTTTTAATGCTGTGCATGTACAAAAAATATAAGTTTTTTTCTTAATTTTGTAGTGAATCCGATTTGACAACTAATGAAAAAAGTCTGATTTGATTACCTTAAAAATTTAAAAGGTTTTAAGGAATTTTCAAAGAAATTTTTAAAAGGAAGCTCAAAATGATATGGGGTTTTCTGTAAATATTATTTTGAATCATGTGACAGAATTTAACAGCAAATGATAATACTATACAATAAATGTTCATGCACCAAAATGTGACTTAATGTGTTAAGAAAACAGACGGAAAAAAAAGATGCTTTTCTGGGGGATGATACCAACAATGCTAATGTCATTTTTAATAAATCTTGTGGAATAGTACAGAAAGAAATATGTGGAAAACCCCTTATCATTTTGAGTATTCATTTAAAAAGTACAATAACTACTTAGAAAATTGCTTGAAACTCTTTAAATTTTTTAGATATTTTAATCAGATTTTCTTTTAATTAGTTGCCAAATACTATTCACGATAAAATTACGAAATTTTTTGTAAAAATTTCCCCTTGCACGTGCAGTATAAAAGAACTACTTTAATTAGTCATTTCCTGTGCAGTTTTAAATGAATTTTTCTCAAATTTTAGAGCAAAAATTTTATAAATAATTTTAAATTGTTTAAATTTTAAATTTATAATAATTTTAAATTTTATAAATAATTTTAAATTTTGTTTAATTGTATTGAATATTTGTAAAGTTATAGCAAAAAAACGTGAAACAAGAAAAAAAAATTTTTGTTTGTAAAAATTTTCATTTATCCGTAAATGTTTAAGCTAGGCTTAAAAAGTTTTGTGTAATTTTTGCATATAATAACCAACATAACAGTCAGGTGTGGCTGCTGGCACCATGCCACATCTTTGAGTGTCCAGCAATGAGTGCTAATCTGAGAGAAATAGGAGTCTTGCCGTCATTGATACACCTTTATGACAATAATATCAAGCAAATCGCAGAAGCAGTAATCAAGACGCATGGAAACATTTGATTCGGCTATGTCATAGACACGACAAAAAAAAAAAAAAAAATAGCAGTCACAAAGTTATAAATATATTGCTGCTTTTTTTTGCCATAGAATGTTCAAAAACATTTTACGTTTGTAATTTATTGTCGGTCCCTGAAACCTCTAAAAGCTTTAAACTTCATTGATAAGATGTGTATAAGCGATTGCAGGATCTAAACTCTTCTGAAGTTATAAAATGATTCTCTCAGTACTTCTGGAGAAATATGTAAAAATGTATTAGGAAAGAAATGTTTTCATTATTTTGTTCACCCTCTGTAAATAAGCAGTGTTACATAAATTACTTATAAAGTTTTTACTTAATGCCAGTTTTTTAAGTGTTTTCTAAAATGAATAACATACATTTTCTTATTTTCAGGGATGCAAGCACAAACAAGAGTTCTCGGCCAAACCAATCTCTTAATGATAATCATGGTGTTTGGAGTGGTGATGCCACCAGGAATAAAAGTTATGACTTTGGCAATAACCAAGGCATTACTGTCAACTTTAATGCAGAAAACACAGCTGCTACAAAGGTTCAAGAAAAGAAAGAACAACCTATCTGGATGGTTGAAAGTACAGTTAAAGCTGAAGCCAAAGATGTACTTACTTACATTTTATTTAATTTTAGAATTAAAAACTTTAAGCGAGGAAAAGTGTTTTTAAAAATTTTTTAGAGTATGTAAAGTTAATATCTTTTTTAAAGCTCTTCTAACTTCAACCATGAACTTAGTTTAGGATAGAGCCTGGTTGCTATCTCATACCGCAAACCATTTTTCTTTCAATTTTTTTCAATACAAGTGACTTAGTCATTTCACACCATTTGGCAAATAAAGCATTCAGGCAACTTCTTCATAGTTACTGGCATCTGGTTTCCTCAGATGTATGCAATCATGATCTTTTAAAGTCAAGTTGTGTTTGTCTTTGCCAGGTTAGCTAAGTAAAAATGACAGTTAAGGCCTGGTTTCTTAGGACAGGACGCCGTCAGCTGGAAATCAGCGCTAACCTCTGATTGGTCCATTTGTGAGTTTGATAGTAAACGTCATCAAACGCTCATCTTGATTTACAATTGCCGTCCAACTCTACTGCAGTTGGATTACAACGTAACATTAACTACAGAAGGCAATGGCGGACAACATCCAACAGCACATTGAAATCAGCCAAGATTTTGATTTTGACATTAAACATAGCTTCTTAATTAAACATAGCACTCTTCATTTAGCTTAGCTATAATGTGTTTTTTCTTGGACAAAGTCATTATTTGTTCTCTAAAACACTGGCCGACAAAAAAAATCAATACAAATTCAAAATAAATATTTGTTTACGTTATTAACGCATGCGCAATGAGAGATAATGTCTGCGTTGGACGGACTGCTCACGCTGAGCTAACAAAAAAGTATTTTTTTTGGCGTCAGCTCTACGTCAACTTTCCGCTGAAGCCCAGATAAGGCGCTTGTCTTAAGAAACCAGACCTTTAGACTGGCTTTGAGTCATCCATGTTTAATGAAGATTTATTATTCATAAAATGCTGAAAACATGTGAAATTTTTAAAAAAGATGATGTTAGATGATAAAGCATTTCTAAAAAAGACAAAATTCACAAAATGTGTAAAATTATATATATAACATTCAAGAAGGTTTATTTATACCGAGTTTCGTATATATTTTCACTTTGAAGTTCAACTGTATATTCTGAAATATATTTCATTCTGTTAAAATTTTGTGAATATGTTCACTTTTTCAGCTTCAATTGTAAATGCATGTTCATTCAGTTAAATTTTTGTGAATGTGTTCACTTTTTCAGCTTCAATTGTAAATGCATGTTCATTCTGTTAAAATTTTGTGAATATGTTCACTTTTTCAGCTTCAATTGTAAATGCATGTTCATTCAGGTAAATTTTTGTGAATATTTTCAATTAGTGATTTGGATACATTTTTAAAGATATAAATTTTATTCATTAGTGTTAGTAAAATTTTGTTTTTTCTAATTAGAAAGAAATCGCCCATTTATGACAAATACTTGTGTATATAAAATTTCAATGCAGTTAGAGCTTGATAATATCAGATTTTGAAATTCAATATGCAGTTGTTTGCTATTTTTCTGGTTTAAATTGAAATTGCAATAAGAAAGAAAAATTCCCAGTTTTTGCAAACTATCCCTTTCATGTCGTAAATTGTGCTACATGCAGAATCTTTTTATTTTATTTTTTATTCTTGAATCTTGGCAGCTATGCAAATTTTTCTTATTCATTTAAGCCATGTTGACACAGTGGTTAAGGCATTCAGGTGTAATTGTGAAGAATTGAGGTTCAGCTGAGCTTCAAATTGAGAGATACTAGTTTATCTGAGAAGTAAAGGGGGTCAGTTGAGTTTGCTGAACAGATTGCCCCCCTCATGTTGTTTGTTACGAAATTGAGGAGCATCCTTAACATTTATGACCCCTTTGCCAACTCTTTCCAGGAGTACTAAACATTTAATAAAATAATGTAAGGATTTATTTGTTACAAAATTTAAAATAATTTGGATTTTTTACAAAATTAATTTTTTTAAGTAGACTACATATATAATTTGAATTAAAATACAAGTATTCTGACCATAAAAAGAGGATAAAAGTAATCAATGATTACTCTAACTATAATAATGCATTATTAGTCAATTTGAATACGCAAATTTGTGTATGTATTTTTCTATTAATACATTTACATTCATTTTGGTATTGATAAAGTGTATTACATAAGTTTTTCTTTAGAACTTGTATATTACATATAATCAATATCAAAATTAATCTTATTATTTAAAAACTTTTTTCTTATTTAATAATATGTTCTTGGTAAGAATGGATACATATTGTTTTTATGTCTAGATTTAAATAATTGAATATTTTATTAATTTTTTTTAAATAAAAGTTTTAGTTTGTTTTAAAGATTTAAAAAAAAAAATTCCTTATGGTAGATTAATGAGGATTTAGCATGATCTGTCTATTATGTGTAATTCTTTCTATAAATTCAATTTCAAGTACACTTTAACTATCAATGAGCAGTCATAAGTAAACCTGAAATGAGAAAATATTTCTTTATAAATTTTTTTTATCTGTCCATTTGTGTGATGTTCAAATGCCACAGTAATACTTTATACTAAATTCATCATCAATCACAACAGTGCTTTCGTTTTTTTCTATCATTTCATTTCATTTTCCCTTGCTTTCTTTATCTCTTTTCTTTCAATTATGTATCTTGCAAATGTTCTATTTGCTTCCACTGATAATCTGTTGTACAGACCTCTGTTCAACTGTCTTTTCTTAACCATACATTCTTGCCATACAATAGTCTGTAACTCCTTACTGGGTTCCAGGAACACTTTCACAGACACAGAACGTATAAATAAGCTCTATACTACTTGCAAATGAAGAGTATTTGTTTGATAATGAAGCAACCTTCTATTTTTTTTTAACACCAAGTTAGGTTTTAGTTTCATTTAACTTAAATGTTCTGTTAATTTCTTTTAGCATATTTTCACTTTGGAATTTTTTTTTCTCTCACTTATGTAGTATTTTTATTGCAATCAAATGCTTAAGTGAGAAAAGTTATAAATTAAGTTTTGAAACATAGTGAAAAACATTTTGACTATGTTGCTGGTTGTTGGGATCACTGGCTAAGGGGCTTAGACTCCACAATTTTGAGATCAACAGCATGAGTCAGCATTGTGCACTGACCACCCTTACTTCTCAGACAAACTTCAATTCATTGATTTCAATCTATTACTTTATATAATCAAAAAGGTTTTTAACTATTTATAATGCAATGTCAATAGATGTGGCATTACCGAATTTGCCATCATGTCCTATCTCTACTATGTGTACTGTACTATCATGGCAATAGTTTCTCCACTAAAATTAAAATTTGATTTAAAAATTAAACAAAATAAATTAATAGAATGGTTTTTATACAGTTAAATAAATAATAATTTAATATCACATTTTATGACCATAACAAGAGAAATACTGATGTTGAGGGGGAGGGGCTTTTGATAACATCATCACTTCATCCAAGCATAAATTATTCGGCTGGGATTTGGAATTTTGAGTAGATTCTGTATTAAGGTGTCACATATGAATATTATTAATAAGTTTCGAGTTTTTAAAAAAAATTTTTTTCTATGTGTTGATTGTTTGATATAATTGATTTTTGATGGAATTGTTTTAACAATTTTTCTAGACGTCTGATTTCGCTTGGGGACAGGAAAGAGTACCTGGACATACAGTGGACAGTAGTCCTTTTGTTAAACAAGATGATATAATGGAAGCACTTTTAGCACATGAAAGGAAAGGTAATGCAGAGCAGAAAATCGTTATTCCTGGTCAACATAACCATGAAGAAAGCAGTAGTGGTTCTGATGAAAATTCCAAAACAATGCAATCATCATTTGCAGAACCTGGTAAGCATTCAGATAGAACTAAATTTTATTGTGAATGTAAAATATATAACATTTTGAATTTTTCATTTAATAGTTTGGAAAGAATTAAATTTCATAATAAAAAGATACTTGTTTAATACTTTTTTGACCTTTTTAAGTTTTTATAGTTTTTGAGTTGCTGAATTATTGATTTAATATGTATAAAGTTGTCAATTAAACTTCATTTTTTTATGTTCAAAATTTGCTTAAAAATAATTCTTACTATTAAAATTGTGTCCCAGGGTTAATTAACAAAATTTTAACTTCAAATTTTTGCACCTTCAAAATCTATGAAAAGTTAAACATGTTTTATTGTACAATATATTAAATGTACAATATTATTGTTACAGTTTCAAAAAAAAAGTTAAGGAAATTTATTGTTACTTTTTTCAGTTTAAATAAAATTAACTATAACATATGTAACCTTAAGTTAGCTAGGTGTGTAAAAATATGTTTTAAACTATAAATGTGGGGCAACATAACAAATTTTGTATTTAAATAGTGTTGTTTTTTGATTCCGTAATGTAAAAAATGTAAAGTGGCAAATATAATATTGGAAATGAAACTTAAAATGAATCATGAGTATCCTTGTATATAAGTTCATTTAAATTTATCTTACACTAAGTTCATTTATGTCAAGTTTCTAAAGAATTCCTAAAAAGAAAAGTTTGGAAAAAAAATAATATGTATCAAAAATTAATCCCAGTTTTTAAATTAATATGTATGTTGCCGTTTGAGATTTTAAAATTTTCTTTAGATTCACATTCCTTTAGATTACTAATTACTAATAATTTAAAATGAATTAATGTTACAAAAATTGATTTATACTAACAATGAAATTTCGGTAAATTTAAAGTTATCAGTTCATTATAATATTTAGTTTGTTGTAATAATTCTGTGAAATTTACATTATTTAATAAATAAACTGACAATTTGTAATATTTTCCTGATGTTATAATTTTTTTTATAAAAACTAATAAAAATGCTTATATATAAGCTTATATATATGCAGGAAAAAAATAAATCTCTAGGAATAAACAATGTAACTTTTTGTACCATCCATTTTCATTGAGGAGTCATTATCTCCCTCTTTTGACAGTAATGTCAAAACCTATATTAATGGTTCTACATTGATAAAATTTTTTTTCATTTTTAAAAAATTTCTTTAAATTGTGCAACACTTGGACAAAAAGTTGTGTCATTTTTATTCAAGTATAGTTAAATTAAAAAAACATTTTTATGAATGCAATTTTTAGTAAGTAGTTTCCTATAAAACTTTTATATGCATATTTTGTGGATTTTTGAGTTGCATATTCTAAATATAACTAATAAAACTAAAATTTTTGAAATTGTTTTGAGTATTTTTTTATCACTTATAACTTGAGAGTTATGCAAACTTTTTACTTTTATCGTACTGTGTATATTAAAAATTTTGATCCTCTTATCATATAAGGCGTAATTTTTATAAAGAGCTATTTCTAACGGAACAATTACTTTTAGCTAACACCTTTTTTCCTATTCCAATTTTTTTTTTAAATCCCATATAAATATTATGTTATGCCCAACTAATAATTAATTATACAGTTTTGGTGTGTTTTTTTTTTTAAATATGATAATTCTTTTCTGCAGAAATTGGTGAAATGGAAAGTGATGAAGATGATAACTTAATGGTGACTGTTGGTGACCATAAATATCCTTTAAACGAAGTCACAGAGGAACTGATATCAAGGATGACTGCTGATGAAAAAGAAGCATATATCAGACTAACACAAGACTTATATGCTAGTATATATGAATGAATCATTTTTTTATATTTGAAAGAAGAATTATTTTCATATGTAAATAAATTTATCTTGAATGACCTGGCCATTTGTAAATTTAATAATCAGTTATCATTATTTCATCATATGTTACTCACATTATTTATTGACTATCTATGTTTTTTATGGTTATAATATGAAGGAAGTTGTTAAAGATGTTGCATTTTAGAAATATTTTAATTAAAGGGTTTTGTTTAACCGCACAAAATGTATAATGGATTATATGGAATGAAATAGCCACACGAATAATTAGAGTTTGTTAAATTATTTGTACTTATATTTTTTTATTTTAAGTTTTCCCAATTTCATATTGTTTTCTTGAAGGAACAAAGGAAAAAACTAAATATGAGAGGGAAATTTAGAAATTTTATTCTAAGTTTTGAAAGAGAAAAAGCCTTCATATAAAAAATAATCTATTTTAAGATCAGAATTGATTTATGAATTTTAGTTGTTACTCAATTCTTCAATGACAATTTCTGAGTAAAATAATTGTACGTTCTCACCTAGTACACTTAAATGAAATTTAACATGCATTGCAAAATATTCCTTGTTTATTGAGATTTTTTTTTACTTGTCACTGTTGGTTATATAATAACTGGTTTTGTTACTCTACAAGTTGAAGTTTTAAGTTGAGAAAGGATATATTATGTCCCCACTTACCTCACATCTTAAATGACATCATCATTGATAAATTCATCAAATTTCTAGTTTTTTTCCCTGTGGTAGTTTAAAAGGGAATAGATAAAACTAAATGTTGGAAGTATTTAAATTATGAAAGTTTAAGGAAGTATTTAAGTGGGAAAGTTTTTAAGTTATTTTTTATGGCATGCCAACCATGATTATTTATAAAAGAGAAAGAAAAAAAATCTGAATTGAAACTCTTATTAAGTAAGAAAAAAGTTTGAGTTATCAAGGGACAAAACTAAAACATTTGACTAAATGTAAAAATAAAAACTAAATTTTTTTTAAAAATTTCGAGTTAATATGTAAAAGTATTTTAGAATTTGTGTGAGATAGTCATAACTGCTAATGCTTCTCCATGTTCCAATAGACAACTGGAGTTTGTCAATTTCTCCTGAGTTCTCACTGGAGTTTGTCAATTTCTACTTATTTTAATACATCTTAAAAAATTCCGTAAATCAGGGAAAGTTTCAGAAAACATCTCTTACGAAAATATTCTTAATTTAATTTATTGCTTATCTGAGTTATCAGTCTCGTTTATAGTTATGTGTTTAAAGCTTTTCTTTTTTGAATATTTTATGATTTTTCAGTTCACGATTTTTAAATTAATTTAAGAATATGTTATCACCATTTAAAATTAGCTATAACATAAGAGTTTTATGCATTTTGCCATAATTGCTATTGCAAAATATAACTTTTTTTAATTAAATTGATTAAGCTTTCCATATTCTATCGATATAATGCTTTATGTTGATATATTCTAAAAGAATTGTTTTTTATTGCATTTGTATAATATATAATATTCAAAGTGCACATTAAATGATATTTTTGAAACCGAATGTGCTATCTAAAAAGTGCCTTAGTTACAAATATGTGGTCTTTATATGAAAATTTAGTAGTTTTATATGCTGTTATGCTGCACATTCTTTTCCTTTGTTTGCTCAAACAAACTTTAAAGGCTTTGACTTGTTTTTATTCTGTCTTATTCTAAGTTATATATGTGAAATGTTTATTTTTTTCTGGTTTCTTATGAAACTATTTTGAATATCACTGCAATTCATTATGAGGGTTTCAATTGGAATTTTTAGGAATTGGATTTAGAGGGGAAAAAAGTTCAAGATTTCTTAACCAGCTTTTAAATCTCTGACGTTTAGAATCTTATGAGGGGTTTTCTTTAGAAATGATATAAATTTTTTAATTTATATTGCAATTTTAAAATTATAAGCTACTGTAAAACAAAATTTAATGATAATTAATATATTTAAGTAAATATATGTTGAATGTTTCCATGTTTTTTCCCCTTTATAAACCTTTAAAATATTTTTTTTTCAATCGAAAAGATAAGGGAATGAAGGAGATATGTAACAAGAAGCATGTTTGCAGGTTACTTTTTAATTTGGCCCTTTTTTTTCTTCTTTACTATATTGCATACCTTTGGCATTTCAGTATTGTGGGGATGCTACTATCAAATAGTAATGCTATCAATATAGAAGATACTGATGTTATGTAGAATGCCCAATCATGATATAGAATGCCTGCTCATTTGTAAGCGACGTATAAGATCTGAGATTTATTTTTTGCTTCATCTAATATTGTATACAGTACCTAGGATTCTTAAGTATCTTAAATTTTCTTTAGGCATAATATGACTCATGTGAATTAGTATACAATTTGTCTTGCCATTGTACAGAATGCTTGTAGATTTCCACTAGTCATTCTATAGAACATCTAGGCAATGTATGAAATATTAATAATTTCAATTTTGCTGTTTTTTTGGGCATTCTATATGATGTCAGTTTTCAAACACTGATAGTAACATATGCAAATCTTTTTTTTAGCAATAATGTGATTTTTTTTAAAAATTGTGTTGCACATCTTTATTTGCTTATGTTGTCAAATATCAGTTCTAAGGCAAAATATGTTGGTTTGCATATTTCTATTAGATATTTAAGATCTCCGTTCTTTCAGTCATTAAATTTTTTGGTGGCACAAATTTAAAAAAGAAGAAGATTTTTTTAAAAGTAATTTAAATGTTGTTTTGGTTCAAATAAATCATAATTACTAATTTATATTATTTTTACATGTAACTTTCATAAAATTATCATAAATGTTAAACTTGCATACCAAGATAACAGCAATGTCATAAAAGTGTGATTCACGCCTCTTTTATTAATATGATCGCTTTCTTTTTTCTTTCTATTATTTATTCATACCTTTCGAGTACCCCCCAAAAAAATGTTTCCATTTGCAATTTATTTGATTTTTTATTTAAGTTCTGAATTAATTTTCTGGCACAATAATCATATTTCATATATAGTATCTGAATTTAATAATAGTTATGTTTAATTTATTTTGGATAATTTACATTGTTCTCATTATTCTTTTTCATGCCATTAGTATCTATGTTAGACTAGCATTATATGATTCTCTCTCTACAGAATTGCTAGCAGTGTTATAAAACAGTGATGCATATCCTAAATATAATAATCTGTCTTTCTTATTCTCTGACTTTATATAAATTCTTTTCTTTTTTTATTTATTCCCTCAAGTTTAAATTCCCAAAGAAAAATCTATTTATTTGCAGTTATTTTTGTGTTTTAGACAATTTATTTTGTGTGTATTTAAGTTATGAAACAAAACTTAAAACCTGGCACACTCTTACTATTTCAAATATTAATTATTTAATAATTTCATTGTAATTGTGGTACCGAAGATTCATGGCTATTATTATCATTATTTTAAATTATTATATTTAATTAATTATATATATTTATAGTTAATTAAATGAATGGTTTAAAACAATGAAATCATTATTTTAAATGTATTATGATTATATATAATACATTTTATAATTTAATTAAGTCTGTTTTTTTTTTTTTTTTGTCACATGAATAATATTTATCCAGAATGTTTAACTGTCAAGAGGAGCATGAAAAGAATTAATTTTGACGCACGTTTGTGGAGCATTTTTCCGTGTATATTCCTTTTGCTCATATTAACTATTATTTATTAACTTTTTAAAATTTAATTTAACTGTTTTACAATCTACTGATCAAAATTCAAGTTATTTTTGGGGGTTTTTTTCCATGAAAAATAGAGAACTCATCATGATTTTTTAAATCTATTTCATGTTTTGTCATGTAGAACATCTTTTGTTAAGAGTGTAAATATATTTATCATCTATATGATTTTATTTTCAATAAAAATTATTAATTTCATTTGGGCTATTCATAACATATAATTATCTCTTTATTTTTTATAAATTAAAAACTTTGCATTTTTGCTTGGAATAATGTTTAAAAAATACATTATGTGTATGCGTTTGCAATTAAACACATTGAACTTTCACATTGTACTTCAAAATTTATATTGTCCTTATAACATTGTTCAATTATGATGATAAATCAAAATAAATCATTTAATTTTTATTACTCATCTCATTAAAGCTAGCAAATATTGAAGTTTTATTTTATGTTTTTGTTTTATATTTTGATATTGCTTATCTAACATATGAATTTGGAATAAAAATTAAATTCAAATTAATGCTGCAAAAGCTTGTAAAACTTTTAAGAAATTATGAAATGACACAAAAATTAAATTATGTTAATTTATAATTGATGACAATATTCAGTTTAACATAGACCTACTCTAACTCGTTAGTGAGCTTTTTATTTTGAACTTAGTTCAAAATGTGTTTAAGAAAATGGACATAATTTGAATTGTGTATTTAAGAAAATGGTCATTGCTCAATCTGCTTATTTAAAGATACAGACACAGATCAAAATCCAAATTTTAACAATTGAACCATGAATTTAGCTTCAGCGATTTTTAAAAATTAAATATTGGGTTGAGTGAAGAGTCATTTCGTTTTTCCCATATTTTTCAAACCCATATATTTAAATAAAGGTTAAAGATCAATCAATGCTATGTATTTCCTTTTGCTCAATGACCGTTCGTCATCTTTCCCTAAGCTTCATAATTCCTGGTGCGTAGAAAAACCCGCCTTTAATTGCCTGAAACTGAATAAAGTGTCGATTTAAAACCTTATCTGACTTCAACGTTAATCCACGCAAGGAAATTGTGAAGAGATCGAAGCAAGTGGAAGTCTGAGAGCTTCATGTCAGGTGAGTATGCTAGGTGGAGCAACACATCCCACCCAAGCTCTAATAATTTTTGATGGGTCGCCAAAAATGTGCATGGTCTGGCGTTGTCGTGAAGGAACACTACTTTACAATTGCGAACTGCGGACGTTTCCGGATGACAGCTTCGTTCAAACTGCCCAATTGCCAACATTACCTATCCGAATTGATTGTGCCGTTACTTTGTTGGAGCTCAATAACAGCACCACACGCTTTCAGTCTTACTATATTGAGAGCATAACCTTCCTTTAACGAAGTTCTGCTTTTGAAGTCGCCGGTGATTCATCACCTCGCGACCAAAACCTTTTGTGCACCACATTGTTGTTAACAATTCCATTCTCACCACCAGTTATCATACGTTTCAAAAAAGGTTTGTTTTCTTCACATTTCATGAGCATATTGCTGATGTTTTATTCGTGATGTCAACTGAACTTATTTGAGATTATGAAGAATCCAAATATCGAGCTTTACCTATCCCAGTTTCTTTAGTTTGACGTGAACAGTTTTGACTGATCTTCAATGTAATGGAATCAATGTCTATTTTACCATCATCAATCTGGGTAAGCCTTCCTGATTGAGGAGCACCTTTCAAAATCACAGCTGCCAACTCTTCCGATTTTCCCGGAAGATTTTAATTTCGTATTTGATGTGGTACCGAAACTCATGTCATGCCATTAGACTTTTTGAATTATAATAATAATTATAAATGAGTTTGACCACCTCTACCACTACATATAAATAATTACGACGAATATATAAAAGCATACTAATCTTTATGATAGCGAATTTTAGCGGAGTCAAAATATAAATACATATATTTTTGAGTAAGATTGTTCTTCGGTGATTGTTTTACTACCACTTAAAAAATTCATTCTCAGAAAGAGTAAAAGTTGGCAGGTATGAAAATTATATTATCAGCGTTCAATTTTTTAAACCAGTTTAGCCGCTGTAAACTTTTTGCAATTTTTTACAAGCTTGAGGCTCGTTTTTTCCTTTTACGGAAGTAAAACAGTTAAATGTGGCAAAAACGAACAGTGTGTTTTTTCTTGTTCACAGTGTTGTAAAGTCTCCAAAACTCAACAAAATCGCACAATTTGTTTTTTTGCAATGACGCCTAAGTTGTGATTGACATAGCAACTACTATTTCAAATGCTTGAAGTATTTCACAAACAGTGCAACTGACATCTGTAGCAAAAAAACGCAATATAATTATTACAAAGCAAAGTTACGGACTTCGCAATGAATTGGAAAATTACAGGTGATGTTTTCGTATTCAGATCTCTTAACAGTAAAGTGTTGTGTAAAATACGAAATTCCAACAACAAAATTGCATGGCAAATTTATTTGAAATTATTAGTTAATTCTTTATATAATAACAATACTCGTAAGAGTAGTTTGAAATATGGTATCAAATGCTGTGTTCAATTTCTTTAATACCCATTTTAAGTTGTGTTCCTTTTTCATGTGAGTCAAAATTACAGAAATGGAACGTTAAGCTCATTTGAAGACCTTTAAATAATAATTTAAATCGGCCCTATTAACGCCAAATTTCTGCACTTCTACTTGAAATATAAAATGATTAGATTAATCATATTAATAGATTTTTCAATTCAAAGTTCAAATAAATTTATTTTTAAATAGAAAATCGAAATCTACAGTAAGAAATTGGAATTTTTTAAAGTCTGAAATAATGTCCTCTTTTTTTTTTATCTCTAAATAAGTTATGAAAGAGTAGTATATACTTATGCTTAGATATACAAGTATATACACTTTTGAGAAACTCAAATATGATTCTTGTTTTTTTTTTTTTTTTGTAAAACAAACAAACTTTTATTGTTGTAATCACGAATGGATGATTTATTTGAAAAACCGGCCGGAAACGAAGTATTTTTGATACCATTTTTTAAACTTTTGTATGGCCCGCAGAAATTTCAAAAGACGAATTTTTACATGACGAGCTTGCAATGTGTTAAAAAGCCTATCAATGTTGGACTACCTATTACCAAAATCTTAAGCTCAGAGAATGTAAGAAGACAAGGGAACTTGAGAAAAGAGCTTACCAAACTCACGCTTGTGGCAAATTATTTGAATGGAACTAATCTGCATTTGCACTGCATAGAGAAGAAAACAACGAAAATCAATGATTAGCCCGACGAAAAAAGACTCTAATGTATAATCCGTAAAGCACATGAAATTTTTTGTTATTGGAGTGAGTGGAGTTTAATATATACAAATCGACCAGCCTTCGTCTGAATTGTTTCTATGAGAAGAAATTGCTGTCTCCTTTGTTCGACCTCCGTAATTTATGTTCTTTGTATTAAATTTTTTTGTGGCGCAGAAGATAGGCAATACGTAAGTCTCAATTTAACAAAGATCATTAATTTCATTAAAATTGCTTCAAACAGTTATTTCACAATATAAATAATTCATTCAATTAAAGTCGCGGTGGCTCAGGGGATTGAGTGCCGTCTGCCTTTAAATGAGGTGATCCAGGTTCGATTTCTGGAAGTTGCTAGTTAATGAGAATCCTGCCCCCGGCTCGTATGGACCGCAGAACTGATGTAAAATATCCTCAGTGGTAGACCGATCATGGGTGTTAGGATCCGGTCGTCGTCAGGCTAACCGTGAGTGGTTTTCCTCTCCATGTAGCGCAAAAGCGTGCTAGTTCTACCAAAAAAGTCCTGCACGCAGACTAGTTTGCTCCAATGCTTGATCAAGGAGTTCCCTTGTCTGCAGGGTTGGGTTCGAAATTACTAGGTTATGGAGTTGTACATTGGGAGTCGTAAACTCAGAATTGGATCCACTTTTCAACGCCGGTTATAAATTTCTCTAAATTCAGTCATGAACATGGTTTTTAAGAGTCTGATTCAAAATTATTGACTTTAAGTACAATAAAAAAAAATATTTTCGAACTAAATAACATTAAAAATATTAAGTCAGATAAAAAATAAAAATCCCCTTAATTTTATAATTTCTTCGCAGATAATATTGAGTAAAAATAATAATTGATAACTCAGAATCAACAAAATAAAAAACCGCTCTCTCTTTTTCTTTATATCAAACGACTGAATGAGCAAACTTATGAAGATAATTTTTAAACGTCAAGTGTTTAGGTTCTCATACGAAATTTATTTTAAACAACCATTTGTTCAGGAAATAATACATCATTTCACTTTTTCGGAATAACGTTTTCTGTCGAAAAATGCAGACTCTTGGATTTACCGTTGCTTTTTTACTGGTTTGGGGAACCGTGCATGCCGAATTTTTTAAATTCGAAGATTGTAGTAAGTTTTTATTTTTGTTCTCATCTACCTGTTATTAATTTTTATACATCATTTTGTTCCGATAAAAGAAAGGTAACTACAACGTTTAATAATTTACTATAACACTATGAATTTAACTAGCATTACAAGATGGTTTTTTAAGTTCATAAATTTTATAAAATATATGAGATGCAGTTCATATTCTAAAGGAAAGCAAATATTTTTATTAATTCCTTCAGTTGGAATATTTGAATTATAAATGAAATATTTCTTCTTTTGAAGTAAGAATTTTAAATAGGATAATTATGTTTCAAAGCAAATTAAGATTATTTTAAGGGTAACCACAATAAATGAGAACCATACTTAAATAAAATGGGAACAATAATAAAATAAATTCAATTACTTAAGGAATAAAATTTGCTCATATAATTAACGAATAATTGTTACTTTATATAATTCGGTTCATAAAAATTGTATTACCCTTCGACTCCGTCGTCACATGACGTCATTTTTTTTATTTTGGCGAAAAGAAATAGTATTGTCATTACTGGTGTGAGTTTGCAAACGTTACTCATTACTGTAAGGTCAAGCTTAATATATTTACAGCCAGCGCTCTGCATGCTCGGTTTTAAAATGGTGCAAAACGTCAATATCGTGAAAAGCCTAAATTAAGACACGTTTGTGGCTTAATTTTTTAATACTTAAAAACTTATTACAATACTGCCTTATCCGAGTTCATAAGAAACTGAGAATAAGGATACGATTTTGATAATTTTCATCTAGGAGGGAAAATAACGCCAAATTGACGAGTTTTAAAAAAGTTTAATAACTTTTAAAACTGCCGTGATAGCCTACTTGGCAGAGCACTGGACTTACATGTCTGAGAACGAGAGTTCGAATCTACTCGTCCGAAGACTCCCCTAGTAGTAAATGGTGACTAGTGCACGTTAAATCTGTCGGATCACGAAGTCCTCCATGGTTTCATAACAAATAATACCTCTGGGGATATTGAATTGGGGATAGATCGTTCTCTGATGCAGGTCAAAAATTACGATCTGTAGATGAATGAATGGGTCTGCCCTAAAAACGGATGGGACGTTTGGGTTTAGCAGAAATCGAATTTTTGGCCATGGATGGCGTCACTGGAAAATAAGAACAATCGCACCCCTTGGCATACGGCAACAACAGCAACTTTAAAAATAAAGTTATTTGTCTGTTCTAAAACCCAGATAATTCTTCATGGAAAGATCGTCTATGTACTATAATATTATAGCCTTGCTTCATCTGCAATAAAAATGGGGATTTTTATCTAAAATTTTGATGTTTCTATTCTATTTGCCAAGATAAGGTTAAGGTGTCGATTTCAATAATGCTAATGCATCTTTTCAAACTATTTCATAAGTGTATAGATCATAGATCTGATGATTTCGATCTTTTCGAGCTTTTTTACCTTTTCCAAACTTTTCAGACACCCTGTAGATGCATGTAATATTTATTTTTTGCAGCGAAACTGCAGACAGCTTACGTAGATGCTTCGGAATTCGTAGTGCGCCCAGATCCAATTGATCTCGAGTCTAATCTGAATGTTACAGCATGGTTAAAAGTCTTAAAGGAAGTTCCTGAAGGTGCAGTTCTCAAGGCTTCTTATTACAGGTTAAAAAAGATTTTCGGTATGGAGGTTGATGTTTATATTCCTTGTCTGCTGAACAAATTCGGATCTTGGTAAGTTATTTGACACTATAATTTCACTGGAAATTATTATTTTTTTGTTACATGAGATTTTTAAAAAAAAGATTTTAGATACTTTTGTATCGCTGATTTCAGGTTTGTAATCGGTTTCTTTCTCCAAGCTACAGTTTTTTTTAAAGACATTTTTAGTTATGTCGAAGTTTAAAAACGTTATATATTACAGGAAGTCATATCGTTATATATAAAACATTTCTAGGGGAGTTCGGATCAGGATTAAAATTGCATTGACATCCATGCCCAGAAACGCTGTTATACGCTCTGCTAGGGGTGCTTCTCTATTATGAAAAGTTTTTTTTTGCTTGTTTCTGAATAGGTCATAATAGGGAAGCACTCCTAACTGCATACGATGACCTTTACGGCCATGCGTTCCCATGCAGTTTTAATCCTGATAATGTGCCCTAACTCCGCTAGAAGCTTGTCACAACATTGACGCGATTCCCTATTATATTCTAAACTTGTGCGATTCGACAAAAAAGAAACTAAAAATATAATTTTAAAAAAAATCTGTAACTTTAGGTGCAAAACTAATTTCAGATTTGAAATCTCCTCACCCAAACTAGGCAAGATCAAGTATTTGCATAAATTCTCCATTGTTATTAACCATATTTTAAATTACTGTACTCTCGATCGCCAATGCACTTTTCTTAGGTTTGAGAATAGTTAAGATTTGTAAAAATAAGGACAGCTATTGAAGTGTTCGTCTTAAGGAATTGGTCACTCAAAGATTTTCGACGTTTTTTTTTTGAGGGACTTTACTTTAGTATAATATAACCTGAATAGTATATTGAATCAGGAAGAGAATAGATACGTACACAAATTCGAATTTTTGCTTAACTCTTAATAATTCATCGCGTACGTCAAGAAAGCTTCAGAAGCTACCTTCTAGAAGTCTAAATTCTTGTGTTTGGGGCCTGGCTCATAGCTCAGATTTTCTCCTCTTGATTTTAAATTAAAGTTGTCTTTTTAAGTTGTCTTTTTAAAATTATATAATTTCCTGATGTTTAAATTACTTTAAAAGTCAACAGTTGTTCTTACTAGGTTGTAACGGGTACTTTAAATTTATAATAGTGAATGTAAATTAACGCTGTAGGAATTTTGAACTTTTAAACTATCTCTGTTGTTTAGAATTCTGATTACGAAGACATCGGCTTAAAGCTACGTTGGTAATGTACCTAGTAACTTTGCCACGTAAGTTGCTAACGGGATTTTGCCCCGTAATGACAAATTTTAGTGTTTAAATAAATAAAGAAAAGCATTGGATTCCTGTTCATTGGTTAAAATTAGGTTGAAAACAAAAAAGGCGCATGTTTGTGTCAATTTTGTAAATATGCATTTCAAACTGTATCCATTTTCATAAACACGCTTTTTGAGAGCTATTCAATGTCGCAAATACGCATTTCGAGTTGTGTCCATATTAAAATACTCACCGACGAGTTTTAAAGTATTGCTTACGCTTGGTCCTAGAATATCTTGTAAACTTACTAAAAAGTTATTATGGTGGCTTAATGCAACTTCCGCCTTCTGTACTCTTCTTTGTACCATAAATGAATTTAACGTGAATGATTAGATGGTTGATTAACATATTACTCGTTTTACAGCAAAATGCAGTAACGTAACGGTTCAACTGGTTGACTTTTTTGTTGGTGTGTCTTATGGGTATTAAATGAAATCTTAATAATAATAATAATAATAATATATAAGTTAAGAAGAAAAATATGTTGCTTAGCGAATTTAAGCTGATTTATTAATCAGCATCTCAAACTACCAGCATTGATTGTATTAGAATTGGATCAACTGAAAAAAGTTAGGAAACAATATTACAAGCTTTCATTTTATTTCACGTGATTTAATTTTGAGTCGTGTCGACTCTGAGGATAGAGTGTTTGTTTCCTAATGAGGTGACGCAACTTATAGTAAGAATTCTGCTTTTGGTGTATAGACCATAGTGCTGCCGTAAAATATCCTCTGTGGTAAACGGATTATGGTTTAGAATTTCCTTTCTGTCGGGCTAACTGTGAGAGGTTTATTAGTTATCCTATCCGTGCAACGCAAATGCGGGTTAGTTCCATGAAAAGTCCATGAAGTTTAATTTGACACTATGCTTAATCCAGGACTCTCCTTGTCTTCTGGGTTGGGTTCAGAGTTAGAAGACTACAGAGTTGGACATTGATAGCCATAAACTCTGATTTGAGTCGGCTGTTCAATGTTGGTCATAAAATAAAATAAAATTCCTTAACTAAAATGTTTTTCGTTTCTTATGTTAAATTTCAAGCTGCATGATTTATTATTGTTGTTGAACTATAGTGTGTAATAAGAGATTCTTTTCTGTAGTACAAAGTACTGGTGTGATTACCTTCGAGATTTTGAAGAACAAGTGACGCCATTTTTCCCCGAAGGAGTGCCAAATCACTGCCCAGTAAAACCTGGTGAATATGGCGGCACCAATATTCCAGTCAAAATACCTGAAATGGGTACGATTGCCAAGATAATAGTTGCGGTATGTATTGGGGTCAATTGTATCCAATAAACTGTTTTTAATCCGACCTATTTTTAAATTTCTATTTAAGGTGATATGTCCGTAAAATTGGTAAAGTACATATTTGAAAACTGCTTTAAAGTCAACAGTGTTTTTAAAATAAATGTTAAGTTTATGAGTCACATTTATAAATCTTTTAACAAAATACCTATCTATTTCAATAAAATTCAAATGAAAAAATGTATTTGTCCGAATTGTGAATACCATTAAAAGTGAACTCATAAAGCGCTAAAGTGCTGTGAATATTTTTTTTTAAAAGTGAAGTGACTGGTAACATAATTATTTTATTTTTGAAATTTATCTGAGAGAAGTATGGCAATCGTGCTCTACTAAATTTATTATTACTGTAAATGTTTATATTTTGATCAGAAATTATGTGATTGAATTTTTTTTAAAACCTAAGTGGTAGACAATATCCGATATTATAAACATTAACAGTGAGGATTTCGATCTACCCCTTTTATGAAGGAACATTTTACAACTCGGCAGATTGTTGCGTTTACGCAACGTCGGAGAAGAATGGTTTAAAGAATTACATGTGTTTGATTAATATTTTTATTCATTCGTATTATCTAGTGGCTGTTAATTGTGTTAAGAATGAATTATGAAAGCTTTATTTATTTTTTAAATTTTAAAAAATAATAGTGGTTCTGACTAAGACCTTATTAACAGTTAAAAAGTGGGAAAAAATTGAGAATTGTTCTTACACTTGTTTCAGTCACATGTCTTTAGAATAATTTAATAAACACACTACACACGTTGTATTTGGTGGTGTATCCTTTATAGTACTCGTATAAATTGTTGTATACACTACAGTATATACCATTTCTAATTTTTATAAAAATTCTCGACGTACCACTCATAGCAATTACATGCTAATTTTATGCTAATTATGTTTGGCAACAGTAGTTTTTTAGAACATTTTATCACTGTAATTTAATGTTTGTCTTTACTTTTGTTATTATTTTAGATTCAGTAAATCACAATTAAGTTTTTTTCTTAAAGGTTTTTAATTTAAAACCTATCACAAAGGTTTCCCTTTTTTAAAAAAATAAACTGCCAAAATCTTATGTAGATTTATAATGAAGTTGGTTTTCCGAATGGAAACTATATTGTACAATTTGAAAAAAATTTAAATAAAAAATAATTCAGATATTTTTTTAAATCTAGGGAAGGTATCGAACAGAACTTGAATTGGTAATAAATCAAAAAGTTGTTGCATGCTACAAGATTTGGGCGGAAATGACATGGAAATAAGAGAAAAAGGTCGTTTGAAGAACTGTTATGAGACACAACTTCCACTGAAGATTATTTTGCGACGTTTTGTAAATTGATTTATTTATGTAATTTCTTATAAATGCTTTTTTCCAAACGTCATTATTTTTGTTTTATTTTAAATAAATTAAGTTTCATATTTTTATCAAAATTCAATGTTGAATGGTTCGTAAGTTACTTTCTAGATTTACAAACTTTGAAAAGCGCTCTATTCAATATTACCCAAGTAACTACTCCTAACAACATTTTACGCAATTATAGCCAAATAAGGGATAACATTAAAAACAAGGCAAACTTTACACTTTATTTATGTTGTGAAATTAGTTTTCTTACATTTGTTTTAGGCTCACTGCCAGTTAGAATTTATGAATTACAGAAAATTTTTGTGAATGATAAAATTTCACGTAAATTTGAATACAAATCACAATAATAAAACTTATTAGAACTTAAAACTTAAGCTTGTTCACACATCTCCTGGTAAGCATAACATAAGCGGAGGAATACATCAGAAGTTTTCGAAATTTCTTCAGGTTTTAGGAAGCTTGTTTTTAAATTACATTCAGTCAACTTTACATAACACTTGTATAACATTTGCAATTAAAAATATTTAAATATTAGTACATCTTTTTTATGACACTAACAGCAATAGCATTTCAAAATATTGAGTTAATACCAAAAAATAATAATAATAAAAGTAGAATTAGTAATTTTAAAAATATCAAGAGGTCTAATCTGATGTCATTTCACTTACCTCATCAAATCAATCCATCAATCAGTTACAGATGCAACCAATTGGATTACGTTTCTATTGGGACAGGAATACAAACCGCCCAATGGGAGTAATGTAAACGGAAATTAATTGAATGATAATGGAAGGTTGTTCTAGTTTTGCCTTTGACTTGGACATCTCTATGGGTAGAATTATTTAAAGACACCAACAGTATTTTAATTTAAAAATCTTGAGTTAGTATTGCCTACAATAAATCACACAATAAAGTTTTTGCACATATAAAAAGGGTCTGTAGATGAGTTTTATGTTTAATGACACTGNCCTATATATATATATATATATAATAGCAAATTTAGGATGATTTATTATATCAGCATCGCAAACTATCGGCATTGATTGTATTAGAATTAGATCAGCTGAAAAAAGTTAGGAAACATTCTAACAGGAATATGAAATGAAGGCATTTCTTTAATTTTATTTCACGTGATTTACTTCAAATCGTTAATTTTGAGTTGTGTCGCCTCAGAAGATAGAGCGTTCCTAATGAGGTGACACAGGTTATAATAAAAATTCTGCTTTTGGGCGTATTGACTATAATACTGCCATAAAATATACTCTGTGGTAGACGGATTACGGTTTGGAGCCCCCTTTCTGTCAGGCTAACTGTGAGAGGTTTATTAGTTATCCTCTTCATGCAACGCAAATGCGGGTTAATTCCATGAATAGTCCATGAAGTTTAGTTTGACCCTGTGCTTAATTCAGGACTCTCCTTGTCTTCCTTGTTGGGTTCAGTGTTAGAAGACTACGAAGTAAAACATTGATAGCCGTAAACTCAGATTTGAGTCGGCTGTTCAATGTCGGTCATAAAATAAAATAAAATTCCTTCATTAGAATGTTTTTCGTTTCTTACGTTAAATTTCCAGCTGCATGATTTACTATTGTTTTTGAACTGTAGTGTATAATATGAGATTCTTTTTCTGTAGTACAAAGTACTGGTGTGATTACCTTCGAGATTTTGAAGAACAAGTGACACCATTTTTCCCCGAAGGAGTGCCAAACCACTGTCCAGTAAAACCTGGTGAATATGGCGGCACCAATATTCCAGTTAAAATACCTGAAATGGGTACGATTGCAAAGATAATAGTTGCGGTATGTATTGGGATCAACTGTATCCAATAAACTATTTTAATGAGACTTATTTTTAGATTTCTATCTAAGGTGATATGTCAGTAAAATTGGTAAAATACATATTTGAAAACTGCTTGAAAGTCAACAGTGTTTTTAAAATAAATGTTAAGTTTATAAATCAAATTTATGAATCTTTTAACAAAATGTCTATCTATTTCAATTAAATTCAAATGAATTGTGAAAGTTGAATACCATTAAAAGTGCATATCATTGAAAGTGAACTTATAAAGCACTGTGAACTTTTAAAAAGAAAAAAAAATAAAGAGACTGGTAACTCAATTATTTTATTTTTGAAATTAATCTGAGAGAAGTATGGCAATCGTGCTCTGCTAAATTTATTATTACTGTATATGTTTATATTTTGATCAGAAATTCTTTGATTGAAAGTTTTTTTTAACCTAAGTGGTAGACAGCATCCGATATTATAAACATTAACAGTGAGGATTCCGATCTACCCCTTTTATGAAGGAGCATTTTACAACTCGACAAATTTGCGTTTACGCAACGTCAGAGAAGAATGGTTTAAAGCAGGGTTTCTTAACCTGTGGTTCATGAGCCCCTAAGGGGTCCACGAGTTATATTTTGGGGGTCCGCTGACTACTCCTAATTTTTAAAACGTTTGGAAGCCGACCCATTGCTTGTAAAGCGAGCTATGGCAGCTATAATTCCGTTTGTTACAGTGTATCTTTGCAGAGAGGGATTTTCCACACTTGTGACAATAAAAACATAATATCCAAATCGATTGAATGTTGAACATGATATGCACGTTGTTTTGTCGAAAACCATCCCCCAATTCAATTTATTAATTAAAAAAAGCAGCAGCAACCTTCACATTAAAAATTTTAATTTTAAAAATTTTATATACTATTAAAATAATAAAATTAAATGTTTTCTAACAATTGATGTTTTTTACAATTATTTTTTTCATGGTCCGTGACTTCTTAAAATTTTTTAAAAGGGGTCCATTATATCGAAAAGGTTAAGAAACACTGGTTTAAAGAATTACAACATGTGTTTGGTTAATATTTTTATTTATTCGTATTATCTAGTTGATGTTAATTGTGTTAAGAATGATTTATAAGAGCTTTATTTCTTTAAATTTTTAAAAAAAAAACAATAGTGGTTCTGACTAAAAACTTGTTAAAAGTTAAAAAGAGAGTAAAAAAACTGAGAACTGTGCTTACACTTGTTTCAGTCACATGTTTCTAGTACAATTTAATAAACACGCTACATCACTTTGCTTGCAGTTTTACACACGTTGTATTTGAGGGTGTATCCTTTATAGTGTAAATTGTTGTATACACTACAGTATATGCCATTTCTAATTTTTATAAAAATTCTCCACGTACCACTCATAGAAATTAAATGCTAATTTTATGCTAATTATATTAAATGCTAATTATATTTGCAACAGTGGGTTTTTAGAACATTTTATTATTGTAATTGAATGTTTGTGTTTACTTTTGTTATTATTTTAGATTTGCTAAATCACAATTAAGTTTTTAATTCAAGTTTTTTAATTTAGAACCTATCACAAAGGTTTCCTTATTTTAAAAAAAATAGACTGCCAAAATTTAATGTAGATTGATAATGAAGTTGGTTTCCCGAATGGAAACTATATTGTACATTTTGAAAAAAATTTTCAATCACAAATAATACAGATATTTTGTTAATCCAGGGGAGGTATCGAACAGAACTTGAATTGGTAATAAATCAAAAAGTTGTTGCATGCTACAAGATTTGGGCGGAAATGACATGGAAATAAGAGAAAAAGACGTATGAAGAACTGTTATGAGTCACAACTTCCATTGAAGATTATTTTAAGACGTTTTGTAAATTGATTTATTTATGTAATTTCTTATAAATGCCTTTTTTTCAAACATTATTATTTTCGTTCTATTTTAAATAAAGTTTCAAATTTTTATCGAAATTCAATGTCGAATGGTTCGTAAGTCGATTTCCAGATTTTGTAAGTTACTTTCTAGATTTTCTAGCTTTGAAAAGCGCTCTATACAATATTACCCAAGTAACAACTCCTTACAATATTTTAGATAATTGTAGCCAAATAAGGGATTACATTAAAAACGAGGTAAACTTTACACTTTATTTATGTTGTGAAATTAGTTTTCTTACATTTGTTTTAGGCTCACTGCCAGTTAGAATTTATGAATTACAGAAAATTTTTGTGAATGATAAAATTTCACGTAAATTTGAATACAAATCACAATAATAAAACTTATTAGAACTTAAAACTTAAGCTTGTTCACACATCTCCTGGTAAGCATAACATAAGCGGAGGAATACATCAGAAGTTTTCGAAATTTCTTCAGGTTTTAGGAAGCTTGTTTTTAAATTACATTCAGTCAACTTTACATAACACTTGTATAACATTTGCAATTAAAAATATTTAAATATTAGTACATCTTTTTTATGACACTAACAGCAATAGCATTTCAAAATATTGAGTTAATACCAAAAAATAATAATAATAAAAGTAGAATTAGTAATTTTAAAAATATCAAGAGGTCTAATCTGATGTCATTTCACTTACCTCATCAAATCAATCCATCAATCAGTTACAGATGCAACCAATTGGATTACGTTTCTATTGGGACAGGAATACAAACCGCCCAATGGGAGTAATGTAAACGGAAATTAATTGAATGATAATGGAAGGTTGTTCTAGTTTTGCCTTTGACTTGGACATCTCTATGGGTAGAATTATTTAAAGACACCAACAGTATTTTAATTTAAAAATCTTGAGTTAGTATTGCCTACAATAAATCACACAATAAAGTTTTTGCACATATAAAAAGGGTCTGTAGATGAGTTTTATGTTTAATGACACTGACAGCAATATTTATAGAATATTTGCAAGATAAACGCAATTTTTGCATTTTAAAAATATAAAGCTATTGTTTAATGAAAATTTTGTATGCTCTTGTGTTGAAGTAAGATTATACTTACTTATTACATTGTAGTTCGTGATTTGCGTCCCTTCTCAGGACACAAATGAAGAGATGAGTGGATGAAAGATACAAGTGACATTTTTGTCACAATTGCGATAAAACGGAGATAATTTTTATTTTCACGATGCAATATTCATTTAGTTTCTCACGTCTTTCGATTCCGAAGATTTTAAAAGACGAAGTGACGTCTCTGAGTGCTTTTAGAGTGGAAAAATGGTCCAAGTGCATCATGAACGTGAGTTCAGTTTACCAGTGATGTGGGTGGAGTCTAAACGCACCTTAGATAAATAAACATTCACCTATTCGACATCCGACCCCTAGAAGTTTCGCGAGCTCGAGATTATCCTGTTACGCTAATACCACTTCATTCACAGTACCTTCACAACTAGTAAAAAGAGTCATCCGAAGGTGATAAGCACGGCTTTACACATTTTACTTTTGAAGATCTTCTGTAATCGTCCTCTAGCAGTCGAATTTTTAGTTTCATTTAAGTAAACATAAAAGATATTTTGAAACATTGCATAACAATACATTAAAAGAGTGAAGCGACCAGTTTGGCCCTCCCCAGATAGAGTACACCAATTAGGGATCCAAAATCTTAGAATATAATCATAATTAATTTAAAAAAAAAAACATGTTACAGACTTGTTCATCAAAATTGTATGGAACTTTATTCCATTTGGTTAAATAAAATATTTGATCAAGCAGAACACTGATTTTTCAATTAAACCCGTTATTTTTTAGATAATTCCCTTTTCTCTATAATTAATAATTATAAATACGTTCAAAAACTCATATATATATATAATGGTTTA